AAACGCAGCCAAGGAGCTAGCAGGTAGTTCCTTGTAACGTTGCGAAGTCGCTGATTTCAGGGGCTGATGATTATAGGCCGTTGAGGTGCTCTTGGCATGTTCGCATATACTCGGGAATTTGCAGTCTCAAAATAGGAGTCATCACGGTGTTCAAACGAAAATGTAGTAGCAGAATATAGATGAACAACCATATGCTTACCTAAATGTAGGTATGCATAGCACCATCAAGCTCATCCAGTGACAATAAAGATCATGATCGGATGGGCCGGTCCATCTTACCAATCGTTGTACATGCCAAGCTCAGTGTGCAGGATCCGTGGTGGATAACTTGATGAATCTGTCGTGCGGGCATAGGAGTCCGGTTGATTGTCCCGAACGGAGAATTGCAAGTGTTGATCTGGGGTAGAAGATCAATATCCATGCTCACATCTGCTGCTTGGATGTATGGAGTAAGGGAGCTTCAGCTCTTGGCCTAATGCATCACACTAAAAATTGGCGAAGAGATGGCTGTCGATCGCAAATATCCCAGAACCGCCGGTTTCACGCGGAAGTTCATCTGCTAAATCCCTCAGTGCAGCCTCGCAGCACTCAAGCAGATTTAATACAGGGGCTGCCACGTGTATTCCAACGCGTGAAACTTTGGGACTCGGGAAGATTGAAGGGCTCCTGTGCAGGGACCATGATCGACGAATTGCCTATATAGGCGCGGAGTAGGCGGCCCCTGACAAGATGCTAGCGCAAGTAATCTGCACGCGAAAACAATCACAATATCGTCGTATCACATCTCGGGAAGCTTGAACTGGTTGCCTGTTGGGCTGTGGGTTAGCTCGCTTTCGCTTTCGTCTGTTGTGCCAGGGATGTTCATTGGGTGAGCCAGCCAATATGTGGGGATCATCATTATGTTGGGACAATTCCTGGACAAGAAGAGTATTTGTGTAGCTGTGTAGCTCTGTATTTGTGTATTTGTGTATTTGTGTAGCATTTATAGCCTCGTAGACCGGTAGCCGTAGTCTTTTAAGAAAGGGTTAAAAAAAGTGGTGATTGGTGGACCAAAGCCGGGGTAGAAGGGTCCTAATTTTCTCTCATCCCCACATTCACTTTTGACATCTTCAACTTCTTTTTCTTCTCCTTTTCTCTTCTATCTCAACATCTCCCAAACATTGTAATCCTTGTTATTCTGCCTTTCATTTCTCTTCCGGTCCTTCAACACCCCCAGATTCGGACTCCGTCGGGGAACGAGACGATGACGCCTCCGCACACACGCGCCATTTCTGCCCGCCTACGACTACGATTTTACACTAGGATCTGAGCACTTCAATCGTCTCCACTATTCTGCGCTACACTTGGAATTGTTAGAACTGGACTGTCCGCTGGGACAGTCCACCATCTGTCAAATTCGTCATGGACGGTCGTCAACGAGCTACGCTGGGTGTTTCGATCACATTTTTCTCCATCGCCACTATCTTTGTCGCCCTTCGCTTCATTTCACGAATATTTGTGGTCAGAAAGATTGGGTTACACGACTGGTTGATGTTGGTCGCATGGGTAGGATTCCTCGGCTTGATCCCTGCATGTACCCGGGGATGTACTCCGTAGCGAGAACGGACTCGATCTATTGGCGAACCGGGCACATGATTGGAACCTCGTGCTAGAGTTCGGAGGCTAACCAGTCTGCAGATCATCGATTTTGGCTTTTCCTTCTCGCTATTCTTTGCTGTTCGGAAAGGTCTTGGCCTTCATTCGAGTGACATCAAGCCTGAAGATCAACTCGCTTTTAATAAGGCTAATTATGCGTTCACTGTCCTCTACGTCAGTTACAACTCCCCTTTGTCACTCCCCTTTGTTACTCCGCAGGACGATAATAAAAACAATGAGATACTGACAACCCTTTAGAATCCGGCGTTAATGGCCGTCAAGACCTCGATCCTTGTCTTCTACCTTACCTTTACGCGCACTCAGAAGGTTTTCCGAAATGCGAACTATGTCACTCTGATTGTAGTGAATGCAGCGGGCATTGCATTAACATTGGTCAATGTTTTCCAATGTAGGCCTGTCAGCGCAGTATTCCTTTCCGACACCCCGGCCCATGCGAATTGCATCGACATTGTCACCCTGTACCTCTCCTCGTCCCCAGTGAATATTATTACGGACCTTGCTATCCTGTTGCTTCCGATGCCGCTTTTGACAAAAATGCGCCTACCTTTCAAGCAAAAGATCATTTTAGTGATCACATTCTCCTTTGGTTTCTTTGTGGCTGTGGTCGATGTGGTTCGAATTGCCTTTCTTCAGCAGGCTGCCATTTCTCGTTCGCTCGAAGTCAAGTCAATTCATATTCAAAACGTCGGAGGGGTGGATTTCAGTTGTACGACTCCCTCATCTCCCATATTTGAGACTAAGGTGTCAATTGAGCTAACAGCGGGGATTTCGCAGGGTACGCGTCGCTATCTTTCATGTGGTCTGTCGTCGAAGTCAACCTCTCAATCATTTGCGGTTGTGTTCCAAGTCTCAAACCTCTCGTCACTCGTCTCGCTCCGAAATTGATTAGGGACACAAATGATGCATCATCAACTTCTTCGCCTCAGGCACTCTCTACAGGCGCAGCAGGGGAAAGTCGGGTTGCAGTGCCACCTCCGGCTGCAGTCCCGGGTTCGCAAGAATTTCCATCGCCATTGCCATTGCCATCGAGCAGCGAAGGAAATAAAGGTCTACGGAACCAAGTTGGTGGTGTCTCTGCCGGTCAACCTAGCTCCCGGGACTCGGAGCCTATAGGTATATTGGATTTCCTGGGTCACCCAGAAACAGCAGCCCTCGATACAGAGGGAGGAACCCATACTAGCGCATCTTATGCCCCGGATATCACTTTCTTCGATTTTGTCAACATGAAAAAACCAGAAAGTATGCTAAAGCTAAACAACAGGGAATCGATTACGCCAATTGCATTGACCACGCTACTATTCTTCCTTTGGGGTTTTGCATACGGCTTGCTTGATATTCTGAATTCCCAATTCGAGACTATCGTCCATTTAGGTTCATGGCATTCCTTGGGTCTTCATGGCGCGTACTTCGGCGGATATGTGTTCGGCCCTCTGCTGGTTGGCCAACCCGTCTTGAAAATATGGGGCTTCAAGTCCACGTTCATAACTGGACTTTGCATCTATGCCTGTGGAACCCTCATATTTTGGCCCTCTGCTGTTCTAACATCGACGCCTGCGTTCATTTTGTCAAATTTCATTGTCGGGTTTGGTCTAGCAGTTTTGGAGACTGCAGCAAATCCTTTCATTGCGCTATGCGGACCACTTGAGAATTCCGAGATCAGACTCAACATTTCACAGGGTGTGCAAGCTGTTGGAAGCGTCTTATCGCCGCTCCTGGCGAAACGAGTTCTCTTCAAGGATGTTCAGGATGTCGCATCTTTGGTTGACGTACAATGGGCATATCTTGGCATTGCTCTATTCGACGTGCTGTTGGCAGTGGCGTTCTATTATCTACCAATCCCCGAAGCGTCAGATGAAGATTTGGAAGAACTAGCAAATCGACGCCGAGAAGACAATATGACCAAAGTAATCGGTATTCCGGTCGTTTGGCTGACTCTCGGCCTGGGAATCTGGTCTCAATTCTTCTACGTGGCTGGACAAGAAGCCTTCGCGACAGCTCTCCAACGTTTCGTTATTGCCGCTCGTCCAAATTCATCACTCGCGCCATTCGATTTCCTGACCATCGGACACAGTGTTTTCGCCGTGGGCCGCTTCTTGGCCGCGTTTACGCAATGGTTCCTCAAACCACGCTGGATTCTGATGGTCAGCTACATCGGCATGATCGTCTGCTCCGTTCTTTGCATGAAAACAAGCGGCACGGCAGCAATCGTCATGGCAATGCTGCTCTACCTCTTTGAGAGCGGCGCATTCAGCATTATCTTCGCCATCTCCCTCCGTGGCACAGGCCAGCATACGAAAACAGCCGCTGTCTTGTTGACAATGGCAGTCAGCGGCGGCACCTTTTTCCCCGTTTGCCGAGTACGCGGCTTACCTCGCACACGGCGAGTCATTTTCCTTCTGCGTTACACTTGCGCTCTTCTGCGCCGGCGCCATCTTCCCCATCTACCTCAATTTCGTACCCGCCGTGAAAAAGCAAGTCGACCCTGTTCCAAACGAGTATCTCCGCCGACATCGCCGCCGAACTCGGGCCCCGGTCGACACCATGCATCGCGAAAAGGATAATCCTGCTCTTGGTGGTGTTCTTTCACGCCCGCGCAGTCTGGCATCGAATCCAGACCATCTACCTGATCTTCTACTCCCGGAGGAGATTCACCAAAACTCCCTTGCTCATGATCTTCCACGGCCTAAATCTAGCTCTAGCTCTAGCTCACATGCCAATTCGAATTCCTCCCGCAATTCTGGTTCGAAGCGACGGTTATCCACCAGAATCGATGATTCATGACCGTTGCTCAGCAAGCTTGACTGCTGTCTTGGTCTCTTTCTTTTCACCTCTACACCTCACCACATTTCCGAACCGCTTATATACCCTTTTGCTTTCTCTTTTGGGATTTGCGACAATGTTCTGTCACGTGTCTTCTCTGTGCATCTTTTGGGTGGCAATCCTTTTGTTCCATTTTTCTTTTGTAGCATTTCAGCGGCGGTGTTTCGACCAAAGGCTCTTCGGGTTCTTTCTTGGCTTAATTTTTGGTTCCACTACTAAATGATATTCGACCAATCTCATGGTCAAAGTTGGCTTCTAGCCGGAATCAATTCTTCTAATATGTAACTTGGATATTCGTTGTTGAACTGAGCCCAGACTGCTTGCTCAGGCAGTTTTGGCAGACTTCTCTCCGTCTGGCCTTTGTGGCCTTTGTTTCTTTGTTTCTTTGTCCCTATGAAGCTAGATAGATGGCTTTATGGTAGTCAGGGCTCTCTATTATTCTCAATCTACCATCCATTACCTCTCCTTCTCTCACCCATGTAAGCCTACATCAATCGCGAACCTTATTTGCATGAATATCAAACATGAATGATACCATCCCTACCACACGTGCCTGGGTTAGCGAACCCGACGGGCGAGGAACGTGGAGTATTTAATCTACTTGCGTTCTCACAATCGTCCTCTGTTGCTGGACATCCATCGCTCCAGATTTGCCTCCCAAATCAGATAGCGAATTCAGAAGATGGAGATCCAAATTCGATCTTGCTTTTTTGACGATACTCGGATCTGAATTCATATTGATGCTAGCTCTGGGTCAATGGTCTTCCGCAAGCTGCTCTCTCAAGGTAGATATTAAGTTACTTCTAGCTCGGTTTGATGTCGAAGCTGGCAGGACAGAAATTCCACGAGGCTGGTTATAAAGACTGGACTATCAAGCATGCCTTCTTCGCCAATATGGGGGGCTTCTTGATCGAGCCCCCCGAAACAGACATACCTTCGTTCCCTTTGGATGCGGAGCAGCTCTACGTCCTGGTTCAGCATGGTTATGTTGCTAGCTAGGTGGGTGAAACGATACCGGGCCAATAATCTCTCTTTCTGTTCTATTATAATTACCTCGGTAGACTGTTCACAATAGCGCAAGCCCTCTGGTTTACCTTAAATTGTATCTTTCGATTTGCTCAGGGTATTTTTGTCACCACTCTTGAGCTCACTACTCTTTCCTTTGTTCTAGTCTTTCTAATAACATCATACTGCTGGTATCACAAACCTATGTATGCTAACAGACCGATTACTTTGAAGCTCAATACCACTGTAGCTGCAATTGGAAAAGATCATCATCAAGGCCCCGAATCGAAGTGGTACGAAACACCACTTGAATACCTCTCGCGGAATGAGGGGTTTCTTGCTCGATTTTGGAGATACTACATTCAGATCCTACACTACATGCATATACCATTGACCACTCGGCCCCAGCGACGCCCATATGATCGCATTCCAGGTCATTATATACTAAATGTGGATACCAAGGCCGAGATAATCGCCACCCTGACAATTCTTTTCTTCAGCGCTATGTTTCTAATTGTGTGGAATTCTCATTTCCCTACCAGGACAAAGAAATTACTTTGGCGTATTGCCAACGTGAACACTATAACCTATGCATTGATTGGAGCGCCCCTTTCGTCGTACTTTCAGAAAACCATATTCCAAGCGAAGTTGAGACAAGAAAGGGCACAAGCTAGGTTGACGCGGAAACTAGAACTCAGAGGATGGATCGGTCATCTTGCTGCGAACCTCAGGGATATTCATCCTGATCAGGATCCTGACTTGGAAATTCCGCTTCGCGCGTTGATTCCAATTTCCTTTCTATGTGCTTCATATTGCGGGGGTCGAGGGTTTATCTTGACGGAAGACTTCATTGGATTGAGGAGTTTGCCGGAGAGTGCCTTTGAGACGGTTACATGGTCAAAATATGTACCTCGCTGGTAGTTATACGTGATTGGGTCTTGTTTATTTGTTGAAAATAGCCCCTGAATGTAACTTATAGGTCCCAGGTAGATGGTGCCACTATCGAGCAGTGATTGTACTAGGACAGTTCTCCCTGTTTGGGCTATTTTTTTTTGAGTATATATTCACTCTCCATTTTCTTCTAACTGGCTCATTGGGGACTAGGAACGGGCGGGAATGCAGGAGGAATGTACCAACGTCGGCTTTTTTTTCCCTACTATTTTCTTACTACGGAGTATTTTCCTATCGATTTTTCCCTTTAAAAAGAATAAGGAATACAAGCCGCATTAGAACGCGAAATAACTAAAACCATGAGCAAAAGCCAGAGCCTCCGTGCCGATCGCAAGACCCAAAAAGGGTGATCTCGGAGAATTTCCTGATTGAAACCAGTCATAGGCCGCGGAAGACCAAGGGATTCCGCAGGTGGCGATACTAGCGGAGAAAGCATCGAGCTAAAAAGCCAACTAAAAAGCCTATATGAAGGTTAAAAGGCTAAGAAGGTCCCAGTCTCAGCTACGCCACGAGATTATGTTTGCAAAGCCTCATCTAATACTCCGTAGTGCTGGAGTACAATATATGTAGATCTCTCGATTGGCTTTCCGGAGTAAATCGGTGATTGTTTTGGGCAAGGATTGGGTTATAAAATTCTAGACAAATCCATCTTACATATAACGATCGTCTCTAACCCCTATTGGGCCAACTATTTTGCAGAACAGGGCATTAAAATTAGGCATAAAATTACACACAAGGACTATTCTTGTCCAAAACTCAAAGAATACCATCCAAAGATACGGAGTACATGTAAAGACGCGGAACTCGTACCGGATTCTTTCCATGATATTCAGATCAAAAAAAAAAGTCGCCCCCTCAAACGCACAGCCATCACAGCGCCCAAGGGGCGGCCACCAACGGTAGCCCCCTCGGATTGGATCTAGAGAGCCCACAGCGGAACAAGCGCAAACCAGTGGGGTTGCAAGGGGATTATCGACTTTTAGAAAGACAATTCTGTTCATTGGTACAATTACCGGGTTTTCTTTTTTCGTTCGCTGGACCGAAATTATGTGAATTGTATGGAGTACTAAGCGGGAATGAGATGCACTGTTCAACCTGTACAAAGTACTCCGTACTCGTATTCGCTATCTACTAAACCAGACGAGTGGGATCGGCTTTAAGGGGCGAGTTTTATTTTTGAATTATTTTGGAGTTTTTGCCCATCTCGAAGGCGTAATAATTACTCCAATTTCTGGTTCTTTTTGTATCTTAGCCCCGAGGTCCTTCCGTAGCCACGGATGACTTCCGTTGTTCCCATGGGCGCTGTTGGAGAGAGTGGATTGACTCGCGATTTTTATATGGATTGAGTGTATATAGATGAAATATGCATATATCCAGCTATCCATCCGATCAAATAAAACCCGGACAGAAGAAAACCCCCGATGATGCAGCTCGCACGAGTCGCCCGTGACTAAATGCGGTGTTTTCGCAGAAGCCAGCACACATATCCCCAAGCCAGCACACATGCCAATGTATAGAATCTCCATATTAATGCTGGTGACCAAAAGAAGAAGCCGCTAGACAAAAGACCAAGGAAAGAAGCAATAAACAAGAACAAGATCGCTAGATATGAAAAACCAAAATCAAAATGCGGGTCTGATGGACGCCATGTCGCCGACCCGATGTGAAAAGACAAGAGTCGAAAGAAAAACAGTCCTCAGGGAACCTCTTCAGCCACGCGCACTCCGCGGCCGTGAATTCTGCGAGGACGAGTCGTGCATGCTATCCGGCGCCCGGGGACCAACCATCCAGTCCTCCATAGCGAGCCATTCACTCCAGCTGCGCTCGGCAGCCTCGATCTCGGCATCGAGAGCCCCCTGCAAAGGACGCAGGAACGGGATGGTCTCCAGCGGGGGGATGTCGTAGTCCTTTTTCACGGAGGCCCAGCCGCCGCTCTTTGCCGCGAAGAGGTAGTTGCGGCGCTCTTGCTCGTGCATGGGTCCCACGCCGCTGCCCCAGTCGTCGCCGAAGAAGCCGTGCAGCACGCCTGGGAAGTCCATGCCTGTTGCGACTAGGCGGCGGATGTAGGGGATCAATGAGATGGAGGGTGGGCCTGGTGGTTGTGTGTCGGGTGTTGGGATGTGGTTGGAGGAAGACGAGGATGGTGAGGTTGAGTTGAAGATTGGGTTCGGTTGGCGCTGGAAGGGGAGTCGGATGTTTAAGAACGTGGAGAGGGCCTGGACGGGGACGCTGTGTTGGGCATGATCTAGGAAGTAGCGTTGACAGCTTTGATAGCGGGGGTACCATTCAAAGATATCGAAGTTGTCGTCTGATCTTCCTGGTGAGGCGCCGGCTAGACCGATCATGGTGGCCGGGTCGAATTGCGGATGGGAGTTCTGGGAGTTCATGGATGGCTGTGGTGAAGGTGAGGGCGAATAGGATGTTGAGGTTGAAGTTGAGGTTGGTAGTCCTGGAGGATCTACTTGTCTATTTTTTTTCCGATGCTTTTCTTAGTTCGTGTTCTCTCTCTCTCTTTTTGCTCGTCTGTCGGGGCTGCGCCTCTTTTCCCGAGTTCTGGGAATCCAGTGGGGTCGAATTGCGGCCCCAAATTAAGTGAACTAGAGGGGTAGTTGGGATGAAAGGCAGACTGGGGAGGGATTGTTACTTGGAAAAAATATCCCTACCTCGACGAACTAGGAGAGATACTCGACGTCGTGAAGGGGAGGTCGGGGAGGACGGTGCAGAACGGAACAGGTCCCTGATGGTCCCGAGTCCGCCACGAGATTGGGGCTTGTTGATGGACATCTGTTAGGGAACCATCTAGGATGTTCAGGTGAGAGATTGGGGGAATGTTCACGGAATACCCATTGGGAATATCAAGTATGAAGGAAAAGAACCGTAGACATACATGTGAGTCCCAATTCCCAATTCCCAAAGACGCAGAGAGAAAGGGAATGGGAAAGGGAAAGGGAAAGAGGAGAAGGATATCGAAGTAAAATCAGAGTTGAAGGGGAAAAAAAAGATATCAGAATTGTTCTGGAACGTTCATAGAAGGGAAACTGGGTTTCTAAGACTAATAAGAGACAAAAGTCAACGTGTATACGGAGTATTTCTGAATCGGATCCATCGACGGGTCTATCCGGTCAGGCCAATCATTCTGAGATCTGCTTAACCACGGGTCGACTGTGGATATCGATCTAGGGCAAGTTTTGGGTGGTTTTGGGTGGTTTTTGTTTTATATATTAATATATTAATACACTTACATTACACTTCACATTCCCCGGTACCTGGATAGCCACTATCAATCCTGGATGACTCCATATTGTTACAGATCTCAACAACTTGGGACGTCTTGCACGTCTTATTGGCCGGGATCACGATGGTATGCTAATAATACCCATCTCGTTTTGGTAAAAGGCTTTCCGGTTCATGACATAGCTTCATCGAATCATAACTGGATCAGGACGGGATCAGAAAGGGAAAAAAAAAGGGGCCCCCTTCAAGACTGGGACCTCCTAGTTTGTATTCAACCAATCTAAGCCCGGGCTGGTCTACTCGCTGCAAGGTGCCTAGTCATGATTGGAATATTAGTCCACGAGAACGTCTGCCTATTGTCTATTGTGTGGATGACTGGTCAGAGGATAGTGTTAAATATATTGAACCATGTGCCCTGCAGTGTAGCATCCCTCGTCATGATGACTCTGCGCAACAATTGAATCAGGAATCACACTGGGAGTGACGTTTCTATAGTGGGTTGGCATATCTAAGTTTGTATACTATCTACATACGTACGGAGTAGGTCTGTACATACCCCCCCCCTTCCCCCCCCTTGCCAAGTTCCCACAAACCGGGTTCTTCAATATCGCGTGCAGCACACAAGACCCGGAACCCACTTCGGCTTTATCAGTCCCCATCTTTCAATCTTCGAACATTTCTTATATGTCTTTATTACATTGCGAAGCGACTTCTTACACCCAAATCTCATTTCCTTCAGGGGCAATGAGACACAACCTTACAGATGCAGCCCCATATGGCGTCACTAGAGCACACGAGCTAGGATCTAGTTAAAAAAAGGGCCAGAGCACATAGCTGGGAGAGCAGGGGCCACTCATCGAGCTGTGGGAGTCAGAGCCCCCCTTTAGCGGGGAGGTGAAGCTCTGACCCGATCGCGCCTCCCAGATAAGAAATGACAAGAGCGGATCTTTAGGGGGAATGACCACCTCTGTTACGGAGCACACCGTACTCCGTACGGAGTCCTCTGCTTCATATTGAATACAGATTACGAATTCAATCTCGGTGTGTGTGTGTGTTTTTTTCCGACTCCTTTTCTGGAGTCGATATGGGTCCCCCTTCAGCTGCACAAAATCTGGTGGCGCCGGGCTAGGGGGTAAAGGGCGGAACCCTGCCTATTCGCATCCCCTTTATACGTTTTGTTCGAGATTATACTGTCGGAGATTTCAATTGGATCGAGGTTAATGTATCCATCTCTGATCAAATCTAATATTTCTATCAATCCGAGCCCTCCGATCGATCTATTCTATTCTCTGTTCTCCGTTATTCCCGCGGAATTCGCCACATGCGGAGCTCCAACCAGGTCCACTCCTTTTCCATTTGACGGGTGACGGGCGATTCCTCTACATATATGACCTGTGTCTCTGTTCAGCTGGACTTGCAATTCGAGTCAGCCGGTCGGAATAACGAGTGGCTAAGAATGTCATAAACGTCGGCTGGAGATTACAACGATGCAATGGACTCTCTGGCAACTACTCCGTACTGTCACTCGAAAATCGATAAGTCGTGACTGCCTTGCATTGCTCTTGCCAAATTCGATCATAGCGCGCATGGTGCATGGGTCTCGCCGATGGTCTATGATATGCACAAGATCTTCCACCACGGAAAGCACGACTAACACTTTGGTCTACCCAGTGAGGACAATCCGTTGCTTTTCTTACATCGGAGCAGAACCAACCCCCTGAATACTTATGATATATCTCGTCCGATGCCATGTGACTCAGGGCCTGCTAGAGGATGCAGTCTATCTCTGAACTTGCGCGCGACACCCGAACCCGACAACTAGTGCCCAATCTTCACGCTCAATTCTGAGGATACCCCTAGAAGGGTTGGGAGCGGGTGAATAGATTAAGGGCAAATTTCAAGCTGCTTCCCAATGGCCATACGATCATACCCCCATGGCATTGGTATACAGCACTTGAAACAAGCCGGTCGCTATGAATATTGTGTTGTTCCAAGACAACATGGTCGCATAATCAAGTGATATACACTGCAGCTGGTGGGTATCCGGATAAAGCTCCGCAGCGAGTTGGCGACCAGCTTTCATTGCCAAGAGCGTACGAGTACGATGTACAGCGTTGTAGCCTCGGTCCTGTTGGCCGTCAACCAACTGTAGGGAGTACGCAGAACAACCACATGGGTTCCCGCCGACCGCCATACTCAGGTTATGTCAAAAACGTTGAATTCTTCCTGTGATCAATAAGTTTCATAACATCGACGAGTCGCAATGTTGCCAATCGACCACGTAACTCGCTGCGCACGATCATCACATCCTTCGCGCATGTGTCGTGGCGAAGAACATATGCAAAAGGACGTAACACACCCATCCTCTGCTAAAAAGGGAAAAAACGGTGAACCCCAGCCCCCCCTACACAAAAAGATCGCCAGGGTTTATATATCCGAGCAGCGCCAAACACGATCTATCAACTCACGTCCCAACAGCCAACACGTGTCACCGCATATCGCTAAGCATATCAATATGATAGCCCCAAACCCGGCACAAATAAAAGAAAAACAATAGTAAGCAGCGCGAACATCGTCACATTATTTTGATCCATTTCTTCCATTCTTTTGTTCACTCTCGTAGATAATATGTCGTACAGTCTCGTATCCCTCTACTCCGTACCCCGCGAATAGCGCGACACTGAAGATCACTAGCGCACTCGGTCGGCAGGAACGCAGCGCCCCAGACGATGATCTTATATAAACCTGTGTGTCATGGGTGCACGGTGTCATCGATAGGGAAATACTGGACGAATGGGAAGTTTGCTATGTATTGTCATTTTTATGTGCGGGATCGGTTGTTGCGGAGAACGGCGCTTTCCTGGTCTGATCCAATCGTCCGGGGAAATGGACATCCACCACCCACTTCTAGGTGGCTTGGTGGATATGTACCTTGGTTGATAGATACTATAACGTAGGTACATATCCTTGAGAAGATTTGGTATATTTTCTACAGGCTAGGTGGTACATATAGTATAGCGATGGATAATATTGTAATACTACAGAGTACTCCGGACTCCGCTGGTGGTGATTAGAATAGGGATGGGTTCTGATGTTTATCTGTCATTGTCGAAATTGAGAATTTGGGGTGTGACATTAGGCTGCCTTAGTAACACTATTACTATATATATATATATATAGTGTTAACTGACCTGGATGAGGTTCTCTGTGGTTGGTATTTTGTGGTTATTGCGTCCGTTTGAACGGCAATGCAACTATGGTATATAGGCGGTGGACCATGCTTTGGGGGTGTGCATTGACCAGATGAAACCTACGTGGACAGCATTGGAGTTTAGTTCATAGTGGAGAATACTCTACGTTGTATACTAGTTCGATGTAGATCATCACAATCAGCAGGTCTTCCATATACAAAGTAAGTGAAGACATCGAGTTGGTGATATACACAGCTTCTCATTCGCCAGATATCACGTCATGGCAAGTCCTGAGCAAAAGGATGTTCCATGTACTCCGTACTTATACTAGAAACCCAAGCACTGTCTACGATAGCGCAATATGAAAAACATGAAAGGAGATGCCGAACCACTCCGAGCAAGCTCGGGAATCTACCCGATGAGGTGAACGGCAATGGTCTCCACGTTTACAATTCTCCTGCAAGAAGCACGTTGTCGAACCTAGCAAGCTTAAACACCCGAATCTCCGAGATAAGAACGCATATGCAGACACTAGCGACTAACGGGAACCAAGAATTTAGTCCAGTCTTCCCTGGAGGCTAGAGAGCCCTAGAAGGAATTAAGCTTCTGGATCTGCAACCTTAGGAGGGAATCCACTGGGTCCTGAGGGGCCCTTGTCCCACACCTGTGTGAGTTTGATGGTCATGCCCAGGTGTGTACCGAGAATTAATTGTCTGGGGATCGACTCTTAATAATGTAAACATGTGCAAGGAGTTATACACCACACATCACACCACAAGGGACCTCGGGAATAACAAAAATACGGAGCATGGCCCGTGTGCTAACTAGCTCTACATCTGGCTTCTCGGTGAGGATTCGTGCAGCAACCCCAGGATGCAAAACGCGGCCTCCGCAAATCGCTGTCAGCAAGGAGTGGGAGGGTGCATCTGAATTTTGGCGTTCCGCGGAGAGCTGCAGCGGGCAACCACTAGATTGATTGGTGGACGGTCGCATGATTTAGAGGATCTACGAAAGTCCCAAACATCATGATATCCATTGCAAGTTATTTTTTTTTGTAGTATGCACCGTATGATCGTTATCCTTGTAGAGGGCAAGTCGGTATGAATGCTGTTACAATATTATTGTCATCATAAGGTTAGGGATAAACTAAGAGCTAGTTATTCAAGCTCATGGTGTACTCCAAATCTAGGTAGTACTTGGCAGCGCCGACCATCGGGGGATCCAATGCAGTTGACCGGTTATTGGCACCACACGGGATTGGTGCCTGACCCAACCCGGGGGAAAGGACAAGCCCTGGGAAATCGGGTTGCACCGAGATGACTACCTAGGTATTAGGGGGCAATTGACTGGACCTTCGGGATCTGGGTACTGCGGGTATTCGGATATTCCAGATTCTAGATTCTAGATTTCTCCCCAGGTCTTTGCCTACGAACATTCTGTAGCACAACTTTCTTTCTTTATTCTGCTCAGTTCTGACGAGATTTGCATCTGGGGATACCCCTCTACCTCTATACCCCTCTACCCCTCTACCCCTCAGTTTAATCCGGTGGGGTAAAGGGATTGCCTAAAATAAAAGCCGTAGATAAAGGAATGAGTAAAAAGTGTTAGAGAAAGAAAAGACGATCAGATAAGCTCGGGCCAAAAGTGGTAGGCTCCATTTTTTGATCGCCGTTTACGGTATAGTGAGCACGTGACAAAGCCTGCAGCCGAGCCAAATTGCCGAAGTTGGAAGCTGGTGGCGGGGAACTCGAGTTTTTATTTGCCTTTTTATTTTATATTTTAATTTATTCAATCCAACTTTATAGGAATACTACTTCATCGCCAATAGGTCGATCATAGTAAAAAACTGCACTCGTCGCATCATGCATTTTGGGTTCAAAGTCTCGAAGGTTTCTCTCAGCCTCTTAATTAAAGAAGTTACATTCACTTTTATTTTATTTAATGTCGGAGAGGACCGATCCGAGAATACGAATTGAACACGGAAGAGATTATTATAGACAAGGAAGATTTAGGAAGCCAAAACGAGTTATGATTGATGGGAAGGTTAAAGTGTAGTGCCGTTTATGGGACATGAAAAAGGGTGGTAGAGATAAGCCAAATTCTGTGCAAATTCTGTGACCTTAAACCATAAGATAACATTGTTCGAGCCCCGAACTTCGGACGTTCTTCCCACGGAAATCATTGGAAATCATTGGGTTTCATCTGTCTCTTGGATCTTCTCCTTCTAATTCGTGCAACCTGGTCTTCTTGGATTATTGAAGACTATAGGCATATTTACTAACTCCCGCCCATTTTACCCCATTGTCCGGAATCTCTCGTCCGACTCCGGCTTTGAATCTCTCTTCGCCACATCTCTATATAATTGTACAATCCTCCCCTTCCATTCTTTCTTCTCTTCATCTACTCTCTAAAATCTCAATTGTCTTATAACTCTGCTCTTGGGCACTTCTAATTATAATTTATTAGATCACTGCCTAGCATTGATCTACCTTCCGACCTAAAAGCAGAGTAACCGAGACCAAAAACCAGCCGAAATGATGCAAAACCTCCCTTTCGAGCCCGAGTTCGAGCAGGCCTACAAGGGTATGTCTCTTGTTCTTCTCTTCTTCCTATTCCAATTCCAAATCACAATTCTTTTTGCCCGGCTTAATTCCTTTACCCATCGGCATCTTCCCGGCATTTGGCTCCACCGGGGCATACTTTCGGGGTGACTCAGCTAACAATCCCGAAACAGAGCTCGCCTCCACCCTCGAGAACTCCACTCTTTTCCAGAAGAAGCCCGAGTTCCGCAAGGCTCTTCAGGTCGTCTCTGTCCCTGAGCGCATTATCCAGTTCCGCGTTGTCTGGGAAGATGATAAAGGCCAGGTAAGACTTTTTTTTGTCAAAATTTCTGATCAATTGTCACATGCTAATCCCGTCGTTCAGGTCCAAATCAACCGTGGATACCGTGTCCAGTTTAACTCCGCTCTTGGCCCATACAAGGGTGGCCTCCGGTTCCACCCCACGGTGAACCTTTCCATCCTCAAGTTCCTCGGTTTCGAGCAGATCTTCAAGAATGCCCTGACCGGCCTGAACATGGGCGGTGGCAAGGGTGGATCCGACTTCGACCCCAAGGGCAAGACCGACAACGAGATCCGTCGCTTCTGCGTTGGCTTCATGACCGAGCTGTGCAAGCACATCGGTGCCGACACCGACGTTCCCGCCGGTGATATCGGTGTTACCGGCCGCGAGGTTGGCTTCATGTTCGGCCAGTACAAGAAGATCCGCAACCAGTGGGAGGGTGTTCTCACCGGTAAGGGCGGCAGCTGGGGCGGTTCCCTCATCCGCCCCGAGGCCACCGGCTACGGTGTCGTCTACTACGTCGAGCACATGATTAAGTACGCCTCCGGCGGCAAGGAGTCCTTCGCCGGCAAGCGCGTCGCCATCTCCGGCTCCGGAAACGTCGCCCAGTACGCCGCTCTTAAGGTCATCGAGCTCGGCGGCTCCGTTGTCTCCCTCTCCGACTCCCAGGGTGCCCTCGTCCTCAACGGCGAGGAGGGCTCCTTCACCGTCGAGGAGATCAACACCATTGCCGAGATCAAGGTTGAGCGCAAGCAGATCTCCGAGATCGCCACCCAGGCCGCCTTCAGCTCTAAGTTCAAGTACATCGCCGGTGCCCGCCCCTGGACCAACATCGCCGGCCGCGTCGATGTTGCTCTCCCCTCCGCCACCCAGAATGAGGTCTCCGGCGACGAGGCCAAGGCTCTCATCGCCGCTGGCTGCAAGTTCATCGCTGAGGGCTCCAACATGGGCTCCACCCAGGAGGCTATCGATGTCTTCGAGGCCCACCGTGATGCCAACCCCGGTGCCGCTGCTATCTGGTACGCCCCTGGTAAGGCCGCCAACGCCGGTGGTGTTGCCGTGTCTGGTCTTGAGATGGCCCAGAACTCTGCCCGTGTCAACTGGTCCCGTGAGGAGGTTGACTCCCGTCTTAAGAAAATTATGGAGGACTGCTTCAACAACGGCCTTGCTACTGCTAAGGAGTATGTCACCCCTGCTGAGGGTGTGCTTCCTTCTCTCGTGTCTGGCTCCAACATTGCTGGCTTCACCAAGGTCGCTGAGGCCATGAAGGAGCACGGTGACTGGTGGTAGATCAGTCGCCTCCCCATATAATCTGGGTGGTGTTCTGTGATGATTTCTGTCCTCTCTTGAGGAGAGGCAGCTTCGATGCATTTTCTTTTCTTTTAAATAGCTTTTTACCCTTTTGTCAAGCGGGTTACGGATAGAGGCGCTTGGTTTTTTCCACTGTTGCATTTGATTGATATCCCCACTTGAGCACCGCTGTTTGTTTTGGTTCTGCACTTGGGATTGTCATGATGATAATGAGATTCAATGAATGACTTAAAAAAATACTTGTGTTTTGTAAACTTTAGATTTCTATCAAAGTATTAGCTCCAGTGGTTACATGAAACCTTTCAATGCTTTAATTTCATTAAGATCCAAAGAAGTCCGGATTAGGTACATAGGTCCTCTTGTTAGAACGTCCATAGGTATTTGAAGTGTGGCCTGAGGCATCAAAAGCATTCAAGTCACGTGCCGCATGGACACATTATTATCACGTGATGATTACATAATTGCTTTCACGAGCCCCGGAGCGCCGACCTGAGACAGAGCTATCCTTCACAGCGTCAAGGCCAGCGATCTATTCCTCTAAGGAAAAATGCTTATTGCGAGTCTGTAACTTGCAAACTTATTTTTACAGCTTCCGGGGTGCAGTGTTATGTTGTGGAGATGACAATGCTGCCGGACAGGGCAATCCCCGAACAATGGAGGACCTTCCTCCACCAATGTTTGGCCAATCGTATAGATATAGACGAATTCACGGACTTGTCAGGGCTGATGTTTGCCCGCTCGCCGGTGCAAGAAAACGAGCTTCTTGACCTGCTCCTTGAAGCTCGCGCTTCCTCCAGTGTTACCTGGGACCCTCTTTTGCCGCTTTACGTCGATGGACTGTGCAAGGTTGGGAGGGTCAAGTCTTCGTCTGCACTGGCCAGTCTCTTAAAGCACTCTTCTGTTCTGGATGCGTCGGGATCTGGTGAGGGTGATGGCGAGGGGCAGGGCTCACCGTCCAAGTCCAAGAAGCAGAAACCATCCACTCTCATGACAGATATCAAAGTCATCCAGGATGTCATGGTGTTCATTTCCACCGGGTCAATCCCCAAGACGGTGGTTGAGGCCGCAGATATCTACTCTGCCACCGTAGACTGGATTCTGGCTGTCGTGGCGTGGCACAATCACAACATGGATGCCTCACAGCAAACAGGTGGCTTGATGGGATCACCTGACGCGGTCTCGTTGTTCGAGTCGCTTGGGATTTTGCTTGCAGCTTTGTCTGGGACTAACAAAGGACTGGAAGTGCTGTCCAGTGATTACAATCAAGGTAAATCTACATGTTCTCCGCGCTTGGAGATGATATTACCATGTTTGTTGAACATTTATTAACAATCTCCCCTAGAATTGAAAGCGAAATTGGGACAGGCTTTGTCAAGCTACCTGCCTCTCTGTATCGATGTCTCGCTGCCGCTTCGGCATCGCCTCGAAGAGTTGCAGAAAGTGTTCAATCTTTACCCCGGTCAGCCTTCTAAGGCTTTGCATGGGCCTGCTATCGACGGCGTGAATGTCAATGCCCTCCAGTTTGAGTCTTCTGTCATGGATGGCCCAGTTGTTAACACTAGAGCTGGACTCTATGTATACATCAATTCGATGGTACGCTTCTCTCTATGCTGCGATGTTGGGGTCACGGCTGACTAGCAACAGGTTGTGGGACGTCCTTTGGTCGATGATACCATTCTGATCAACTATCTCACCAATAGATATCAGGTAAGTCCAATTACTACGCTTCATTTCTTCCTCACTAGTCAGAGTGGTTCAAATCATCTTTCCCTCACTAGTCATGAGTAGGTCAGATCATTCAATTGACTCCTTACCAGGGCCACAATGACGTCCTCATCGAGGAAATCATCACAGCCGCCTTCGACGTCCTCTCCAACGGCGTATATCGCAATGAATCAGGCCGCACGATGCTCTTATTCCGATCTTTCCTTGTTAACAAGCTTCCCGCTTTTTTCGCAGCTATCTCGGCAGCATCCATGGTGCCGATCTCCATGGAAATGTGTATCAGCCACGCCTTAAGCCGTCTGGATCCGAACGCATTCCCTTCCTTCTCTCAGATGTTCTCCATGCAGGGCAGCAGTGTTTTATCAGATGCTCGCCAGGAGTTTCTCTTTGCTTGTGCGTCGCACAAGCTCATACGAGAGTCCAGCATTGAACAGCTTCTCGGAGAGAACCCCATGCAGACACTGCCTGGTGGGGGTCCTTATGTCAAGGACGATCTCGTTACGCAAATCAATAACAATCATGAACGTGCTGAGCAACTTATTGGTGAGATCGAGTCGATGGAGGGTAATGCAGGCGCGATAGTTGGCGCCGTGGTCGATGTATGTTCCAGACTATCCGATATGAGTTTTCTGGGATTATTAAAGTACTAACTTCTTCAAGGTCATACATAATTTGTGTCATCAGAAAGAGACAATGACGCTCAAGAACATTTGCAACTCGCTCTCACGCCGCCCGCAAACTTTGGACGTCATGCTGCTGTTCCGAACTACAAAGCAAGTATTGCAACCTCTTTGTGCTGTCCTTGATTCCTGGAAGTGGGATGAGGATCAGGGGGAAAATCAGCCTGTATATGACGAATTCGGTAGTATCTTGTTGCTTGTTCTCGCGTTCAAATACCGCTATGACCTGAGTCCTTCTGACATGGGTATCTCAAACAACGACTCGTTCTTGTTGAAACTTTTGGACCGGGGCGCTTGCAGCCAGAAGCTGAGCGACTTGAGCGAGAAGCAAAACAACGATCTTGGCGCTTGGATAGGAGCGTTGTTCATTGCTGAGGGCATCAGTGAAGAGACCATGTCCTCTTGCAGCCCACACGAATTCTACATGCTTGTCACAACACTATTCGATCAGAGTCTTGGTGCATGCGAGTCCGGAAAGCTGGATTTCGACACTTTGAAAGGCGGGTTTGAATGTAATAACATCGTCACGCGGTCGCTTTCCACTGGATATCCAGCTAACCACAATACAGATTTGCTCGAGCCCTTCCTCCTCCCGTCCCTAGTCGTCGCATTGACATGGCTGGGCAATCACATCTGGGAATCAGAGACCGACCCCACAATCCCCATCAAAACCCTCCACTCCCTGGTTAAACCCAGCTCAATCTCCGGCGAAGCCCAAGCCATTCACCAAACCGTCCTGAACATAACCGGTTGCCCACTAGAAGAGCAACTAAAAAACGTCCGAACGAGGAACCAGTCGCGGACAGACATCAAACCAATCCTCGATGCTCTGGAGCCATACATCTCCTTCCGCCGCGTCGGCAGCTGTCGCCGCTCCGAACTCGACACCTGGACCTCCCACTCCGCAGGCGGGCTAATAGCCAGCATCCGCACAACTCTACAAGCCCTCGTCCTCTGGAGCGCGAACCCAGGAATCAGCATGGCCCCACACGCATACACGCACCGGCAGGTGCTCGCGGGGATCCGCATGCTGGGCGCAACACGCGTGCTAGGCGCGATAATCGACGAAGTCAAGCAGCAGACCGAGGCAGGCAGCGGACATATCGCACTGGACATTGCGACGACGATGGTGTGCGCTCCGATGACGGAGTCCTTCGCCGTCGACCAAAACAGTTACCACCCAGTCGACACGAGCAAGGAAGCTTTGCCGCGGTGCGCGATCCTGACGCTGCGCGATGCCTTGTCGCTGCAGCACGAGAACGTGCCTAAGATCTCTGAGAGTGACCCGCTGCGCGCGGAGGTCGTGGTGCGGCTTGCGCGCAGGGTTAATATGCTCATGGCGCCGCCGTCGCAGGTCTCGAATATTGATGTCTCGAATATTATTCAGAATATGCATCTTGGCGTTGAGGGGCAGGAGGATCGGATGGATCTTGAGCCTTCTGCTGCTGATGTTTCGCGTAATACGGTCAATGAGGATGATCCGGATAATATCAATCAGATGCTGGATAAGGCGGCGGCGGATGCGGCGGCCGCTGGGATGGATGGTGGTATTGGTGTGGGTCAGGATATGGGGCTTGATTCTGGCGCTGGCATGGATGCTATTGATGATGTGCTTAATGCTGCGGATATGGCAGTTGGCAATCCTGAGTTCCTCGATTTGGATATGGAGGGTATGTTTTAGTCGATGTGATGGTTTATCTTTGGCATTTATGGACTCACGGTGTCCAATCTTGGCATGGCATTTTGGTCGATCTTTTTTGGCGAATAATGATTCATTTTTTAAACAATTAAACCTTAGGCACTTTTGTATTATTATAAATGAATATCGTATGGAACCAGTGCAATGGGCATCATGGCACGCTTGCTGCACAACCCGCAAGAAAAGAAAAGAAAATAGTGTCAACACGATAGCCCCATACCATATCCAATCCTATACCCAAGAGAAATATACCGGCTGCGCTTCGGTGCATCGTAATCATCGGGCATGTCATCCAATTCTAAAAACAACAGGATATCTCATTAGCCTATCTTACCACCACGATAAAAAAACCATATACGTACAATCCAATACTTTCTCAACTTCCCGCGCCAGCTCGGGAATTCCCGAGTCAGGGAACAGTGTATTCACAATTTGCATCGGGGTCGGGAGGAGGGTTCGTCGGTTGTTGAGTGGGACTGGGGTTGCTGCTACCAGAGCCGAGAAGGAGAGGGCAGCAATGATTGTAGTGAGTTTCATGTTGGGCTGTTTTCTTGGATTGATGTAAGACTAGTGTCGCTGACCTCCGCGTGAGGTTATATATAATCTGTGGTATCTCCATGAGTGACCGGGTCGACGTGATATACCGACAATCTATGTGTGCATCTGAAGGGGCCACGTACTATTATGCTTTGCAAGTATATTGGCAAGTAGATTGCTTGATAATATTAAATTAGAAGAAGGGAGAGTTCCCTTCCCCGACGCGTGCGTGACAGGGCCTTCTTATCTACATCCTCCAGTGCCGTCCTTGGTCTGGGCTAAGACCCTCATATCAGCGAGCTTCAATAACATGGAGCTAGCTCATTCCGGTGGCTTAAAGGTTCTCGTGACAAAGTTTTTCTTCAGCGTGAGGAATTTCAGGTACACAACACGTCTGGAAATTTGGGATGTTGAGGTTTGTATATCCTCTACTTGACATCGGCAAGTTGGGTGCTGCAAATTATATGGTTAGTGCTGACAGTTATTTTATGACATACATTAGGATCACAAACGGTGGACATAGGATGCACTTCTCTTTTTTCTGTGCATATTAGATAGATACACCCCTTTCAAAAATCATGTGGCGTGAGGCGCTATTCAATCAAGGGATACAGTCCAGCCCTTAAATACCCATCGCCAATAAAAGCCCATTCCATCTAACAACAACAAAGCTAAATGAGCAGGGTATAAACATCGATTGCTCTCGAGTTGAGAATCTTTATTTTTGTAGATATGTGTCCAAAGTGACTACATGTGAGTCTGGCTCTCGATTTCTTGTACCTGGACCATATGTATATACTGTTGCCTGGGAAGTACGGCTCCCGGCACAGGATAAAACTAGACCTCGAGGTAACCCCGCCGCGCGACCCCGCTACTCATTAAGCAACCTTGGTGGTCCAGAGCTCACCGTTGTACCCAAGGTATGTATGATGTGATGCCCTCGGGAGTATAATCCAGATCTAAAAGTGGGGTTGGAAGCCGAATAGACGGTGCGATTGCTAATTATTGAACGGAATGTCAAACCGTTGGACCTTTTTATGCAGCACGCAAGATGTTGACAGACCCGCAATGGAGCTAGGCAAGCAGTTGCAAATTTCCTGATTGGGAAACAAGGCACATATTTCCTTATTGGGAAGACCCAGGGACCGGGCTAGAACCCGATTAGATAAGACCGGGTAGATCGGGATCGTCGGGGAACCTGCTTATCGGGATGTACGGAGTATCAGCCTGTGGTTTCTTCGGTTTCGGTACCTCGGCATTGTTGATTTGCTGATCCATATACCTAGGTAGTGTATAACTGACTTTGACAGTTCAATTTTAGGGGCACTTCCGTTCTGACAAGGCGCCTTAATCAAGAACTTTAATCCTTTCCAGAAATACATAAACATATATATATCCTCATGTTGAATCGCCACCTATCACGAACATTGCGTAGAAGTATGCAGCCTCTCATATATAGTATCACCGGAAATTTCAGCTGATAGTAATCCACCTTGAAAGAAGAAGTGGGAACAATCGATTGCTAATGCATTATTCGTCGAGATAAACCACGCACTCTACTTTGTACAGTGATGTATAACGCCGAACAGCGAAGCCCTAAAAGCCTCATGCATCCAAACACAATAGAAGTCGGGTGAATCGGGCATCTCTCCGGCCTCCAATTCTTTGATGTTGAACAATCATTGGATAACTTGGGAATACATAGCTCTTCGACCCAAGATTTGCCCACAACTGGGCTCCACCATGGAACTCGGCCTCTGTGCCGGGTTTTCCTGACTCCTTTGGATCTATTCATAGGAATGAAACAATAATCTCTGCATTAGCACCAATAATGAACAAAATCTTGGTATAAATCGCTTCAGCCAATGACGTGTCCCTATTCAATATCAGCTTATTGATCTCTTATTTCTTCGGATCTGGAGTCGGCACATATAATGCCTCGCCCCTTTGCAGAATCTTTTACGAGGATAAATATACTAGACCACCCAATTTAAAGGACTTGTGATTCTATAATAATTTTTGCTTCTTTGACCAATCTCCACTCTTTCATAGTCTCCTATCATGGAGCAGCATCCCGGCCCCGATGATGCCTCGCTGCACAGCGAATACCACAATGAAGACCAAAACGACAACCAAATCTTGGACAACCAACCCGTCCACAAGCTCAACACCCACGATTTCACTAGCGTGGAGACCCTGCATGTACCCCAAGCCAACATCCACGAAGCAAAGAGTGCCGAGACTCTGAATGTCGCCAATGCCGATACTTCCCTACCTTCCAAGAAGACTGCGGAGTGGAGCATGACACCACAAGTGATCCGGAACGCAGAACGTGATGAAGCAGCTGGATTCAAGAAGCGCGAGCTAGGTGTTACATGGCAAAACCTAACCGTCGATGTCCTTGCTGCCGAAGCCGCCGTCAACGAAAACATGATCTCGCAATTCAACGTTCCTCAATTGATTAAAGATTTCCGCCGAAAGCCACCACTCAAATCGATCTTGTCTGACAGCCATGGATGTGTCAAGCCCGGAGAAATGTTGCTTGTGTTGGGTCGCCCTGGTTCAGGATGCACCACGTTGCTCAAGATGCTATCAAATCGCCGCGAAGGTTATCATACCGTGAACGGTGACGTGCGTTTCGGCAACATGTCCCCTAAGGAAGCCGAGGGCTATAATGGCCAGATTGTGATGAACACAGAAGAAGAGCTGTTCTACCCCCGCTTGACAGTCGGCCAGACTATGGAATTTGCGGCCAGACTCAAGGTACCTTTCCATCTACCAGATGGAGTCAAAAGTGTCGACGAATACACAGCCGAGACGAAACAGTTCCTTCTAGAGTCTATGGGAATCACTCATACAGCCGATACCAAGGTTGGAAATGAGTTCGTCCGTGGTGTATCCGGTGGTGAGCGGAAGCGAGTCTCTATTATCGAGTGTCTCGCCACTAGGGGTTCTGTTTACTCCTGGGATAACAGTACCCGTGGTTTAGATGCCAGTACCGCATTGGAGTGGGCTAAGGCCCTTCGTGCCATGACTGATATTCTCGGCCTTTCCACCATTGTGACGCTATATCAAGCAGGAAATGGAATTTATAATCTCTTCGACAAGGTCCTTGTCCTTGACGAGGGAAAGCAGATCTACTATGGCCCTGCAGATGCAGCTAAGCCTTTCATGGAAGATCTAGGCTTCGTATATACTGACGGAGCAAACGTCGGTACGTCTTTCCTACATTTGACAAACAACCCTGATATTAACTAACAAAAAAACGATAGGCGACTTCCTCACTGGTTTGACAGTCCCGACAGAGCGCAGAATCAGACCCGGATGCGAAAACACATTCCCCAGAAATGCCGATGCCATTTTGGCTGAATACAAAAAGTCCAGCACTTACGACCGTATGGTCTCAGCATATGACTATCCCGACTCCGAACTCAGCCGCGAGCGCACAGATGCATTCAAAGAGTCCGTTGCGTGGGAAAAGTCCAGTCACCTGCCTAAGAGTAGTAGTCTGACTACCAGCTTTTGGGCTCAGCTCATCGCATGCACCAGGCGACAGTATCAGATTCTGTGGGGTGAGAAGTCAACATTCATCATCAAACAGGTTCTGTCATGCGTGATGGCGTTGATCGCTGGTTCTTGCTTCTATGACTCGCCAGACACAACCGCAGGTCTCTTCACCAAAGGTGGTGCTGTCTTCTTCTCGTTGTTGTACAACTGCATTGTTGCCATGTCTGAGGTCACTGAATCCTTCAAGGGCCGTCCGGTTTTGATCAAACACAAGGGCTTTGCTATGTACCACCCCGCTGCGTTTTCCTTGGCTCAGATCATGGCGGATTTCCCGGTTCTGTTGTTCCAGTGCACTATCTTCTCGGTCGTGATCTATTGGATGTCTGGCCTGAAACATACTGCGGCTGCTTTCTTTACCTTCTGGATTATTCTGTTCGCGACAACTCTGGTAAGTAGTCGCATTCTATTCGATTCTGTCTGTTTATCGACTTTGGACTAACTCTTACATCTTCAGTGCATTACTGCTCTCTTCAGATTTATCGGATCCGCTTTCAGTAGCTTCGAAGCTGCGTCGAAGATCTCAGGAACTGCAGTCAAAGGCATTGTCATGTACGCTGGTTACATGATTCCCAAGCCTCAGATGAAAAACTGGTTCCTTGAGCTGTACTACACGAACCCCTTTGCCTATGCCTTCCAAGCTGCGATGTCGAACGAGTTCCATGGCCGTCATATCCCCTGTGTTGGTAACAACCTGATCCCAAGTGGCCCTGGCTACGAGGACGTTGGAGCCGAGAACCAAGCTTGTGCGGGTGTTGGTGGTGCTTTGCCAGGCGCAAACTATGTGACCGGCGACCAATATCTTGGATCACTTCACTACAAGCACTCTCAAATGTGGCGGAACTTTGGTGTCGTCTGGGGCTGGTGGGGATTCTTCGCCATTTTGACGATTGTTTTCACATCCTACTGGAAAGCAGGTGCTGGCTCTGGTGCTGCTCTTCTCATTCCCCGCGAAAAACTTAAGCAACACCACGCCGCCTCCGATGAAGAAGCACAAAGTAACGAAAAGACTACCGCCCGCGAGACTACCGATGAGCCCGTCGGGGTTGACGATGAAAATCTCACCCGAAACACGTCAATATTTACCTGGAAAAACCTCACATATACTGTCCAAACTCCCACGGGCGATCGAGTGCTGTTGGATAACATTCACGGATGGGTCAAGCCCGGCATGCTCGGGGCCCTTATGGGATCTTCTGGTGCAGGAAAAACCACACTACTTGATGTGCTTGCTCAGCGTAAGACAGACGGTACTATCAACGGCTCTATCATGGTTGATGGCCGTGAGCTCCCGGTGTCTTTCCAAAGAATGGCGGGATACTGCGAACAACTGGATGTTCACGAGCCATACGCAACCGTGAGAGAAGCATTGGAATTCTCTGCTCTCCTTCGCCAGTCTCGCAACACCTCTAAGGCAGATAAACTCAAGTATGTTGACACCATCATTGATCTTCTTGAGCTCCATGATCTGGCAGATACTCTTATTGGTACTATCGGGAATGGACTCAGCGTCGAGCAAAGAAAGCGTGTCACAATTGGCGTGGAACTGGTGTCTAAGCCTAGCATTCTAATCTTCTTGGACGAGCCCACCTCGGGTCTGGATGGACAATCGGCCTATAACACCGTCCGTTTCCTTCGCAAATTGGCTGATGTTGGTCAAGCTGTTTTGGTAAGTCTTCACTTCTTCAATCCAGCAACTGCAAGATCATATTACTAACAAGCCACGTTCTAGGTTACGATCCATCAGCCTTCAGCGCAGCTCTTCGCTCAATTCGACACTCTCCTTCTCCTTGCAAAGGGCGGAAAGACAGTCTACTTTGGAGACATTGGAGATAATGCGGCCTGTGTTAAGCAATACTTTGGCCAATACGGGGCCCAGTGCCCTATCGAGGCCAACGCAGCTGAGTTCATGATTGACGTTGTTACCGGTGGTATCGAGTCTGTCAAGGATAAGGACTGGCATCAGATCTGGCTCGACTCGCCCGAGCAAACTCGCATGATCACGGAACTGGACAGAATGATTGCGGACGCTGCTGCCAAACCCCCTGGAACAGTCGATGATGGATTCGAATTCTCTATGCCTCTTTGGGAGCAGACCAAAATCGTCACTCAGCGAATGAATGTCGCGCTTTTCCGGAACACCAACTACGTCAACAACAAGTTCTCCCTTCACATCATCTCAGCCATGCTCAATGGTTTCTCCTTCTGGCGCCCTGGCCCAAGTGTGTCAGCTTTGAATCTGAAGATGTTCACGATCTTCAACTTTGTCTTCGTTGCTCCCGGTGTCATCAACCAGCTTCAGCCTCTCTTTATCCAGCGCCGTGATATCTACGACACCCGCGAGAAGAAGTCGAAGATGTACTCGTGGGTTGCCTTCGTCACCGGATTGATTGTTTCCGAGTTCCCATATCTCTGCATCTGTGCGGTTCTCTACTTTGCTTGCTGGTACTACCCCGTTTGGAGACTGCCTCATGATTCGAACCGATCTGGCGCCACATTCTTCATGATGTTGATCTACGAGCTCATTTACACTGGTATTGGTCAATTCGTCGCCGCCTATTCGCCCAACCCGACCTTTGCTGCGCTTGTGAACCCCCTGATTATCAGTACTCTTGTCCTGTTCTGCGGTATCTTCGTCCCATACATCCAACTCAACGTGTTCTGGCGGTACTGGATGTACTACCTGAATCCCTTCAACTACGTTGTCTCGGGAATGTTGACTTTTGGCATCTGGGGTGCTAAGGTCACTTGCAATGAGGATGAGTTCGCTTTCTTCGAGCCGGTCAACGGAACCACCTGCGTGGAGTACCTGTCGGATTATATGTCTGGTGCTGGCTCGAGTATTAATTTGGTCAACCCCGACGCTACCTCGGCCTGCAAGGTCTGTCAATACACAGATGGAAGCGATTTCCTGAGAAATCTCAATATCATGAACTACACCACTGGATGGAGAGATATCGGTATCTCGGTCATCTTTGCCATCAGTGGATACGCTTTGGTATTCGGACTCATGAAGCTGAGAACCAAGGCCTCGAAGAAGGCCGAGTAGGTTGATCGTTCATTCATCCTTTTTCTTCAAGCCCTTCATTTCATCGGAAGCCTCATTGATTGGTTATTCCCTTTTCCGATCTTTCTTCCACCATTTTCTCTTCATTTCCTCTGTTCATACATTACTTCCATCCTTCACAGAACCATCTTTTTGCCAATCCTGTCATAAATTCACTTCTCAGCCCTTCATTCATGGAGCCCTACACCGTGCATATCTGCATTTTCTCCCGTCATCGAGCACTTTCACTTCCTGCATACATGTTATTAGCTAGCATATAGATTCTAGAACATAGAACATAGAATATAGATTGTACATTCTTGAACCTTTTACACGAGAGCCACTATAAGATTGAGTTGTTGTAGCAGTTACGAACATGATTCTATGTAATTGAGCTATCCACGAGCCTAAAGAGAACCGATCGAAGCCATAACTATATTACCTATGTAGGTAGTCGCATCGATGCATACTAATATAGTATATCAACCCGTATTCCAATTCTCCGAGTTAGCCGCCAATATTAGAATATGTACGGAGTATGTACTCCGTACTTTCTGAACCCTACTTGTATCCACAGTGTGATGAAATTGCATCGACACTCGGGCCAACGAGCTGCTGCGTGGAGATGCGTCCATGTACCCACATATGTACGGAGTACTGGAGAAGTTATCCGGGGGCCGTAATTGTGACACATACACCTTCCCGATCAGGTAGTCGAAAAATAACTCCAAAATGGAAAAGGGAAGCAAAATCCCCTAAAATTGTCTTACATCGATGATTATCTCCACCAGCGAAAGGATCTTCGAGGTGGAAATGACGGGGTCGACCCAGCGTCATGGGCAAACCTTGAAAGACGGGATCGACCATTTGCCTTTGTAGACTTTCATGACCGATCATTGCCTAACTCCTGCAAGCTGACACCGACAACACGGAACCTCCTATCATAGTTGAATTCGGAGCAGTAGCTTACCCCCAATATTCCCGCGGGGACCGCGAAATCGGAGGCAGAAATCGATCCACAGCGCACATTCTCCGACGTACATACGCGATGCTGCACGTGGGTGGAAACTCGCCCCCGTCTGATAGAATCCGATTCGACGCGGTGAAGAGCTTGGGACCTACACACGAGCTAGTTGTCTGCAGAAACACGGGTGACGAACGCATTTTTTCTTTCAATAAACAAAATTTAAACCAAAATTGCCTCGCCGATGAGAATTTGATTGGCATGCTATGCTGGTGTTTCTTATCACATCTCAAGCACACAAGCACGGGTGTTATTGTATTACCCAGGAAGGATTGATGATCGCTCGGCAAATCTCCTTTAATCTCCTTTTGTGGAAACCTGGTCTCCCCGGTGGGGGGAGGCATTGAAGGATTGCGGGTAAGGTCCCCAAGCTTGTTGGACAAGAGAGTACAAAGTATGTTGTCATAAGAATCTCGGGGTAATTTAGAGCGCGAATGCATATTCTTTGTCCCCGATTTCATACAGAAACCGACCTTGTTTCCCGCCTCTGTTCTGTCCCGTAAACCAGCCAAGCAAAGATCAGCAGTGATAGTGGAGTTAAATAGGCGTGTTTCTCGGTCGTCATAAAGAACCAAAAGCCAAAGCTCCGCCGTGAGCCCTTCTGCTCGTTTAAATGCCGGACTTTGAATTAGGCCACTTGATCGCCGATGCAGTGATCCACTAGACCGAATTCTGGACTTCAGACACAATTTCCATTTTGGACTGAGCGGGATCGTTGCTAGAACAACGAACAACGAACAAGATTGAGGCTTCACTTTCTTATGTATATGAGTTAGGAGAAAAGTGAACGAGAAGGGTTACCGTTGAAATCAGGAGGTAATTGGTTTGGCGAAGCTTCAAGCCGTTATCCCCACAGTATGACGCGGTAACAGGATCCATAACTGTTCATAAATTGCACCCAGGTAATAGACTCTTGTGCTATGTATAGAGAAGACTACGTATGTTGTAGTACAATGCTGGGGATCTCGGAAACAGTGGAGTTGATGCGATCGCGCTTGAAGCCGACAAAATGGGGGTTGTTTCATTTCGTGGGGCTTCGAAAATGAGACTCTCCATTTCAATATGCTTAATAGATTAATTGAAGCCAAAGGAGGGATAATATTGGAAGTTCTGTTAAGGCGTGCTTGTTCACGTGACATGGGCACACCAGGCACATGCTTCGTTCCCGAGGTATCTCCAGGCAATAGTCTCCTGCAATCTCAATAATAGGATTGCAGAATCAATAATCTGTTCTTGATCCGGATTACAGAGTATAGTCAACTGTACTCTGTATGTTGTATGGAGTACTTCGTATTAAATTATCCCTAACGCGACCAGACTCCTCTATTACGTCGCCAGCGCGGACGCGAGGGTGATCCCCTCCTAACCGTGCCGTCCCGCACTATACTGATGATGATACAGTCAATCTAACACCTATCATATCCTTTCTTTCATCCCGTCCCAAGGAAAATGGCGCCGGTGTGGGGATTCCGGTCCATGGTCAGCACTTAACAATATAAGGTCCAGCGAGACTATTGATTGCCTCAACGGCCGGATGCACGCGACGCACAAATTTATCAATAGTCTACTGTCAATGCTCCTATGAAAACGACAGGTCCATCACCGTGGTGGGCTACCATGGAGGGCTATCATTACTACAATATATACGGAGAGTATGGAGTGCCTGGCGCAATCTTCCGCCCCAAAAGCCAAGAAAATAGCCTTCTTGTGGGCCACCTGTGTTCTAGTCCACGAGTCACCGGGACTCTTCGTGGATCGTTTTGCCATGATCATCTTTCCGATAGGCCCGGCTAGTTTTCTAGCCTCCCCACACACTCTCAAATCCCTGCTCACTGCACCAACGGCCAGGTCCATCTCAGGGGCGTTGACAGGGGATTGCTGTTAGTCCCGCATTGAATTTCAAGCACGTGCAACGTCAAACAAAGAAATCGAACAGCCGGGGATCCCAACGATTCTTTGAGTTGCATTTCCCGAAACCAGGGCGACATTCGAGTCAGCATCCCGGTACGGAGTACAACGTAGGTTCTGAATTCGAACCCTACGGAAACTCTGGAATTGCGGCACAGCCGCCCCCCTATCTGCATTTGAGGGGACGTTGAACTATTGATTTTAAAACAGAACTAGATGTATCCAGCTGAGTGGTTTGAATTAATTAATACCGCCAATGAATGGTCTCAGTTATACTTCATAAAGTGGATTTATGACCACATGGCGCATCAGACTCCACGAGAAGACGCATTGTAAATCCCCAAGCCAGCCCCTGACTGCGAGCCTCCACTAAGGCAACCCGAGTCTTTGTCCCTGGAACCGGAAGCTCTCCCGCGAGTACAAAAGTTCCTTAGCTACGCTAAAAAGCAAAGAGGAAAAAAAAAACGACAGTCCAATCTTGGTCAAAGCTCCATCTGCCTGATCGAATCTGGACTCTCTGGACCCGATTATCGCCCGTCCCAATCTAACATCTCAGATCCCGAACAAAGGAGCAACAAAGAAATACATATCGTGTGGCGGTCCAACCTCGATCAATTCCCATCTAGGACACGGCTTCCATCGCCAAACACAGAATATACAGCCGGCGCAGTGACTGTGCCGCTAATCGACGCCTCCCACAGCTTGACAGGTAACATAAGCTATCATGTATGTTGTACAATGCGTTGGTGGCGTCGGGATATGAAATAGGGAAAGTAGAGGCGCGGACTAGCCCCTAATCCCGGAAAAGAAGTACCGTCTGGACCGTTGCGCGGAAATGTGCTAGTCAATCCGCCGGCCGTGCGCGTCCGGCATCGCCTTCTGGTGGCTTTCTAGACACCTCGCGGAGGACGTCCCGGATAGCTTAGGGTTTGGAGGATTTCGTTCCTTGTGATTTCCCCTTAAGGCGAAATGAACTGTGGAGTGTGATGAGTGGGGATGTGTGCGTAGCTTCTATCTTTTTTTGTTGATTGCCTTCACATCGCCCCATCAACGACTATTCCTGGGCCGTTCTCTTTCATGCGCCAGTCTAAGTGGGCTTTCGTATTGGATCAATGGTATGAAACTTACGCTGTATGTATCGTTGACCGTTACCCTTTAGCAAATTACTATACAGGGTCCGGTATCCTGATCTCATTCTGGGTGCTTTCTCTCGCTAACTAGATCCCTGTAGGTGCTAGCCTGGTCTATCGTTTCTAATATTTTAGATCACAATCTAGATGTCCAGGGTTATCCTTCTGCTTTTTGGACTGCTTATGAATATCCATATAATTGTTGGACTTTGTGCGGTGTACGGAGTATACTCCGTAGACATCGAATGGATAATCCCTGGTTTTAGTCCACCGCCTTTCCCCTGCTTCTATTGATGAGCTTGCATTATACATATGTATGAAGTATGTGGTATGTATGTACGTTGTTTTGTTTTTTTATTGGATATTTGTCAATATCCTCCATACTATGTATTCATGGGTAGCCCCTGTTACCAGGCACCAAGGTTCCGTCTATCCGCTCGCATCCATGGATGAGCTTGCGTTAAATTCAATGTCCAAAATCCAGTCATCGGGTCCTTTACATCCATATGCTCAAATATTTAATATTACTATTCGTACGGAGTATTTTAGCGCAATACATTTGATTAAAATCATCTTTAGCAAAGCCTAAAACCCGATATATAGATGAAGAGGGGCATAGATTTAGTCGACAGTGCACAACATATGATATACGCTGAGAATATGAGGTTCGAATATGCCCTACCCAGGAAACCGAACTAAAAATTCTAGTACAGGTCACATCTAGTAGCTTGTGTAACAGCTTGGTTACACGTTCGCAATCGTGGGGTAAAAGGCCAAAAAGAAACAGGCTCTATCTCAGCCATCAATAGAACCTTGGAAAACACGGTGAGAAAGCATGATCAAGAACTTCAAAGAAGAAAAAAAACCAGAAACCCTGTCTGCATATCAAATCACATAAGACGCAACAGACTGATTTTATTGAGATCATAACCAAAATTCTAAGGTTTGGAGCGCGATCTCGCAGCCGAATGCAGGTACATGCGCTACGTATGCATAAAACTGCGGTGTTGTTTCAGCCTCAGTCGCTCACCGCATCTCAACAATTAAGTCTACGAGGTGACACAACACAGCCAAAATTTGGATTGTCTGAATGCGCTCCCGCGTGCTGGTAATGGGGGATCGTACTACAAGATGCTGAGGATACATTACAGGTATATGTCTTTATGTTGTCAGGTAATATGTCTCGATAATCTCAAGGTCTCAAGTATGTTATGATCCCATGCGCAATCTTTCTATGCGGCAGTTGTTATGTGTCCATGAACATATATCGATGAGATAGGAGAGGCCCAATACGTAAGCGACTCCATGCCATTTACATCTAGTAGAGGCTCTGTCTATACGATAGGTAAGTATAGGTCCTCGCCTGTTACTCAGACTGCATAGGATATACCTCGCTATTTGGCACGTTCCACTGAACTCTCGGATACCAACGTTGATATTCCAAGACATCGACTCAGAGCTCTAGCACGCATTCCTGGTCTTGCATCGGCAATTGCCCCCACGAGGCTTACTAAGATCTAGATTGAATCCGAAGATTAGTGTCTTGCTGATCCTACCCCGCGAGTCAGCCGTTCGCCTCCTATACGCGAGGATTACGAGGGGACTAGATCATGTCGCACGCGGAGAGATATCCTCAGGTGGAAATATCACCCGAGGAATAGTCCTCCAAATCGACAAAAATACGACTGACATAAAGCAGAGACATATCATGTGTCTTATCATAGAACCCATTGATGATCCGGACTAGACTGCCCTCAAGCCTCGACCTAGCAAGGCTCCTACCTAAAATGGTTGCCTGGATGCGGGTCGGGCTTCTCAACCTCGGTGAACATGTTAAACAGATCAGACTAGATGTGATGATATGTGATGATACCACTCTTCCCCGACGATCTCTTGTCAACTAGACGGGTCCTGCAGCACTGCAGCACAGTGGCTATACTTGTGCAAGTCCTTTGGGAGAACGACCGTGCATGCCCCACTGCTTGGGCACGAGTCTGCCGGGAAGTGATGTGCCCGTCTGCTATGCAGCTTGCTGACGAAAATATGAAAAGACAAACGAATAGCGAGCCAGCAAGTTAAGCTAATGTAGGGGTAGTTGATTTGTGCTGTAGGTAATATCGATGATGAGACAAGCAAACAGTCTGAGACCGCGCGGGCTGACCCGTCAATTGTATCACCCTATGAGTTGCATTGTGGGACTAGTTTTTAGTTACACTGTTATGTTGTATTTTTCTGTAGAGAGTAAGAGAGACAAGAAATTCAAAACATGACCATAACCAAACCGGCTGTAAATTTGAGTAGCCTCAATATCCTACGCGATCTATATACTCCGTACGCGACCGTAAAAATAGATCGTTTCCATCAGAGAGAGGATGGGACTTGGTCTAAGCACCCACCCCTCGCCCATGGTTCGAACCAGACTCCGGCGCGGACATTCCACCCATTGAAGGTATGGCCCGCAGATCGAATTTTGCGATTGCCCACCCTGATGTGATGATATAGAGGAGGCTTGCATTACCCTACTATGACAGCCATCGATTGGACCCCACGAGGGCGAGGCGTTCGGAGGTTTTTATTTTTGTTTGAGCTGCCAACACTGTTCAATGTCTCTAGTTGGCTCGGCTGGCTTGATAGCCTCGCTGACTTACATTAGTCAAACATTAGTTATCAGGAACTAGCAGCTTTATACTTCCCTAAGGAGGCAAAGATTCCAGAACATGTGACGGCTGACCAATGCATGTTTAGGAGAAATAAGTATGCGTTTTGCACATTTCAATGTTGACTGGCGACTGCAGAATCACTCAGTTCACGTAGCTCGGCGAATCTGTTGGTCGAGCTGCGGGAGGACGTGCGAGGCAACTGTGATGGGGAAGGGGAGAATGGCCTATGGATATTGTCATAGTCATATTTGTGTATTACAAGTTCAATACTAAGTGTCTCCAATTACTCCAAAGCCTAGAAAACGAAATCGTCTTTCTATTATCATTATTCAATTTTGCGACCTTCGTCTTTGATCCATGATTCAGTATGGAGTACCCATACGTTCGCCTAATTGTTTTCAAGAGAACCATGGAAAACAACTTGTTGAACAAATATTATTAATGTGTTCCACCTCGAAAGTATTGACAGAATATATTCCGAAGTTCACTTTGAGTCGAGATGTACATTCTAATGTAAGTCAACAAAAGTACATCAAAAATTTTCATCCGGTAAGGCAGTAGTCCGGTATCTGCCCTCGCATCCATTATTATTCCAGGTCTTAGACAAGAGCGGGTCCGTCATGAATTTCCCCGTCGCCTCACGTAGCTTGGATCTAGCCAGGATTAAGTTAACCTCACTACTCTGTACAAGGTATGCAACCTTGGAAGCATCGGGTAGCTCTGCGACAGTGTTCGACCTTTTCACAACTCGCAACAGCTCGCGTTTGTGGATCCTGTTTGCCAATTGCGAACCTGTTCATACGATTATCGCCCCACGCGGAAGGGAAAAAGGAAAAAAAAAAGAGATGGAGGGGGATCTCAGGATGATACTCGGTACATACAGGTTGGTCTGGATGTCAATAGAGACCGGGGTCTGGACAAGGGGTATAGCAGGGATTTGAGATTTGAGATTTTTTTTATGAGAGGTACGGACGAGGGATATGTACACTATTTGCAATCTGATGAAAATAAACCATAACGGCCAGAATAAAAAAAGACTTTTGGCTGCTGTCACTTTGGGGGCCGGTCGCTGCGCTGTCGATCCCATCCCGGAGAGATATCGGTGACAGGCGAACAAAAAGGTCCCCTTCCCTCACTTTTAATGATTGATCGAGTCCCCCTGCAGGTCCTAGCACACACGGTCAATGCATTAAGACATGGCCTGACTTAACCCCACAGGATTTATTTCGTTGTGGCGATATGATTGGTCTCATGGGGGAGTAGTTTTTAATTCTAAACAAATTAAAATGGAGAATTTATTGCGTTTTTTGGGGGGGGGGGGGGGGGGGGGAAGTAGTGGAAGGTCTGGAACAAAGTGAGTTCGGCAGATGCAAGGTGGATAGTGCTAGACTAGACTTGGTACATGTGAGAGATGTACCTTTTAGCCTAATTATTGGTGTAGTGGGTACTTTGTCACTTAGTACCAGTAGTAGGTGCCAAAGGCCCATGGGATTGTTATTCGAAGTAGACAGGCCAACTCTCGGGGAAAGGAGGGTTTCCTCAAATTTCGTCAAATTTCCTCCTTTTTCTGTTTCTTTTTCTTTTTCTATTACTATTTGAGGATCCCAATCTTTGATTTTCCTTGAGCGAAGAAAAGATACATAGAGAGGGAAATATAAGTTCTAAAGAGATGAGTGTAAAAAATAAAAAATAAAATAAAAAAAAGTGAAAAAACCCCAAAATTTAAGAATTTCGAAATACGTACTTCTGTATGATACCCGTCACATTATATCATCAGAGTACTTTACATATCCATACATATCCATACGGGCCTATTACCGGTGGAGCGTGGATCGTCCCGATCGAGTCCCAGAAGATTCATGGCCTTTGAGAACCTCCAGAGAGCTATTATTCCACTTAATTCCCTCTTTTCCCTTTCTCCCCTTTTGCTTCAGATCTCTTCATTTTACACTTCATTTGTATTATTGCTGCCGGTGGCAATTGCGAGCTATACTTAGCTATTCTTAGCATTCTTTCCCTTATATCCCTTCCGCCCTTGCGTTACTTTAATAGGGAATCCCACTTTCGTCACTCTTGTTGCCATTACAGTCCTTGCTGCGATCCTTCGATAGGTGCATTTACCTCTCCCCTTAGGCATTTGCATTACTTCCAAGGTTTACCCATTGAGCCGTTCATCCCTTGATATTGGGATCTCATTGCGACTCATCCCTCCGGGATTTTGAATATTCCGGACTCCTTGAAAGGAAGTCTGTTTGGATCTGTTTATAGTTTTTGATTACTTGTTAATATTGTTTTTCTGTGTTTGTATGTCCAGTTCAAACTTCCTAAATCCTTCCCCTCTCCAGGAATTCCAAGCCTTCGACCTCCTTGGGCGCATTCCAAACATTCAATCCCTATACTCTATATCCTTGAGCGCCAATTGACCTAGATTGTGTAGGATCAACCCCAGCCTCTGGCGATCCGATTCCTCCCCTCCATCCTTGATTATCCAACGCCACTTGCTTTCGATACTTGTCTTTCTTGTTGGATTCACTGAACGATGTCCATTGCACCTATCGAATAAACGCCTTCGGTCAGTGACCTCAGCGGCTTGGAGAAGAAATTACACAGTCACGGAACCGACAAGAGATGGAATCAATGAAGCCACACATCCCCCCGTTAAAGATCTCGAAATCCAATTCGAATTTATCCGAGTCGAGCAACGACGCTAAATCTATACCGAATCGATTCTATTCCGCCTGGGGCTCATCAGAGATTACCCCTCCCTTAACACCACAAGACGCCCAGGACACAAACATGGATCAATTGGAGGCCCCGAGGCCTGTCTTTCACAACTATCTGCGCGCCTTCTACCCTTTCCACCCGGCAGGCAATGTCTCTCCGTCGACCGTTACACTCCCTCTGGACCAGGGAGATATCATTTTGGTACACTCCGTTCACACCAATGGCTGGGCCGATGGTACATTATTAGATTCTGGGAATCGAGGCTGGTTACCCACGAATTACTGCGAAGCATACGACCAATTACCTATGCGTCCTTTGTTGAAGGCCTTGACTGATTTCTGGGATATCATTCGAGGAGGATGCGGGTCATCACTAAAAGATTTTGGAAACCAAGACTTGATGAGAGGCCCTATCGCTGGCGTTCGGTTTTTACTGGTAAGTACCTACTAGAACCGCGAAACCACTACAGGGCTTATAATTCCTCAGGAAAAATCAGAATGTCTTACTCGAGAATCCTCCCTGGTTAGGAGATTCGATGGACTACGCAGAATTCGGAAGGCTTTGTTATCTGACCTGTCTTCGCTGGTGAAAACTGCGAAGAAGTTCCAGGAAGTTGCCAACGGGGTCCCGTCGGAAGATGAGGTTGAGGCCATTTTGGATGAGATGCTTCTCAAGGCTTTCAAGATTGTTACCCGAGGAGTTCGATTCCTCGACGTGTGGAATGAGGAGGTAGGCCTGAGCAGGACTATCGCCGAAATGGATGGGCCCGGCGACAGCCAAGGCCAGTACAGCATGCCCCCGACTCCTGCATCCGAGAGCTTCAACTTGGGCGAGAACGACGGACCTGATAGATCTGAGTCGCGAATGCTGGAATCACGAATGGAATCACGAATGGAATCACGAATGGAGTCGCGGCAGATGAGCCATAGCCGTATGGATATGAGTCGGTCGTCGGTGCGCACTGAGATGGTTGATCAGAGACCGGCCTCCGTCGCTACGAAACGGGTTTCTGTATCCCACCGCATGTCAGTCTCCGGTCCTTCTACTGCCATTGGTGCCCATAATCTGGCATCCGAACGCCTCGGAACGACATATGATGCGTTCCTCGGCGTGCTTGGATCATTTCTCGGGCTCCACATGCAGTCCCGCTCCTCGACAGAGTTGGTTGTCACCACCCAGCAGGCTGTCCAGTCGTGCAGGCAATTGTTAAATGTCGTCGAGGTAGTGTGCGAGCATGACACGCATCGCAGCGTATTTCTCGAACAAGCACGAGAGTCAATGTGTGAGAAGCTATCCCAGCTGGTTCACGCTGCACGCGACGTGTTCCGCCCCGCACATCTACCAGACGATGATCTTGTGTTCATGCCAGACGAAGGGAAACGCCTTGTGGAAGCTGCGACTGACTGTGTACGAGCAGCTGGAAACTGTTTGGCGAAGGCTCGCCTGGTGCTTGAGCAAATTGGCGACCTTGAGCTTGACCCTGAACACTTTGAAGAGAGAGGACAGGACTTGTCTAGCATTGCCTCTCCACAAGATGAATCGGAGACTCCTGTAGAACAGGACCGACAGGAGTTGTCACTCCGGCTTCCCCCACCTCCCCTTCAAATTCCTAGCACCACATACTCTCCCCCAACACCTGCTCTCACCGACGCTACAACACCTTCTTCCTTCCAGTCTCATCTCACAAATTCTCCCGCCAACATTACCGCCATTTCCTCCCTCCCTAATTCTGCCATCCTCCCCACCCACCTCGAGAACATCTCTTCCTTCTCCTCCACTGACAGTAGCTACCGTGAAAGTCATCCCAAGTCTGACGTGAGCGAATCATTTGGCCGTGGAGTCACGAGCAATGGTAGCAGCTTCACATATAACAGCCACGCACGTGACTCCGAGATGAGTGGTGTCTCGCAAACCTCGACTCGGGCTACCTCACCGGATATTGGGGGTAGCTTCCAAGGTAGCTACACGATTCACTCGCTGAAGGAAAGTTTGAGTTACTCGACCCTCGCCGAGGAGAACGAGGAGACTGAGGCCAACATCCTGGAAAAGACTTTCGCACACGAACTCATTTACAAGGAAGGTTCGGTGATGGGTGGCAGTCTTCGTGCTCTTATTGAGAAGCTGACTGCCCACCAATCCACCCCCGATGCTATGTTTGTCTCAACTTTCTACCTCACCTTCCGTCTCTTTGCCACGCCTCTTGAGTTTGCCCAGGCCCTCGCTGAACGCTTCGAGTACATTGGTGACACACCCCACGCCGCCGGACCCGTCCGTCTCCGTGTATACAACATCTTCAAGGGCTGGCTCGAGTCCCACTGGCGCCACGATCGTGATAACACGGCCCTGGAATTCATCGTCAACTTCGCAAACACACGACTTGTGGTCGATCTCCCCACTGCTGGTAAGCGGTTGCTTGATCTGGCCGGCAAGGTATCCGCAGTTGGTGGCCCTCTTGTGCCTCGCTTAGTTTCATCCATGGGCAAGACCAACACTTCCATTGCCCAATATATTCACCCCGATACCCCCCTACCTCCTCCTGTCCTTGGCAAGAAGGAGCACAACTTGCTCAAGCAATGGAAGAACGGCGAAGCCTCAATCACCATTCTTGACTTCGACCCACTTGAGCTCGCCCGCCAGCTCACCATTAAGGAGTCGCGCATTTTCTGCTCGATTCTTCCCGAGGAACTTCTGGACACGGAATGGACCAGAAAGACGGCCTCGTTAGCTGTCAATGTTCGCGCTATGTCAACTTTGTCGACTGACCTTGCCCACCTCGTTGCTGACTCTATTCTGTACCTCGAGGAGCCCAAGAAGCGTGCCGCTACCATCAAGCACTGGGTCAAGATTGCCAACAAATGTCTGGAGTTGAACAACTACGACTCTCTCATGGCTATCATCTGCTCATTGAACTTGTCTATGATCTCCCGACTAAAGAAGACCTGGGACATCGTATCGCAGAAGACCAAGACTGCCCTCGAGCAGCTCCGCAGCATCGTGGATGTGTCTCGCAACTACGCAGTACTCCGTCAGCGTCTTCAGAACCACGTGCCACCTTGCCTCCCATTCGTCGGTACCTACCTGACCGACCTCACCTTTGTCGACCACGGCAACCAATCTCTCCGCACCCTCTGCACCAACGACAGTGAAATGGACGTCATCAACTTCGACAAGCACATGAAGACAGCTCGCATTATCAGCGAGCTCCAACGGTTCCAGATTCCCTACCGTCTAACCGAAGTTCCGGAGCTACAGGCCTGGATGCAGAATGAGCTTGTGCGCGTGCGCTCCAATGGCGAAATAACCGCACAAACCTTCTACCGCCGCTCTTTGGTCCTTGAGCCTAGAGAACCCTCCCGCAGCGGAAACACTCTTCAGTCCCAGTCTGAGACCGTTCCTTCCATGCTGGACAATGCCAAGGACAAGTTCGACTTCCTCTCTTGGACCAACCAGTCCAAAGCAAAGTCCGTCACGACACACGGATAAATCACTCTCTTTCACCCACACCATCACCTATCCCATCCTTCACAACCTAATGACTGATGACCTCTTCTTCTCATTCCCAATTTACTGGTGTTCTAATCAACATCATTCTAACCATTGTTTTACTATGCATACCTGCATCATCTTCTTGCCATCCAGTTTTCTTGCGATCTGTGAATATCCCATCATTCTTGTCTTACCTATTTACTTTTTTTTTATTATTGGGCGGTACTGTTGTTTTGTTTTTGCAATTTCTCGGTTGAGAAATGTAGCATTTGAAAAGCGGCTATGTATGGAACGGGGCCCGGGACTACCCAAACGGAGTTTACGAAAGGCCTTGCTCTGTTTATGTTTGTTTAATTTCTTCCTTTTCTGGTCTGTTCTTCTTTCGGCTGGGAACGGGGAAACAAGGACAGGTGCACTGAAAAAAGGATTGTTATCTGTCAACTGGGCGTTTCCTACATGGGATACCCTCTAGACAATATTTTTGCCTCACGGCTTCTGTACAGGAGCAACTCTTAAAAGCTGCCTGAAATGCAATACGCTTTAATCTTACCTCTTTCTTTATCAACCATCGTAACTTTAAACTGTAACTCGGTTTTTGCCTCGTGTAATGTCAACGTGTGGGCTTTCTTCTGATTGTACTCCTTTCCTTAGCCAATCCTGTAAGCCAAACTACATGTACTTACTCCCTTCAATGTCAATTCCAGTGCTAGCTTGGTATTCATTTCAAAATTGATACCTCACCTCAGATGCTGCTTTACCCTTTCTATCTCGGGGTTGATCCTTGCTGATTCATTGGCTTGTCGGGATATTGAGTGTGTTCTACTGGAACCTCGAGCTGAGGTTGTCTTGTCCAATGAGGTTCATTTGGTTTTCAATTGCCGAAAAATTGGGATATTTAATCCTTCAACCACAATTATGAGCCCTGGTGGGGAACCCGACCAAATACACCGGGACAGTAAAAAGAACAATAACCTCAGTTGTATTGGAAATCGATGAAAGAGATATAGCGTGTGGATGTGCATAAGAAAGAGAGGACCACGAGACCGCAACCTTTCAAGTTAAGCTCATTGATCTTATTCAGGGTTAACTCTACTATCATGGTTAAGGCTATGGCCAAAGACCAAAAGTAAACAAGTAAAGGGAATGAGATTACTGGATTAAGTACTAGGTTCAAATAAAGAGTTTGACTGACCTACCTAATGAACATCCGAAAATTCCCCAAAAGGTATGTGGCTCTGATACGATTCATGGAAGTGCCTGAGCTGCTTAGATTATCATCATTTCATCCGTCCGATTTGAAGGTTGCTATACCAGACCATAAATACGTATGTTATCCAGTTTTGTATTGGGTTTATAATTCAATGATATTCATATTATACCATAAAACATTGCTATTCAAGACTGTGTAAACCAGTCACAGTATGATTCCATTCTATTACTGTTTCTATTCGTGGCTGGCTGATCCTTGCATGAACCCCTCCACGAAGTCTGTGGAGGATCTTCTTCACAACACATACCCATGCAAGAGATATGTCCAAAGGTCGTCAATTTTGAACACAAGAGAACCCCTCAACTGTATGTTTCAGCGGACAGACCCCTGCCATTGCATTGAGGTATTTGAGTAATGCGACTGCCTATAGATACTCCGTAAGCGCCAAACCCATGCAAGTTTAGGTCAAATTCAAATTTTTCGACGTCCTGCATGATCTATCTGGTAGATGCGGATTCATGCAAGAATATGGAATCCATCAGGCTTACGGAGGACTCCGCACTCCGTAGTATGCAAAGTGTCGAGCTGCACCTCGCTAAATGTCACCACGTCACATCTAGGCTTGACAAAAACACTCGAGAGGTGGTTTATTTTAATTTTAGTTTGCGTTATGATGCATTGGAAAAAACATAAGTTGTATTTTGTTCGTCAATTTGAGTTGGAGGGGAAATGTGACATGTCATGACAGTGTAACCTTCAAGACAGGTTTGAGCACTCATGTCAGAGGTCAGAGTGGACGACAGGTATTTCATGTCAGTTGATTTGAGAGTCTGGACCTATATTGTCAGGATAGTAGGCAGAAGCAAGCGAAAAATCATTACCGTGTCATCGAGTCTGTGTCTTGTTCGCCTGCAGTCTACGAAAACCCCCAAAAGAATTAGAGAATTCACAGCATGACTGCCAAAGACAAGTGGTCTGGGTATGACTCTGAATATTTGTTAACCCTTGATTGATGTATCACCTAATTTACACATTCCTACCCCAGATCCCCAAACTTCCTCTATGAGAACCTTGGAACTAACTAAACAAACTATGTTACATAACGTGTTTTAAACGCGTCCATGAAATCCAAACTCATGTCGTCGTTTTGATCATAAGCGGATGGTTTGGTATCCAAGTCTAGCGGCAGTGAAATAGCAGTCTCAGAGAGGGATCGTAAATCAAGTATAGGGACCATTGAAGGGCGGCCGTGGGCGCATTGAAAGGGGAAGGCACAGCGGGCTAGCCTGGAGACCAAGGCCTGGCACTCTTCAATGTTCAACGTGTCATTAAACATGATAGCAGTGCGACAGGCGCGGGAGTTGAGAAGGTCCACGATGCCTTGAGGGCATCCGTGCATCTGTTGAACCCATGAGCGCGAGGCGGATGATCTTGAGGTTCCTTTGTGTATCACATCATCGTTTTCTGATAATTCGGGATCCTGATCGGTATATTCGGTTTCAAATGCTTTCTTCGACTGGAACGGCCTCCGGCCATCTTCCTCACCTGACCAGATCTCACGCCTCATCAAGTCGATCAACACATGAGGCTCGAGCCGACAGCGTTCGGCTATTAGCACAGGAAGAGTATGCACGGCGATCAAGACAGTAGAGTTGGTCTTGCCTTGTGTCACATACTCAATACCCCAGGCTGAGAAGAGACCTGTATATTTTTGGAAGAGATCACCCTCCGTCGATGAAACTTCAAATGCCAAAGAACCGACTTGGACAGTCCGCACTCGACCACCCGACTCCAAATTCTCACCCAGCCCAGCAGAGAGGAACATCTCCCTAAACAACTGTTCAATTCGACATCGCTCATCGGCCGCGTGCTGATCGATTAAAAGCAGCACATCGTTTGACGTCCCCTCCGAATTGAGAATGACGGGGGTCGTATGGACTTTAGCCAAGATGAACTTTTTGTCCACCTGGGCTATCACTTCGGCAGTCTCGAGTGCACGACGTTGAAGTTTTCCTCGATATTTGGCAACTTGCGCTGTATCAAGCGATCCAATGCCCTTGAAGCAGTCATGCGAAGAAGTAATTGTATTCTGCTGACCGGCGGGCTTTGCGCCTAGATTTGGTATTGGCATTTCTGTTCGGCTGAAGGAAGGATTGTCCCATGCCCCCAACAGGTTTTCTATCCAAACGGTTTGTACTGGATTCTTGGATGAGGTATCGACAAAATCAGTGGGAGAACGCTGGGTAGATAATGATTTCCGGGAATTAATCGTTTGGCCCGTTCGAGGATTAATCATATAGGCCAACTTGGTGTGTGGATCGATCCAGGTAATCATCTCGTCTGATGGTGAGTCTCTAGGCAGGTCCTCTGTTCCGTTCCTGCCCTCACCATAGACCCGTTTATTCGTAGGCCTTGGGAGAATGGTGCGCTCCTGGCCATCATTTCGACGGTTTGGCCTATGTTTAGAGAGGATCGGCAAGGAGGTCGCACCCGGCATTATATCAGGGGCCGCATGAGAAAGCCGAGGCGTTCGACGAGTCGGAGAACGTCCTTTGAGATCCTTAGCGGTTTTTACCCTAGACCAGTTATTGAAGCTTTGACCAGAGTTCAGAGACTGGGCTCTTGGGAATGAGGGCATTTTCAGACGACCGCTAAACGCCTCTTCGGTGCTCGAGATCGAGCTACCTTGTTGTAGGGGGCCACAAGAACTGCCGGCTACTTGAGAGGCTTTGGAACGGATACTCTGGTTTTGATCTGATGACATGGTCTGCTGTTTGCCGTTACGAGGGCGGAAATTGTGTTGCTTCAAAAACTCATGGACCATGGCCCCAAGCACATCAACTATACGTTGAATCGATTTGGCCGATTCTGGAAGATGCTCAGATCCATCATCGTCCAACCGTATAACAGCGTTTGTGTCAATGCGGATGTAAAACATTGGCCACTTATTGACGGGCTTTGCCCAGCTTCGAGTGCTTGCGTTACTTGGGGCGTCAAATTGATCCACGGAAGATGTAGGATATGGAACGGGGCTTCTGTTAGACATGAATCCAACATTACTGAAATCCGACGAAGCAAATAGCCGGTTTACTTCGTCATAAAGCACATTCGAGCTATTGCGCGATAGCACGGGTTCTTTCCCCAAAGAGATGAACTGAAGCTTCCGACTTGGGCTGGGTTGGAGAGATATTGCTCCCCGAACTATGAGGTCAGAAACTGATGCTGAAATTTCATGCCAAGCATCGAAGTTTTGGGGTATGATCAGCCCAGATTGTGTGAGGATTAACCCGATACGTTTGAGATCGAACTCCCTCTGACCATCAGGGATGCGTGCTTCGGGCATGGTGGCAGTTCCAAGACGAATGGACATTCGTTTATTTCTTTCCACATCGAGGAAGACTAATTTTGAGAATTGAGGATTGGCCAAAAGGAGAGACACCAAGGAGTTCCTTAGATGGTCCCACTCTCGTTCTAGCTCGTCCGGCCGCTGAAGAGTGAGGGCTCGACTCTTGACACGAACTGGCATGTTCCCAAAAAGGTCATTGACAGTCACAGACGTGCCATGACCGGCAGAGCGAAGCACATGATGTGGCGGTGCAGGGGTTAGTCGAGCCACAGGCGTCGAGTGATGAAGTATTATTGAGTTTGTGCATCCATGATGAATGTGACGAGAAGTCACGGTGAGCAGAGACAACGAGGCAAGGGAAGCCAAGAACAAGCCCCGATGGCCATACATGCCACTCAGCTTGAATTTGGATGTATCTATGGCATGTTAGCCAGCATACATTATATCAACCGTAAGGTTGGGAGACATACGGTGAGGTTTGCCCAGCCCTCCTGTAACTTCGAACTCGGCCGGAGGAATTCCATCGCCATCATCCTCAACTATACAGCCACCACGTTTGAAGTCGACAGTGACAAAGACGGTATGTGCATTGGCATCTAAAGAATTCTTGACTAGCTCCAAAATGACGCCAGTCAGATGCACAATGGATGTAGATGATTTGACCTTTGCAATCACATCAGAAGGTAGTGCTCGTATTATTGATTGAGAAGGAGGCATTGTCGCAGTTGTTTGTGATCACCGCGGCATTGCGCCACTAGAGGCGAGAAGAAAGACCCCAAAAAGGATTTTGGAAACACGACTATAAATCCGCGTTTCAATCATGATCATTTCTCATTACCATTGACAGGACCCTCCCAATGGGTATCAGTCAATAATTCCACCAAAGAATAAAACGTCCAGAATATTGAAAATACGTCAAATAGAAGTCAAGAGGCAACATTGGAAGGCAGGCACATGACGTGCACGGATAAACAGTCTCCCCGCCCGTTGCCCCATCTGCCTCGGTGCGGCTCAATCCCCAGGGCTCTACTCCCTTGCCTGCCTTAAACCTTTCGCAAGCCAGAGCTGGTAGTGACTAGGCTGCCTCATCAAGCTAGAATGGCTACTGCTGATGGTCCTGCTAGAGTACATGGTAAGTTACAGGTTGTGCCTGTTGGCCACCGTGAACCGCTGCTAAGGGATTCATACAAAACAGACCGGAATGCACGTCGCCGTCCATTCTCAAACTGGGTGAAACGCCTGGCGAACCTTAAGAGTTCCTCCGATTCTACAACAAACCGATGGTCCAACAAGCGCCACACGGGTAATAAAGGCAAGAAGGGTGATCAAGAAAACAACCCATACCCGCTCTCTGGAACCATCAACCGTGACACGGGGACTCAGACACCGACCGACTCATACGCGGATGATCATTATGGTGCAGAATATCGCTCTAGGAGCGACCCATCTTTTTGTTCGGGCTATGAGAACCCGGCTCCCCTGACAGGCGCAAAATCCGCTGCGCCAACCATTTCAACAAACGGTGACGCCACATTTTCCGAAGCGGCATATTCCAAGGCAGGCACATTGACAACTGGCACTGAAGGACTCAGCACCCATGGAGGAGGTGAGGGTAGCACCTTCTCGTCACCTGCACCTTCGATTCGATCAATGACCACTACCCTGACCACTGTGCACTCGGCGGCACCCTCAACCCAACTGTACAACGCACAAAACAGCCACAATGGACACCACCATGGCAGCTCGACTCAGAGCTCCTCAAATCAGCAGATTCAATTTTCCCACCAATTCCCTTCAACCTCACCCGCTACCGCAGTCCCCCCGCACCTAGTGCTCCAAAATTATGCGATGACGTACAGCGCCGCAACCGCAAACAATACCTTGACCGATAACGCCTCTCTTCTCACTTTGGCGAGCTCATCTAAGCGCCGTCGCCGCAATTCTTTGGATACCAATGCATCTGTACGCGCATTGGCTCCGTCTTCTGTTTTCGGCGGTAGTCGGGAGAGCCTGCCGTTGAGTGTTCTGAGTGGACATACGACTGAAGCATCCAATACATCTGGGTTCAATGCGTCGGGGGTACTGAGCCGACCAAGTATTGTTGGCCTTGCTAGTGCTGAACGCATCAGTGTCTACTCGGCCTCCGGAGCAATTCCGCTAGCCAGCACCACTGCGGAGCGGGCCGGCTTGTACACCACTAAGCAATCCGCCGGCGGTGATACGGCCAGCATTCGCAGCGGTGTCCAATCGCACAGTCGAAATGATAGTACTGCTGCCAGTATCACCGGGGGCATTAGCAGTCCATTGGCCTTGGCTGGTCGCATGAGTCGAAGAAGTTCTGGCTGGGGCGAAATTACCGGGGAGGAAGGCAATGACGGAAAGCCAGTTGAGAAAAACGAGGATGAAGCCGTGACTAAGGATGAAAACGGCTTTCCTGTTGAGCGGCTCAAGACTTGATTCCACGTCGCACGTACCCGCATACATTTACCGATCACGATCGAACGGTGAGGTGTGCTTGAACGATGTTACGTATGGACAGTTCGGACGTTTGAGCGAGGTAACAGCGATCCTTTACTACATAATGACTTGATGCATGGAAACCTTCCAAGAACCTGGATATTCTTAATGGTTTGGCGGCGTTTTCTAGGCTGGGACTTTGATACCCTATGCGGTATGGATAAATTCGTTTCTACTCAATCCATATTGCATGCAACTTCAGATCTTTCGTGTATTCATTAGACCTCTCCTAGATTCTGCCCCGCCTGATTAGCTTTCCATGTACATGTCCTCATCATATTTGTTGATGTCAATTGGACACACCGTTTCATCGGCGCCGAATGACCATAGGCATATCGTACTGATACACGAACCAGGCATTTCGGTAGTTCCATTCATGTTTAGGGTCCACCAGTTGAATCTTTATCGTGAGTTAGCACCAAGAAGCTGGAATCCAAGAAACGTCAATGAACCACTCACATCGAACGAGCTGTACAGCGACGCAATCAGCTTTTTGATCTCTAACATAGCGAGATACCGGCCCATGCAAACCCGGCCTCCGCCACCGAAAGATAAGTCTACAGTATCCTTCATTCGACGCAGGCGAACCTCAAAGTTTTCTGGGGTTTCATCCTTGCCCTGCAGCCAGCGGTCCGGATTGAAGTCATCGGCATCATCTCCGAACACTCCGAAATCACGGTTTGTGACAAAGGGGTTGATCCCGGCCTTGGTGCCTGCAGGGAGATATCGTCCGTCGGGAAGCGTGAACCCACCCTCTGGAACGACGCGCTCGAGGACCATGGCAATACCGGGGTTGATGCGCAGAGCTTCACGAATGACGGCATCCAGGTACGGCAAGTCGCGGATCTCCTTCCACGGAGCGGGAGCAGAGATACCGGCGGCTTGGAGTTCGGTGGAAAGTTTGGCCGTCGCAGCTGGTGACTTGGCCAGGTAGTAAACAGCAGCACGCATGGTGGCCGAGCTCGTGTCGCCCCCAGCAAGAATGCTCAGCATTAGCCAGTTGACAATCTGGTTGTCGTCGACCATGTCAGGATACGTTTCTTTCAGCTGCACGTATTTGTCGAGCGTGTGGTCGACAGAACCGGCGGATATTTTCTTCTCAGCGAGCTGGGCCTGGTACTCGGCAACGACGTTGAAGGCGTACAGGACGCCTGTCAAGGTGGGCTTGGGCCCGATGCGCTTAATCGGATTCTTGTCGAGGATGTTGTCAATCCATGGGATTTGAGAGACCTAGTGCGACGTGTCAGTCACTTTCCGTGTTGATGCCGAATCGGTGATATTGAGGTACTTACCGGTGCGAAGTATCTCAGGCCAGCAGTCGAGTCCGTGATCAAATTGTCGACATCCTTCTCCTGGTCAATGAATCCATAGTGCCGACCAAAGCTGTAGTTGGCGGTGACATCCCAGGCGACTGTGATGTGTTAGGTTTAATATACGCAGGCTCCCAGGGGGCGTTTGAGAGTATGCTCACAGAAACCAATCCATTCATCTGCCGGGCAAACCTTTCCTGCGTTATCACCATCGACGAATCTCAGCACTAGCTTGTCCACAAACTTGGTTATTGTTTCATCGATGAAAGGCTCGTATTCCAGAACCTTAGTCATGGACCAAAGACTGCGAATGGGTCGGATGTTATGGTTGTGCCATTCTTCATCCTGGGTGTTGAAGAGATTCGACAGTCGATGACCTTCAAGCATTAAATCATTGGGGCGGTACATATCACTCTTTACACGATTACGACAGGTCAGCACGGCCTATTCTCACATCTAAAAGGACGGTATTGACTGGGAGACGATATGTCCAACCTTTTTCCATGGATTGCGAGTGGAATAAATTGTCCGAATTAGATTCGGGTCTGATATGCTCACGCAATTGGGCCCGACCTGTACCGCTGTGCCATATTTCCGGTGTAATTGAACATTCTTGAGATCAATACGTCCACCATATGCGTGAGACGCACGCCAAAAATCAGTGATCTTGGCCAACGCCGGGCCAGGGATGGATCTCAAACGTGAAAATAACAGATCCGATATCATCTTTATCACAACAAGCAGACCCAGAGTGGCCAGGGCCTGGGCCCACAGGCTGGAAGGAACAGGGATCATCTCCGACATCGTGGTAGATGTAGATGTGGATTTTGTGCGCACACAGAAGTACGTGCAGTGCAGCACAAATCAAATTCACTGCCAATAGTCGGAGTTTCGTGAGACGTGTAACAATGTTGACAAGTGCAGCTTTTCAAAGCCCCTCGAAAACCATAGGCCCTAGGGCTGCTGAGATAAAGTGGGGACGCTATTTGGCCAACTTTTTATTTTCAACGCGAGGCGTGAGAGCGGGGGCGTTTGCGGGGAACAAAGTGAACGGCGCGAAGAAGCGTTGACAATTCTCCAATGGTATGGAAACTATATCCAAGTGGGATTTAGCGTTCGTCTTCGACGGGGGTGGACGGATTATGGAGTCGATGGTTGATTGTCGATGATCCTGAATGGCTCTTCGATGAAACCAATTTCCCATTTCGGCCATAACAACCTTGGCTCTGCAGCGGCGCCACCCTAGCGCCCGAGACAGATACCATGGCCTTGTACATAACTAATTACCTAACCTAGGTAGCCGTTTGCAAGGTCGTACAAACTGGTTATGTATTATTATTTTCAACCTAACAGAACGAGTGCCATGATAAGCGAGTTCTTGCACAACGACAGACTCGTTCAAACCGAGAAGGCGGCCTAAGCCGATAGATTGGATCTGCTAGATCCACCTAGGAAAATACGAGCTCCACTTGCTGTGACAATTATTGACTTTTTCGGACTTCGCCCCTGTCATATGCTATGTTCTCGGGATGGTCTTGTTTCGGGATATGACATTTGCTTGACAATGCTTGGCTCCCCTGGAGTCCCATGCGCTTGTAATCATCTGTGGCATGCCTACGCCTGGGGAAGTTGAATCTTTAAACTTACGGGTACCCCGGAGTGTGATTCTGCGCAGCATTGGCGAACGCTCAGGATGTCGTCCAGCGAGGGTGAACCTCTCCCACTAGGGAGCCAGGCTCCTACGGTGAAGGGTGTGATGTGGACGATGTCGATGGTTCCTTTGGTTTTCGTTTTGATGCGCTTGTACGTGCGAGTATGCATGCGAAGAGTGTTTGGCTGGGATGACGGCATTGCAATTGTGTCAATTGTGAGGGACTTCTTTCTTTTCGTGACTGACTGACTTACTTGGATGATCATACTGACTTCGATCCCTTGATAGTGTTGTCTGGTCGGATATGCTGCTGTCTGCCATGTTGCTGCAAACCTAGGCTTAGGGCAGCACCTCGAAATTGTCCAGAAAAACCCAGATAACCTTATCCAGGTGGCGCTCCTGTGCAACATTGGTGAAAGTCTGGCAATCATGGCATGCACCCTGGGCAAGACGTCCTTTGCTGTCACGTTGCTTCGGATCGTGGTCCACAGATGGATGGTTATCGTGCTATGGTTCGTGATTGTTACAATGAACATTGTCAACATCTTGGCTGCACTCTTTGTCTTCTTGCAATGCAAGGATCCTCGGCATTTGTGGAATCCGATGATTCCATCAGAGTGTTGGCCCTCGCACGTCTTTACCAATTTTTCTCTCTTTGTTGGTGGTAAGTATTCTTGCAGAAGTCTGCTTTGGATGTGTTGTTGACGACTAGGGCGCAAATTCCCTCAAATAGCCTATTCTGGAGCACAAGATTTCGTCCTAGCACTGCTGCCGTGGACGATTGTCTGGAACTTGCAAATGAGGAAGAAGGAAAAGCTTGGTGTGGCCTTTGCAATGAGTCTTGGAATCTTGTAAGTGCCTGGGCAGAATCCCTTACAGACTCTGAACCGTCAATCCTGCATACTGACTGAAGTCTCTTCAAGCGCAGGCGCAGCATCCATAGTCAAGACCATCCACCTCGTGGCGCTCTCGGCCAAATCCGACTTCACATGTACGTCACCAATTGTTAACTTCTTCGTTTTCGTCACTAACTAATATCCTCTCTTTGCTTAGGGGAACTTGCTCCCTTATTGATCTGGGCAGCTGTAGAAGATGGTCTCGCTATCACCGCTGCATCCATTCCCGCGCTTAAACCCCTCTTAACGAAGATATTCCCCAGCACAATATCGGACAATTATAACATGATCCCGTATCCACACCTGCCTCCCAACCGCAAGATCTTCGACAACTCCGAGGGCGAAACGCAAACAGACATTGGACATACGACTGTTCACGATACGGGAAGTCAAACGGCGATCCTAGAGCCTATACATCCAAAGGGCGAAAATATCAACATGACGACCGAGGTGTCAGTGACATATAATCATGGCTTGTAAAGGACTTCGTCGGGGCAAAAGAATCGCTACAAGCAAGAGCAGCGGTCGGCCTTACCAAGCGCTATTAAATCGAACGCAAATAAAATTATTATCAATAGACCGTTTACATCCGTGTTTTATGACCATCGACCCCAGGTGTTTTATCTCATTAAAACCTCGGAAGCTGTTTGTGTAGTTTTGCGCATTATATGCTAGCTCGGGGCTTAGTCGTTACTTTACAAAGGCATCGTGGCCAATAAAATTTGACTATAGGCCATTTGAAAGTTTATCTACTAATTAATTCAGCATGAATAACACAATGGGTATTTTGTTATGTAGTAGATATACTAGAGGGCATCAAGTATATTCCTAAAACCCCCCGTAGTTGAAAGCAAATAATACACATAGAATATAAGGGCCTGTGAAAATGACGCCGAAAATGACAGCTTCTGGCGCCTGAAACGGCCCCGGAGGAGACCTTCACGCCCTTGCCAGCCTGCAAGATACTGATCTACAACCCGGAGCGGTTCTCAGAAACTTGCCAGATACCGTAAGTCTCTCCTGTGGGGTGAAATGTTGTCAATTCCAGGTCGCAGCATTGGATTGGACTAACATGAAGTGTTGCACTAATACCTCCAACACAATAGGTCAGGGGAACGCGGGCAGTGCGTCGGGCTGACGCATGATGCTGCTGAATAATAGACGCGACAAGAATGTGGATGTAGCAAGCACGGCTCAAAAGCTGAGTTTGGCATCGCAGCAATCAACAACTGTTCAAATGCGGAGGCAAATGTCTTAGATATCAGATGGCAGGATAAGAACCTGTAAATCGACCGTCTCCCGGACAGTGACGCATACTTATACATTGCCATGACCCGCAAATGTGTCTAAGAGACGGATTCCAAACCGAACCCCCGAGCCCAACCCGCGATGGGTTCGTGTCAGATTTCATAGCTCAGTAGAACCTAGCTTCAACAACTCTTCAATCCATCTGTCTCACATTGCACCATGCACTTCGACGTAGTCCTCTCCTGACAGGTTATGAGCCCGGAAGCTCTGTTTTCAACCTTCCTATCATCGTCAGCTTCATCCTCCAACGGCCTCTCTCTTCGACGCCATCGCCATCCTCGGCATCGTCACCGTCACCATCGACGTCAACCGGCCAGGCCATACCCCCACACACAAACACCTACAAACGGTGTCACCTACCCACATACAAACAGTCTTATCATACCCTAATCTAGGGTTCTTCTCGTGAAGAGTTTTTATCCCACAATAATCCGCTAACCACGCGGTCAAGTGCCTCTCTATTCGACGCACCTCTCCATCCGCTAGCCACGCGGTTAAGTGCCTCTCCATTCGACGCACCTCACCTTCTTCAAGTGCCTCTCCATTCGACGCACCTCGCCTTCTTCAAGTGCCTCTCCATTCGACGCACCTCGCCTTCTTCAAAATGTTTTCTACAACCAGCTTCGCAGAGCCTAAGCTCTCAGAGCTCGTGCCTACCCTCACCGGCGAATCTAACTTCGCTTCGTGGTCAACCGCCCTCAAATGCGCTCTCGACACTCGGGACCCTCGTCTTTTCGAGATCCTCACCGGCCACGCGGCCCAGCCAGCTCCAGAGGACCCCTCTCTTCCCGAGTGGACTCGTTATTCTCGTCATCTTCTTTCATACCTTCACGCCACAGTCGACGCTTCTCTTAAGCCTTACATTAACACCGCTCCTAGCGCTTCCGCCGCGTACCAGAGTCTTTACAAAACCTTCGCCGTCCACACCTACAATACCGGTTTCGACAAGTTCCATAAGTGGGTCTCCCTCAAGTACGACAATACAACTACTCCGCAACAATTCGTTATCAAGTGGCGTACCGCCTACGCCGAATTCGCCGAGGCGTGCGGTCATTCCCACATTTCAAACACAGCTCAATACTTCCTCTTTCTTACAGCCGTTAGCGTGAATCTCGCTACCCATCAGTGGCTTAATAGCCTTCGTCCTTCTACCAACGACTCGTCCGAGCATATTCTTATCAGTACATTCTCCGACTTCGTTATCTCCGAGAATCGACGTCTCGCTAGTCAGCCTAGCTTCACTTCCGATCCAGTCTTTTACGACGCAAACGCAATTCACAACCAGGGTAACAATAAGCCCACTTCCGCTAAACCAAAGCATTTTTGCACTTTCCACCAGCGAAAGGCCGCTCACACTTCGGAGGAATGCTTCCGCAATCCAGCTAACGCTAACACCGCTAACGCCGCCAAGCTAGCCAACGCGGTCAACACTACCACTCCTACCCCTACTACAGCCAATGCTATCACTAGCAACCCCATCGTACGCTTCAACAACCTCTTCACTGCGTAGGTTCAAAACAAAGGTTTATTTTTCGTGGGGGGACACAAGTCCATGGTTTCATGTTCGTGGGGGGTGTCAGATTTCATAGCTCAGTAGAACCTAGCTTCAACAACTCTTCAATCCATCTGTCTCACATTGCACCATGCACTTCGACGTAGTCCTCTCCTGACAGTTCGACTTTAGTAAGTAACATGATCCCGACGAAGCCCATCTCTATGTACAACATAGTAGTTAAAAAAAGAGCTATGGTAAAAGCATCGTTAATGCAAAGCTTATTAACTTAACTGTTTAAGGTTAAGATGGACTATGTTGTAGTTACTAAAGGTATAGTATTACTTATTGACCGCTAGTCTACTAGTAGGAGTATCTGTTATCCAACCTGTCATTTCTACTCTAGTCAACAGCAACCTAAGATGGCTAGGGTATGAGATGGGGGTTAGGGAAAGAAGGGGACATTCTGTTGTCGTTACATTTAAAGGCGTCTGTTTTCACACCTAGCTTCAGAATATCATCGCTACTGAAAGAAAACGGTTTTTTTCTACTCTAGCATCGAAAGAATATGCAAACTAATGTGAGATTAGTCATTTTTTAATCGAAAATGGCTGAGAATAGATAAACCTAGAATATAGGCTATTCAAAGGATTTTAAAAACCTGACTTGCCTATTTAAGAGGATAACTGCCTTGCTAGGCCAATTTCAGCAATCAAATCTAAAGACGGTGTGGAATGGAGACCTAGGCGCTTCCTTTCATTGTTTTCTCCGGATGCCTTGCCAATGTTTACCTGAAAGTAACCTTGACGCGCCGGGTAAGGTGAGAAATTTTGGAAAGAGAGCCGATACTTAGAACCTGACAATGGTAACTGGCTTCGATTTTTGTCCACTTCGTAGTTAACGTATTCTAAATGAAAGTCCATCCGCAACATTCCGACATATGGTCTGCCCTTTAATCTTATATAAGATGCATTAAGGCTCACGATATTGTCCCTAAAGAAGTTTTAATGAAAGACAATCGATTGTATAGTTATGTTAATACTTTAGTTGTACTTCTGCAGCTTTGATAGTTTTTAGGAGAGCAGACACTTCGCTGCGTAGGTTTTGTGCCTTAGGCTATGGACTTGTAATACTGATTTGGTGTGGGCATTTTGAGCGAAAGTAATGACAACCTAGAGTATGGTTATTTGATACGGATAAAGGAGTGTATGGAAGCTGAGCTCACTTATATATTCAAATGTTGAAACTGCGTTGGATGGAGAAGTTTATGGGCGAGGACCAATAAAAACGACCAGATTCAAAGGCAATGGCTATATACATCTTCTTTACAATGGCATTGGTTTAGGTAGAAATATGCTCACGAAAGCCTTTGACTTGTGTGCTCGTTGGCAAGAAAAGTAATTTATAGTCATTGCCCGCTGAATATCGATTTCTCTAGTTGGCCTTAATATAGGGAAGGGCTCTAGATCCTGAAGGAAATCCACCTAATTGCCCTCGCCCTAGTATCCAAAACCCGTCTAAGGGGTATTCCTAGGAGCATAAGTTGGAATAGGAGACCGATAGGTCAATTGAATAACCACGTCGTAATTTCCTCATTTGCATAGAAAAGAGACCGCGAGAATGAACGGTCAAGCTGACGTCGCTAATCCCTTTTTGATGGACGATGGGTGATCGAGACGTGCACGTGGTGGGACTAGCGTGCTGCAGTTTCCAATCTTGGAAGGTTATTCAGGTAGCTTAATCAGGCCACTCATGCCTACGCTCAGTTCATTTCCCGTGAGCAAATCAGAGCCCCCGGATCAGTGAATGGAAAAAGCAGCACGAGGTGAGCACTAAAATCGAAGGGGAAAGGTCTCAAGTGCCAGACATTAATAATTATCCGGTACTCCGTACATATGTATATTCGTGTGGGGAGGGACAGTTAGGAAAATGATTCCACATGCTATGCACAGTATCCACCATTGAAACAAGACTCATTATTGTATCGAATTGGTGATTTCTAATAAGTCAAAAGATTGACGACTTGATTTTATTCCTTATACTCAGCGCCGCTACTGGCCAGTGCACCGAAATAAGCAACGCTAAACCACGTCAAGTCATTCGGCATTTGAATTTTTGAACCCTTGAAAATGTCTGTGCTTGAGGATCAGTAAGGGCGCTCATATACCGTTTTAATATGTTTGTATGACAAGGGTTGAATTGTAGGTAGTACAACATAACTAGTACAACGTACGGAGTAGTGCAACGTAGTACAACATAGAGTAGACTCTAAGATAAGAGATTAAAATGAGGTATGTTGATGAATAATTCGGAGCGACTTCGGAAATTCTAGGAATAACTTCACCTGAACACGAACGGCGTTCCTCAAGGGCCGAGTTGGACGCTGACCAAGCTGTCAAGGTCCGCCAATCAGCGCTTGCACACCCCGATTTCGGTGCCGTTTTGGTGTTTTATGTGGGAGCCGCGTTTGTCGCTGGGTTTATTGAAAGTACTACTGCCCATGAAAATGAGATATTGAAGGAGTAATAGAGTAATGTGTGATTCGTGATTCATGCAGTATTCATCTCATATCCTACGATGTTCTGTGCAATTAATAATATATATAGGACAATATGTAGGATCACCGTAAAATTGCCTAATTCGAAATGGGAACGTGGAACCGAGGATTTAAACTTGGTGGGCTCCGATTCTCGGCCTTCGATGGACTTAATTTTATAATATTGTATACCATATTCACAATAGAGGGTGGGAAGTAATAAAAAGGTAAGGTAAATTGGAAGAGACAGGGAATATACTAGGAGTTATAGGTATAGAATATTTCCAACAGAAACAGAATCCCCAGTGTCCGGATCGGGAGGCAAATGAAGCCATGGAGGCAAATCGGGGGATTAATCATCATCCACCCCTCCGGCCCCCGGGCTTCCCACCCCCCACTGAACATTCCAAGAAAAAACCCACTTGTGGCCCCAACTCTCTCCTTCTCTCCGGCTTCGATCCATCTTACAACATATCCAAAATCGCGATTCACACGAATCGAATAGTCACCTCGCAACAGGTGATTCGACATCCATCGCACCCGCGACGAATCCGCACCGAGCCGCATTCGGCATCTGAGTCACGTCTCTACGGCCTGCGCAACGCGCATTTCCACACAGTCCATCGGCATCGAGAAAATCGGTTTCCGGCTTCTGCCTCAACTGATCATACCGAAAAGGAACGGGAAAGCCTTCATCATGGCCAACTACAATGGGCGTCGCATGCCTAACTTCTCGCAATATCTCGATGACTTGAACGCAATTCCCTCGCCGTACGACCAGGCCCAACAGCAGCAACAGCAGCAGACTACCTTCAACGATGAGGACCTAGCTCTGTTCACCAATACCGAGTTCTTCGAGTTCGACAAATTCACCGACTTTGGCGGTCTGCCTTCATTCTCGCCAGAAGACGACAAGACACACGAGGCCGTCTCAGATCAATCCGCGCAAAATGCGGATCTGAAGTTCTTGGATTTCCTGAATGGTAAGTGCGGCTGATTTCGGTTACTGTTTTTCGCGTCGCTGGTTGGGTAGTCCCGAGTTTGAGCTGCATCACTTTCCCCTGGTCACACCATACCCCGCGGACTTGTTCACAATTGTGTCCATGGGACAATGTCTACATCTTGCATGGTGTTTCATTGGTTGCCTTATGAATTCGTCATTCCTGCCTATTGCACGAGTCATGTCTTGGCTCGTTTTTGGCATTTTTGGCGCTTCGTGCGCTTCATACCCTCAATATCATCCCACACCCTCCCACAGCTTTGACCTCCTTGGCTGGAAAATTTGAGCCCTGCATGTCATCCTTCCCGTGGCCCTAGCAGGGTTTTCTTCCACTCAAATTTGACTTTGCTCGTTGACGTGAATGCTCTCCGCTATTACGCCATTCCACGTGATCTGCACCCCTGCTCGGACTCTCTAACTACTCTTCGGGATACCGAATCGCGCGATGTGGATGTTGTTTGGAAATTGAATCCATGCTAACGGTTTTACAGCAGAGGGTCTCAATGGCATGTCCGATTACCAGCCCGACCTGACCGGCTCCAATGTCCAGGTGCCCATGCACAATGCCCACTTTTCGGCGGTTCCGTCCGCTCCTAGTGGGCCCGTGGCTGCAAACCAGGCACCCATCCAGCCTGCGCCGATCAACACCGCCTTGAAGGTCGCCCCGGCTCCATCCTCTGTTTCTATGTCGCCTTCCACTCCGGTTACCGGCACCAAGCGCAAGAACTCGGCAAACTCAACCCAGGAGAGCGCCGAGGAGGCTGGTCGTCACATGGCTGAGGAGGATAAGCGCCGCCGTAACACCGCCGCTAGTGCTCGCTTCCGTGTGAAGAAGAAGCAGCGTGAGGCTGCTCTTGAGCAGACCGTCAAGGAGACCACCGACAAGAACGACATTCTTGAGGCTCGCGTGTCTCAGCTCGAGCTGGAGAACCACTGGCTCCGTGGTCTGATCATGGAGAAGAACGGTGCAGACGAACAGTCTGAGCAAGACATCTCGGATATGTTCAAGAAGTTCTTGGCCTCACAGAAGGCTGATGGTTCAAGTATTTCCGACCTGAAGCGCGGTGTGGGCACTATTGTATAAAGCATTGTCCAATGGTAAAAGAAGAAGAAAAAAATCGGCAAAATTTACAAAAAAAGAAACCCCAGTCTTATTTGATTGCCCTGCTACTCTACTCTGCTGCTTCAGGTGGTGACTGTCCTGGGCTTTTTTCTGTTAGCTCCACCTCACCATCTTTGCCTTCTTGTTAATAGTGTTCTTTTGTGTTCTTTTCCAGCGATGTTATTTTCTTTGTTTCTAGCAGCCAGAGCTACTTCAGATTTTATCATCTGCAGGTCGAGGGGGTGGTGGGTGGATGAGTGATGTCTCTCATGCAGTTAGAAGTATTTTAGATGCAATTGTTCATGTGTTTCAGCCCAGTTTTAAGCCTGTCGACATCGTAGTACCATATGTAGATGTAAAATGTAGATCGAAGCGAGGGGTATTTGGGATTTAATTAGGATGGGAAATCTAGGCAAGTTCCGACATAGCTTGGCATTGATAACCGATTGATCCACCCAGCATGCTCCACCACACCCGGCTTCGCAGAATTCGACGGAAGAAAATGGATCACTGTCTACTCCCATTCCCCGGATTATTCAGAAATGCTAGAGTTCCTCAAACGCGCCCTGCGCAAACCTCGCGCAAACGTGTACGGTTTAGACCATGCCGTCCTCAACATACAGCTCCCACAGCAGAGTATGTGGATGAACATGGGGTACTGGGAGGTGAGTCAAGTACAGACTATTTAAACAATAGTCTCGCCCAAAGTACCTTTTTTGAATAAATCCACATTGATTCACTTCCTAGTATACGAATGACTTCCCAGAAGCCTGCCAAGCGCTTCTAGATCAGGTTCTCACAGCTGCGCTATTAACGGAGAAGGCGTCTGCCATAAGAATCCTGGATGTCGGGTGTGGATGTGGTGATCAATCGTTGTACCTGATGAAGATTTTAAATGGCTCTTGTTCTACATCCCAGTCCGATCTTGAATCTGGGACTGGGACCGGAAAAGCACCCCCTGCCTCCATCTTCAGTATTCCATCTGACACTGAACCATCAGAGTCGGGCCTGCGGTCTCGCCACAGCAAGACCAAGCAGAAATCTTGTTCCATGCTACGCTTAGATTCCTATATCGGGATCACGTTGGAACCAGCGCAGGCCGCGCTCGGCTCACGCCGCATTCACCATATGCAGCGAGAGAGCGAGAATTTTATTCAAGCAGATATCTTCTGCGCGGACGCCGCAGTACCCGGAGCTTGGACTGGGGAGTTGAAAAAATCAATCACAGCCCTTGAAGATGCGTCAACCAAACAAAATGAAAATGAAGACACATCCACATGGCTCCTGGCCCTGGACACGATATATCACTTCCGTCCCTCGCGCCTACCTCTCCTGACCTATGCGCACAACACCCTCAATGCCTCATTCATGGCATTCGATTTGATACTATCTAATAGTATAACCTGGTACGAAAAGCTCCTCCTCCGACTTGTGTGCTGGTGCACAAACTCACCATTCGGGAACTTTGTTTCCGAGAAGGAATACGTGGAGCTACTTGTTACGGCTGGGTATAATCCTGCTTTTATTGAGATCCGAGATGTCTCCCAGCACACTTTTGGGGGGTTGGCAGATTTCATTAAACGCAGGGTTGTGGAGGCCAGGCCGTTTGGGATTAAAATGGGGAAATTTCGTGTGGCGAGATTTGTGTTTGGGTGGTGGGCTAAGGGGAGGGTTGTTAGGGGTATTGTTGTTGTTGCGAGGAGGGAGTGAGAATCGGGATGGTCCAGTGGTCTGTCTTGTGTGATGCCCAGTAATACTAGCCTGCTATATAGGCCGGGAGTGAATCAGGTCCCAACTCAGAAGGTGACCCATTCCCATTTTGTAGTAAAGCATGGTGTATATCAGCTAGAAGAGCAGACCCAACCGGTCCACTCCGATAGAACTCCGGATAAAGAAAAAGGAGGAAAGCGAGCCTCTTGTTAATTAATCCTTCCACTTGAAGCTTCAGACAATCCTACCAAGCTGGAAATCGCCCACCTTCTACTGCTCCGGGCTTGCGTTCTCAATAAATCCATAAATTATTCTATTATTTTTTCTAAATAATAGATCGAGACCCTAGTCAAAAATGAAGCCATCAGTGCTTCGCCCTCGGTTCTCTAGTCACAGCCAGCTCACTAGGTCCGACGGGACCAGCTGAAACCTCATGGATAGCCTTCGAGTCAGCATGAGCAATCTGCGACAGCGGATGTGCCTGCACGTAGCCGTCCGGATGCACATAGCCTTCCGGGTGCCCCCCATACCGATTAATGCCACCAGGCAAAGAGTTGTACTTCGCTTGGGTGTTCCTCCTGCCCCAAATGAACCCAGCTCCCAACATCGCTATAGCAAGAAGGGCCAGTGGAACACCCACACCCGCTCCAATGGCAACCTTTGATGGCCCTGGATTGTCGCTCACACCAGAACCAGTCGCTGTAACTGTTGTTGTGGCGGTAGCGGCGGTGGTGTTTCCAATGGCGACTAACGTGGGTTTGAGCGTAAAGGTGGTGCCTGAGCAGCAGGTCTGGTCTGTGCCGCAGCAATAGGATCCGTTATCACATATAGTTACTCGAGAGGTCCAGTCTGAATTTCCTCCTGCCTATGAGACGAGAGTGGTTATTATGAATTTGCAACTTCTTCGGGCGCTATGGAACGCATTATTGTTCGGATTGATTGATTTACTAACATCATCATCGCAGAGGGTCTTGCTCAAACAATTCGGACTCTCCCAGGTCTTATCGGTACAAAAGTCCCTCCAGTAGTTCGACTTGTACTCGTTCGCCGAGTTGGATAAGCACAGACCGTTGGGTTGACACGTATCCGGGGTGGTGGTGTTTAAGCTGCAGCACATCGAATGCACGCCGTTTATGGCGATACATGGCTGATATGTATTGTCGGCAACACGTCCATCAGGGGCATAGCATGCCTTTTCTGTGCTGGCGAACACATGAAGCGGCGAAAGAAGGAAAAGCAACGATAGAAATGCGGGTGTACCAAACATGATGATTGTAGGAGTTGGAGAAAGACAGAAATGAGAAATAAGGCAGAAAACTGGACATGACAGCGATGTGCCCAAATATGAATGGTCACCTTAGTGTCCTCTTCAATAATAATAATTCTCCATCTCAATTATTATCCCTGTTGCGGCTACTGGAATTTCTAGACCGTGCGGCGGTTCCTTTGGCGATGTTATTGGACAACCCTTCGTTTTGGGTGGAGTTAAATGGGGCCAAACATCTGTAGCTCTTCTACGTGATCGTCTCGACTAATTTATGAAAATTGTCCTTGTATACTCACGTCCCGATTTCTTCGACTATCAGTGACAACGTTGACGAGAAATTTGATTACTCGGTAGGAATCCGAACACAAAATGAAATTGCAGAGGGATGGCCGGGCAATCGAAGTTGACCAGGATGTTGCCGCCAGCTCTACTAGTGCTATGCAACCAACAGTCGGCCGGCTAGCTCATGCGTAAAAATTTCCAAACATAAAGTAGGCCGCCTATTCTTAGTATTGGATACGGTAATAGTCACTAGGTCTAGATTATTACCTCTGACTGAGAATTATTATCGCCATGAACTAAAAATATTTTCTAATTATCTGATTCGTGATGTCGATAATAAGTACTCACCCGCGAATCACATTAGTTGTGGTCATCGTCCAGGTATAATTGGGTGGAAACGAGGAGGTTTTGCTTGCTGTGTTGTTTGATGCATAGCTATTTGTGCAGAAGTGTGGAATGACATTGTTGTCGCTTCAAACCTCATCTTGTGAAACCCCCAGGGCCTGCAGTACCTAAGCTAAGCCTGGATCATTAGGCACGCAGCCCAGGCTGACCTGGTCAAACCCCTGAGTAAGCTTGGCACATTGGAACTCACTGGCTTCGGGAGCTCAGGACAACATAAATGTTAAGTCATCTTCTGAAGATGTTGACTCGAGTCTGGTCTCCGATTATTCGCTTAGCGCCGTGGCACCACGGATTTCTCACGTGCATCTCGAACAGCCTTGCTGACACTTCAACTAGCCTATGCCAAGCAAGGATCAAAAAGGTTCACCAGTGACTGCCGATCATTTCAAGGTGGGTTCGGGTCAAGCTTCTCGGGTGTGGCATGGGCAATGACCGGCGCTTGACTTGGACAGGGGACCATGAATGTCTGTTCAATAGAGGATGGTGAACTTGCTTTTGACTCGCCCGGCCCGTTACCTACATTTAGGGAGGGATCCGACAAATACCTGCTCGCTACTGCACATAAGGAGCTCCAACGGACCGACAAATTTGGAAAACCCGTCGAATGCTTCCGTTACAATCCCATATTTCCAGGTGCTGCCTCTCATCATGATTATTTGCGCTTCTCCGCAAACCTGGCAGTAGCTCCTTGCCTTCTGCCCAAAGACCCCGGGAACGTCTCAAACAGATCAGCACTACGCCACCCTGATATCTCAGCTTGCGTCTCGTAGGTTGCTGCATACCGATACTAAGCATCAACGTAGACTTTATATTTGCCAATATCCTCGTGGATCTAGACACATTTAGGATAACATCCGTTATCGACTGACTACACGCGGTCATCGTTCTGTTACCTCTCATTGATGGACATCCCAAAATGTTCCACCAACCGGTCTTGAGAACCTGGAACCAGTAACTCAACCACTCGGGTATGCCAAGATGAACCCCCAGGAACAGGTTGAGATTGACTACCACCTTCGATTAGCCTACATATCCTATCGATACCGCGTATCCAATATCGCATTCAACGAATTGCACCTAGGACCTCTACGCAACCCGCTAGTGGAGTACATATTCCGGGTGCCAATGGAGGGAAGACCTCACAATGCTGCATAGCGCGCTGATGTATATAAATGATACCTAGGATGAAGTTCCTGGCAGAGACGCATCTCCAGAATCTCCTATTCGATTCTCAGAGGAGGAAGTTCAAAATTATATAAAAAAAAGCCAAAGAGTATTGGGTGACCTCGAGCCGAATCGGCAACGCCTGCCTTGATGAGCTTCAGGTTTCAGAAAAATGGCTGGGTGCATCATGACTTCTATGGCCATGCTGTTGAGAGATACAAGTCTTCAGGGTTGGACTGAAGACGATTTTAAAGGATTTGAGCAAGGATGGCGGTTCCAAGATCATGAAGAGGTCTTCTGATGCATGTTTCATTCTATATTTTTATCCGGAGTGAGTGGGGAGTATATAGTGGGTGCTAGCTTGTGGACCACGATAGATGCCTAATCTCCACTCCTACCTTGGAGGGTATATGGTATGATTTACACCAAGTGTATGAATAATGCTGGTCTTGTATTAATACAATATTTGCTTGATCATATAGTGAATTGTAGATATAGTACGGAGTAATCAATATTCCAATGGAAGTTCTTAAATTTAGCAACCTTTTTGGAAAGCACATGCAAGCCTCCCGCGTGGCGGCCTGATTCATGATGACGTATGTTGTAAAGAGGTGGTGGCACCTGACTTCGGAGCTATCTGCTTCAATAATTTCCGAGACCTTGGGGATGGAAAAAAAATTATACGGCGACTTGGCCATTCATATTGGGAGTCCATATAAATCATAATCCATCTCGATACCTAGGTATAGTGTTCTAATTACTAATTGCTTAGGAAGTTCATCAGGTTCACTTCCGTTTTAGCCGATAAGTTCGGCAGTTATCCAATGCTGAAGCCGCTAAGTGGTGGGTCTAGACGATCATAGTTGCATTCGGCGCTCCTTTTTTTTTGGTCAAGTGTTTATAAACAAATTGCCCGCGCTTGGATGGCGAAAAAAAGACTTTTACCCTACATATTTCAGGCACCCGGTACCTTTCCGATATTTCTGACAGTCCCAACGGGGAAAAAAGAGACTGCAGCCAAGAAGATCTACAAGATCGGCCAGATCATAATCTCCGAATTGGTAAAGCGGTCTCCCTTGGCAAAATATGGCCGATCAGTTGCCTCAGGCCGAAGGATCGCATCTATCGAGCGAAAAGCCACGGCACTCGGCTGAGGTAGAGAGACCTACTACGTCAGGCTCTATCGGATCGTCGACTGGCTCGAGCAGCTCCGTTGAATATGACGCGCAGGTGCATAGGCTGCAATCGCGGAACACAGAACTGGACTTGGAACGTCATCGGACTGGGGCATCACGAGCATTGAGCAGGACTGAGACGCAACGCGCCCAACATGCGCTCACTGTGGGCGAGAGTCTTCGGTCGCGACCGTCGCGAGCTCCATTGCCAGCTTTTGGTGGGGGTAAGCCCTACCCTCCACCTCTCCCTGCACGGGAGGATTACGTTGTGGAGTTCGATGGGCCAAATGACCCGTTATACCCGCTGAATTGGCCCGTGAAAAAGAAGTGAGTCGTTTCCCCATGAATGTCCATATCTTACTGCCATTCAATGTGCAACGTTTATACCCCGATACTAACTTTTACAATCCAGATGCTACATTAGTGCCATCCTCGCCTTCACCAGTATTTGCTCCACCTTCGACTCCGCCGTTTTCAGTTCTTCATCTAGTCATGTCTCGAGTCACTTCAACGTCGGCCTTGAAGTCGCCATCCTCTCCAGCTCTCTATACATCGTCGGCTACGCCTCAGGTCCCTTGATATGGGCTCCCCTATCCGAACTCTTGGGCCGTCGTATCCCCATTATCGTCGCCATGTTCGGATTTGGCGTCTTCAACATCGCAGTGGCAGTCTCAAAAGACTTGCAAACCCTCCTGATTTGCCGATTCTTCTGTGGTATCTTCGGCAGTTGTCCCTTGGCAGTTGTGGCTGCTGTGTTCTCTGATATCTGGGACAACCGCACCCGTGGTGTTGCCATTGCCATGTTCTCCTCGACGGTGTTCCTAGGCCCTCTCCTGGCACCTTTTATCGGAGGCTTTATTAACATGTCCTATCTTGGATGGCGCTGGACCGCCTATATCCCCGCGATTATGGGCTTCGCCGCTTTCCTCATGAATATTTTCTTCCTGAAGGAGTCATACCCACCTGTTGTCCTTGTGGAAAAGGCCTCGGAGCTTCGTCGCCGGACCAAGAACTGGGGAATCCATGCGAAGCAAGAGGAAATCGAGGTCGACCTTCGAGATCTGATCATAAACAACTTCTCTCGCCCGCTTCGACTGCTGTTTAATGAGCCATTGATCCTAGCCGTCACTATCTACCTGAGTTTTATCTACGGGTTGCTCTATTGCTTCTTGACCGCCTACACTCTGGTCTTCCAGGGTGTTTACGGCATGAACGCTGGTGTTGGAGGTCTCCCACTCTTCGGCATGGTGGTGGGCCTGTTCACCGCTGCGGCTTACATCATCTTCTCTAGCAAAAGCTACAATAAGAAACTAGACATGAACGGTGGTGTCCCCATTCCTGAGTGGCGTCTCCCGCCCGTGATGGTCGGCGGTGCTCTCTTCGCTGCTGGGCTCTTCTGGTTTGGATGGACTGGCTTCAGTGGTACCATCCACTGGATCGTGCCCACCCTGAGTGGCCTATTTACTGGATTTGGCCTTCTGATCATCTTCATCCAATTGTTCAATTATCTGATTGACACATATCTTATGTTGTATGTCATTCTTTCCATTCCCCCAACTTGTCATGGGCTTATCTAACATACTATCTACAGCGCCGCATCAGCCATCGCAGCAAATACCTTCTGCCGCTCGATGGTGGCAGCAGCCTTCCCGCTTTTCTCACGCCAGATGTTCCAAGGCATGGGTATCCAGTGGGCTTCTACGCTTCTCGGATGCGTTGCAGCCGTCCTTGTTCCGATTCCCATTGGATTCTACTTCTTCGGTAAGAGACTGAGGATGAAGAGCAAGTTCGCGCCATTTTATGAAGCTGTCCAGGAAGGGCACGCAGCCGAGGAGTGTGAAGCACAGGCGGAGGGGACTGTGCACCAGCAGAGAAGCACATAATTGCCTTGTTATTGTACATAATCATATTCCCATTAGGGAAACGTAATTATAAAAAGTGAACATTTTAGCGGCTATTTTTCTGCATCTCTCAATGAAGCAACATTGATTCAATCGTCTTCAATTCTGAGCATTGGTATTGGGAAATCTCATATATTTTGACAAAACTGCTGGCTTATACAGCTAGTTTTGGACCAACCTTGGAGCTGAACTTGCTCGGACTATCTAATGGGTAACAAGTAACACGAAGCTCTGCCGGCGGGAGGTTCGGTCTGTAACGCATGTTAGACGACACTGTTCCCTGCAACTGTGACATTGAATGTGAGATCAGGTAGCATGAGGATCTGACTTGGTTTCAGAAGCATTTTGGCCCAGACATATCCGTCGAGGATGGCTAGCAAATATATATAACTGTGCATTTAAAATAAGAGAGTGGTGGTTCAGATTAACATTGGTGACTACCTGGACTAATTAGTTTTATATGAATAGCCCGTATTTTCAAGTTCGCGCGGCATATAGATGGAGACCTCGAGAAGTCATGATGATCTTGGTGTTAAATCAAGTGACACATGCAGCAAAAGGATTGTAGTTCTTGGTCCCTCACCCACCACTTTAACCGGGGCATGGTGCACCATCGCATGTCAATTGCGCGATATAAGGCCTGTTATTTTCGTATCCTCCATCTCATTTATATTGTCGACTATCACTACATGTGTCCCTCTGTACAGATGCTTCCCTTTCTATTTTTAGGTTAGAACCGCTTTGAGTTCTGCTCGTGGCACATATAGTATATTAGGTTCTAACCTTCGACCAGGGATTATCAGGTTTTTCTACGACTATGTCAAGGCCAACCCCGTGAACGCATCTAATGTCACCTCTCTTGATGTATACAGTCCACAGCAAAGGGTTACCTATTGTGTCCCCTGGATTCCGAATGTGAGTTTGATCATGCCCAAAGTTTAGCCATTGGCAAATGAAAACAGCGATTGTTGACAAAACATTCATCGTATATAAGTAGTGCGAAGAAGGACTACAATGTTGCTTCTTTTTGTGTACAAACACAACGTCGAATACGGGAAACTGTGGAGGCTGTGGTGCCATAGTAAGTCCTGGTTGCATTATAGTACTCTGCTGACACGACATGTCTCAAACATATTATTATTTATAGTGCGTCGTCGGGTCACCACCAGCCTGCTGCGACGGAGTGTGTACGGATTTGAACTCGAGTGTTGATAATTGTGGAGCATGTGATGCACCACAAGTAAGTATAAAATCAAGTTCTTGGGATATCCGCTATTCTAAAGTAATTTACTCATGTCTCACGTCTAACTAGTGCACTGGAACCCAACCTGCCTGCTGTTCTGGTGTGTGCAAAGATCTCGATAACAACTTCGCCAGCTGTGGAGCATGTGATATAACCGTGAGTAAAGTCCCGTTTTGACTGGAGTATATTGCTAGCACAACATTGGGAGTATACCTGCTGAGACGCATCTTACTCAATAGTGCACCGATCAAGTACCAGCCTGCTGCTCAGGCTCCTGCTCCGATCTCGCCACTGATCCCGAGCACTGTGGTTCTTGCAATGCATCCCCCTGTCTTGGAGAACAGCCTGACTGCTGTGCGGGCACCTGTACTAATCTCGCCACTTCAACTACCAATTGCGGCTCATGTAGTAATACGGTAAGCCAAAGACCTGTTTATCCCATTACTTCACTGAATAACTTACCTAGTAAATACCCTTTCTAGTGTAGCGTAAATACGCCAGCTTGCTGCTCTGGGACTTGTAGTGACCTGAGCAGTGATCCCCTACACTGCGGCTCCTGCACCGCCCTTCCTTGTCTTGGTCTCAACCCTGCCTGTTGTTCAGGGAAGTGCACTGATGTTTCCTCAAATGCCAATAGTTGTGGAGCTTGCAATCGTACTGTGAGTCAACCATTGCCCTACTCTGGGAAAATATCACAGCCTCCACAATGGCAACCTTGCTTATATTATACCATGAAATAGTGCACCGGTGCGAACCCTGCATGCTGTGGTGGATCCTGTGCAGATCTAACCTCTGATCCAAATCATTGCGGTTCTTGTTCAGCTTTACCATGCATCGGTCTCCGCCCAGGCTGCTGCTCTGGCCAATGCACCGACTTAGCTACTAACCCACTTCACTGCGGTACATGCACTACAATAGTAAGATTTCCTTGTTCTGTATCAAATAGCTCAGACTATATTTAGGTGGCTATACTAACAATCTAAAAGTGCCAAGCAAATCAGCCAACCTGCTGCTCCGGAACCTGCACCAACACAGCCACCGACCCAAACAACTGCGGCCGATGCGGCAGCAAATGTACAGGCACCCAGCCCACCTGTTGTAACGGGGTATGCACAGATATTAGCAAGGATCCCGCCCATTGTGGCAGCTGCACGGCCCTCCCGTGCCTGGGCTCTAGACCGGCATGTTGCTCAGGTGCCTGTACAGATCTGGCGACTATTGACCACTGTGGATCTTGTTCGGCGAGTCCGTGTACTGGGATTAATCCGGCTTGCTGCTCGGGGACATGTATTGATCTTAATTCTGACGCTAACCACTGCAGTTCTTGTTCGGCTTTGCCGTGTGGTGGAACACAGCCTGGCTGTTGCTCTGGGCAATGTACAGACCTATCCACCAGTTTGCAGCATTGTGGATCTTGCACTGCTGTGCCGTGTACTGGCTTGCTGCCGGCTTGCTGTGGTGGGATGTGTACTGATTTGACAACTGACGTGAAGCGTTGCGGTTCGTGCAGTACAGCTGTACGTGTTACCCCCTCGTATCGGATCCTTTTTATATATAAGGCATTGGATGGACAGACTAACCGGTGTTTCCTTTGGAAGTGCAATCTCGGACCGGGAGGTGGAGGCTGCGTTGCAGGCAATTGCATCAGTTGCCCTATGAGCCAGCCTTTCTGCCGATCGTCGAACACATGTGTAAGTTCCGAACTGTGCTCCTGTAGAACCCTGAACTAATTCCCAAAAACAAGTGCCCGGGCGGCTTCACGTGTATCAATAATGGCCCTCTGCCTGGATGCTGTGGGCCATTGAATACCTGTCCGCCATTATCCAATCATCAAGGTGATCCCATATGTGTAAGTGACGCGCTAGACTCATCCGATTCGGCTTTCTGACTGGAGGAAAACAGTGTCCATTGCCATGTACTCTTATTATCGCGCACCTGGTTTGTGTAGGATTCTAGGCTGAAGCTTCTGGTGAGGTGAGTTCGAGGTGAAAAGAGACAACGAGAAAAGCGGACCTGAATAAATAGCTCGCGGACCACAGTAGCATACCAATATAGCATGGTAAAGTCGAATGTTCATGATGCGTTTGTTCACATTATATATGCTATGTACAATGAGTCATAGGTATATTAACATTTATAAATGCCCGAAATGAATATGCACATGAAAGTCTCGTTATGTTCTTGACAAGTCGTTATAAAGAGGACTCTTTCATCCAAGGCACCTCGACATCAAGGGCGTTTGCCACCCTCGTCGCAGAAGATAGACACCCCTCGAGTAGTACCATCCCGTCCCAGCACCAGCCACCAACGAGCCAGACATTTCCATCTCCATTCCGCCATAGCTGGCTCTTGTCATCCCCAGACTTCTTCTGGCTAAAGATCTGGTTGACGATCTGTCTGCTGGCGGAGGATCGCAGAACACGAGTGAATGTGGCAGTGTACAAGACCTTCTCGGGGTCAATCGGAGCAATGGGATAAGTCGTAATAAGAGCGGATGACGGATGTTCATGGACAGTCTCAGTCGCCGTAGCATTTGAGCACATGTGGAGTGGGTGAGGTGCTGATTCGCCGGGGTTCAAGGACACTTGCTCCCATAGGGATTTGCTAGAATCAAGAATCCGGGAAAAGTCACGGTGCACAACTGATTGAACGGTCGTTGTGGGAACGGCCTTCATTGCGCTTTGGAGAGGTTGGAAAATCGCGCCAACCACGTCAGGTGTCACGGCCAGAACGACATGGTCAAATAGTCGTGAGCTGCTCTGGCTATCACGGGTATCTGTCCAGCTCACTTGAACTTTTGTGCCGATATTCTCGACCGCCGTGACCTTCATGCCAAGTTTATACGTCAAATCTTTGGACAGCTTTTTCTCGACATGCTGAACTCCACCAAGAACAGTGTAGTGCTTCTTACGGAAGGTTCGTCTCCCATAACCCACCAGATCAAGAGCCGGGAAAAATCCATCAGCGCATCGTGTGAGCAAGTCGCAACGCTCGCGAAGACCGGCAAGAAGTAGTGCTTCACGTAATAAGGGGGCAACATAATTCTCTCCACATATTGACGCAGAGATTCCTCCATGCCAGATGACTCCAGAGTTTTGGGCGCTACATAGAAGCAGCAGGCTTTAAACCAATAATAGCATATTGCCAGGTAGCACACCTCGATCAGCCACCCGGTCCATGATAACCCCTCCGGACGCAGGGGAGGTAATTGGTGGTTATTTGAGGAATGCATATAGTATGGAGAGGTTTGTTTCGTGGCACTGTCTGGTAGTGTCGACAAGGAGTAAATAAACCGTAGCGAGCCATATGGGATGCCGAAATAATCGTACATCCGCTTGAGACTTTCGTAGTATCCGTCGGCGAATGTGCGCATGGGAAGATCGAGGCGTTCGGGCTTTGCGCCTCCGCCATTTTGGTTTGTGAGGTTGTATGACGCGGAATCGAGCGAAAGTTTGTCTTGCTGCGTGTTTTGTTGGGATTAGCTTTAGTTTGCGCGTGCGGTGTCGTGGGAGAAATCTTTTTACCTTTTCGAATACTTCCACGTCAAATCTCCCTAGAGGATCATTCCTGAGCATATATGCGACCACTAACCCAGCCATCCCCGTGCCAATTACGGCAACATTTTTGCGTGGTTCGTTCGCCTCCATGGTGAAGGAGGAAAAGGTTGATTCACAGTTCCAGGAGAAGGAGAGCGTATATAGTCCTTCCCGTGGCTGAGAGAGTTCAGACTTCTGGACTTTCAAGAATTCAATGTTCGCTTAGAACAAAAGTTGACCATGGACATGCAACTTTCAACATTTCAACATTTGGCTTGAACAAGGTTAAATTGGGACCCACATTTCTGTCAGCAAGGGTCGTCACCTGGGGCACAGCCTCGGTCTAATTTCTTCCAAGGTTGTGCACTCATATCCACCATTCAATTATGCATATTATACATATCAGCATATGATAGGCCAATAGTGTTGATAGTGTTGGTGAGTAGGAACTACAAAGGACACCTTTCCAGGTCAGATGATATGTTCCTTGCCCCGTTGCATCTCCATGGATCGGGCATGGATGGATCCGCGGACCAACACCCAGATGACATAATCAGGTTAATCCTTGCTTATCAGCTTATCGACACGTGCATGTTTGTTGATGGTTTGGAATTTGAGCAGAAGAACTTGGACAAGCACGGGAACAAATCAAGATATGGACCTAGAGGCATGCACCTGTCATTGATATAAGGCGATCTCGAACATCCCTAGGTATTGTGCCAATACCTTGTCAATTACGGCCATGGCGCGTCCTAAAACAGTTCGCGCACCGACAACAGCCAGTCTTCCAAATAATCTCCGCATTCCCTCATCGACTCCGTCCCTCACAAAATCCCTGGGAAAGCTATCCAGACAAGCACTACTGGACCTTGCATTTACATGGCTTGACGACCGCAACATCGCCTCATTCCCGCCATACCTACAGACCGACGAAGAAGATGGCCCCGACGATGACGAAGCCCTCCCCTACCCAGCGGGGGAGACAATCGAAGAAGTCCGCCAGGTATATGAAGATCTGCAGGACAGAAAGGGTGCAAAGCGCGAAGTTCTGGAGCGAATCCTAGAAGGTGATTGGCGGCATGGAATCACACTGCGCCAGCTAGCCATGGCAGACCTCCGCTATATGGATGACCACCCCGCCAGCCTTCGATGGACCGCACTCGAGCTTAGCCGTATTGATACGAAGCGCAAGAACTCCCAAAAACTGCCACCCGCAGACTGGTCCGGTTCTGTACCGCGTATGCAAGCGGCAACATTTGTGCAAGCCCTCCAACGAGAGATCTCCCCATTGGTCAAGGCCCACTACCACCTCGCCCATTCGGCAACACTGCCGCTGACATTCCTACGTATCTTTGTCATCGAATCGCCATATCAATCCCCTAGACAGGCAGCTGAGGTATTCACTGACTCGTCTCGAGTCATCTACGTCGCTTTTCCGGATAGTTGCCCTTATATCTACACTTCCATAGCAGCATCCACCGGATCAAAATCTGCTCCTTTGACAAGCTCAGTGGCTACCGATACTCGAACTCTTCAGCGTCTGGTGCGCGATTCCATTCCTAAAGCGTTATCTCGCCCACAGGAGCGATTCTCCCTGCAGGCGACATCCCTGGCCGCAAAGAATCTGCCCACACTCCTAGCCCTCCGCGGACCGGGACGATCATCGGCATCAAATGGCGCCTTCAGCATCTTTGCAGATGCAGCCATTGAAGGAAGTCCGTTGGATCCCCGACCTTCCAATACAGTCTCACCTGAAGAGCATATCCAAGCGAGTCATTCCGGCCCAGCAGAAGGCAAGGAAAACACAAATGGCTCAGCGACCAAACGAAGATCCAGCGGTATTGATACAGGACCCCTCTCTCCGGATTCGAAGAAACGCCGTCTTGCCATCCATTCCCGATTCGGAACATTGGGGTCATCGCTCGCCCCGGCACCGCTGGACCGTCTTGATATCCGGCTCCTTGACAAACCGGGCTCTAATGATGAACAGGATGATGATGTTGATGATTCTACGTCCGCGCTACCTGCCGTGTCACTCACTTTCGCTGGATCCGACGTCATCAGCGGGATTCGCAAACTTGCTGAGCTAGGCATCATTGACCCTGAGCGTATGCCGTCGTGGATGACTGGCGAGGAAGGCGTTAGTGTCGCAACTGTTCGACTAGGTCAACGACTTCAAAAGGATATATAGAAGAACCTGTCTTTGGTGTTCTTGGATTTTGGGGAGTTGAGGAACTTGGTGCTTTTTTTTGTTTCCTGGGCCGTTGGGGCCTGATGTGATACCCGGACTTGAGATGAATGGATCATTTTTGTTGCTTTTTTGTCATTTGGGTTTACCTATCAGTAAGAGTGAATTTGTAAGATGTCCCAACTGAGTGTAGTAGCAAATAGATGTAGTGTACACTCGACGTTGAAGATTGTAAAAATGGTATTAGATTCATTTGGAGGTAGGATCCAGCATAAAAAAGTCCACTTCATCCCAGCACCGAACACCACATTTCCGAATTCACAACATAAAGTATTTCTCCAATAAAACAACACCACAAGTTGAATCCCGTTGTTTCAGGCCTAGAAATCAAGCAATCCATGCTTGGGCTTGCACCGGCAAAGAGTGAGCGTCACTCATTGACAGATTTCTCAAAATAAACCATTCCCAACACCATTACCCAAAAACAAACCGGCTTTAAGTAAAAGGCAAATTGATAAGAAGAAACGCCGACAAGAGAGAGTTCCGCCACAGAACCGTTGCTCGATCTTACATGCCCATAGAGGTGACACCCTCAGTTTCGTGCCCATCGCGCTCGTGCTCACTGCGCCTTAGTTTTACTATTTGACGCTTGACGAGGTTAGAATAAGCAGTGTGTGAAGACGGGTCGTCCATTTCAGCCCAAGAAGCACAATGTTAGCAGGAGTTCCTCTGAGGAGCCAGAGGCCAAGATGTGGGATAGACTCTAGGGGCAAATACATACTGATCGAGCCATGGAATTCAGGGACTATTCGTCGCGCACGTTCACATATCCCAGTCGGTCATGACGGCTCTCGGTTTGGGTGGTCTTTCCGGTGAGATGAGGTCTTCCATGTTCATCGCCATTCCACGGGGCATTGCTATATGCGGAGAGCTGTTGAACTTCAAGTTCTTATTAGGACTTGGACGGGTTGTCATCACTTACCAGTAGAGACAGCTGACAACATCCTGGGATGCATGCATGGTGGCCTCACACTTCTTAAAGCAAGCCCCATGAAAATTGCTGCCGCATTCCTGACACCACGTAGTTTCCTGGTTGGCCTTGAAATCATTGAAACAAATTAGACACTTGCCCTCAACAGGCTTCCTTTCGCCGGTGGAAGTAAGGGTTGTAGTGTCCATGATTCGTTTCAAGGATAATACAGCAAGCATCTCCCGTAGCTCCTGATGAACATGCAATTGGGTCAGGAATATGTATAGACAGAGTGATTTGAGTGGGATTTGCAAGGACTCACGGATGGCAGAAATGCCCGCTGGTACCTCAATTGTCCAGCGACATCCATGGCAGATAGGACTTGACGACGCATTAGCGAAGAACAGAGATTGGTAGTTGGGCTGTACGAAACAGAGTAGGTATCGATCTGCTTGAGCTGGGTTAAGACTTACCAAAGCAGATGTGCTTACACTGCACCTTCCGGAATCTGACGTCCGGACAGTCACAGCGAGGCACTTTACCAATGACCGTTTTGTAGATATTGCCAGTAGACCCAACGACTTCAAATGAGATTTCCGGAACTTTCTTGGTTCCGCTGATATTGTGCCTAATCATATACATGCTAAAAGCAATGCTGGTCAGCCAATCGAAGTATGCCATATTCGTCAATATTTACTTGCATTTGGCTTTCAATGCGTGAGACTCTTTCTAAGAACCCTTCGGGAGGTGAGTCTAGCCATGGAAGTGCGCGTTTCTCAGACATGAGTACTTGGAATGCACTTGGCGGAGTGCGCTCTGCAACTTGGGTTAGGTTCTCGGCACTAGGCTTGTTACTAGGACTAGCAGGCTCGACAGTGGGCTCGACTTCTAGGTCAAACAAATCAGGGCTTGATGGCAGCATAGGAGAAGAGGAAGGTTTTACCTCTTGTAAATCGACAACAACTCTGGGGCAGAGGTACTTCATAAGAGTATGAGAAGATAGAATCTCTTGGAAAGAAAGTGGATCATGGAAGAGGATGTGTTGCTACATATATGTATTGCAGGAAGCAAGATCTAGATAGAAGTGTGTGCACATGGAGTGTCATATGACTTTGCATGGAGGCACATAAAGATATGACAGGCCTTTGTTCTCAGCAGGTAGGCCATGTTTGTTCTAGATGTGCTTCTCGCTTTCGCTGGGTTTGTCACAATGGTGGATTGGCTTTGACCAGAGTTGTATGTATGGGATATGATAGTAAATAGAGGAGATTGCAGAGATAGGAAACTTATACCAGGTTTGTCATGTTGGATGTATGTACTCAGCCCTAATAATTCAAGCTCCTTCCCCAGTTAGTAGATGCTTGATTTCCCAGGAACTTATCATGCGAATCAGATACTGTATGTATGGATAAAGATATTAAATGCTTTGCAGTAACTGTGCGTATCCATGTGTGACCAGGCAGTATAAAGAAACAAATCTGGATCCTTCCAACTTTGAAAGGTTTGAAGTTGCAGGTGGGCACACTCTTTGGGAAAGAGCAGGTGTTTGCACTGTTTGTTGGGGGAAGCTTCCCTAATTGTGACTAAGCACTCACCTACACCCTTTCCCGGTGTAGGTGAGCCCACACCTATTAACAAACCCATACCTGTTAACAAAAAAATCAACATTTCAATTTTAAACCTATTTTTTACCATCAAAACCATGCCGAATTCCTCCGAAAAAGAAGAGATTCTTCTCTCAAATGCCCTCGAATCCTATAAATCAGGCCAATTTACTAGTATTCAGGCCGCAGCCTCTCATTTTGGCGTCTCAAAGTGGAAGCTTCGAAACCGAAAGGACGGTAGAACAAATGGAAAAGGCCGTGCAGCTACCAAAAAGGCCCTAAATTCCTCACAAGAGGCCTCTCTTATTCGCTGGATTGAGCACCTTAATTCAGTATATACACCGCCAACTGCTATCGATATTGAGGGTGCTGCGAATCGTCTTTTACAACATTGTGGTTCCGACCGGCAGGTTGGCAAAATGTACGGCTATCAATTCATTCAACGCCTACCACCCCATATTACTCTACGCACACAAAAACCAATGGAAAAAGCAAGGATTGAAGCTGAATTACATAGTGATTTAGTTCATTGGTACCAGGTTTTTGGCCAGTTTCTTAAAAAGAATAAAATCCAGGCCCATGAACTATACAACTGGGATGAGACTGGCTTTCAGCTTGGTATTGGAACCAAGGAAAATGTTGCTTCCACCCGTAAATATGAGACTATTGCGACCGGTGGAATAGGCCAGAATATTACCGGCATTGAATGCATCTCTGCCGATGGCTGGGTTATGCATCCATGGTTTTTAATGCGTGGTTCCGAACAAATGGAAGATTGGTTCGATGGCGATGATGATCCTACCAACTATAGGGTTATTAAACCAACTGCTAAAGGCTGGACGGATGATAAAACTGCTATTCAATGGCTATTAGATTTCCATTATGCCACTAAAAAGCGAGTCGCTAAAGGCAGACCTAGGATTTTGGTTATGGATAATCATGGGTCTCATGGAACCCCGGAATTCGAACATATTTGCCAAAGCTTCAACATTATACCTTGGTGGTTTATACCAAAGTTAACACATCGATGCCAGCCTCTTGATGGCAAGCCATTCTCAGTTCTTAAACAAAAATTCCGAAAAAAGAACAATGAGATTGTACGATGGGGTGGAGATGTTGATGATAAACGACATTTTCTTCGAATGATCAAAACAGTTCGCAAAGACACCTTTAAGGCACAGACTATTAAATCATCATTTCGAGATACAGGTCTTTGGCCTTATGATTTACATATTGTTTGTGATCAAATTGATCCTGGCTGGGAAGATGAACCAGTCCTTGAGATATATGGTCATACGCCGTCACCAGACCGTGAATTTCCCAGTTCGGCAACGAATTCGCCGCCTAATTCAGATCAAAGATTCTCAAAGGTTGAGAATAAGGTTCAATTGATACTCGAGAACGATGAACCAGACCTTCCAAAGCTTCAAAAGCATATAGACCGTGCAATTCGTGGTGGTAAGCAGGCTATCCAAGACCTAGCACTTGCAAAACAAACGATAAAAAGGATGCAAAGCCACAAAATTCCTATCAAAAAATCTAAGCGCATGGTAAAAGGTGCTGCTAAGAGTCCATTATCATCAATTGCAGGCAATTCGAAGGTGTATCGGCGATGTACGAAGGAATCTAAATTGGATATTCGGCATGAGGCTGGGAACGCAAGGATTCGAGACTACTGGCATCGCGCGAATCAGGCTCTCAAAGAAAAAGAAGAGGCATCAGGGGATAGAGATTATCTTGATGTTAATAGTGAGCTATTTAGATATGTAGATCCAGATGGTATGGTGGCTGAAAAATAGGTTTAAAATTGAAATGTTGATTTTTTTGTTAACAGGTATGGGTTTGTTAATAGGTGTGGGCTCACCTACACCGGGAAAGGGTGTAGGTGAGTGCTTAGTCACAATTATCGCTATCAGCTCGTGGAGAAGTGGACTGTCCCTCTTCATCGACAAGATGACGCTATACTGCCACACCCGGCATTGCTGCTAATTTTTCGCTCCTTCATTTCCCCCTCTGGAGCTGATATCTGAACTTATTTCCTATGTCACGTCCACGGGCTCTGTCGGGCGCTGATGCCCCAAAGGAACCACATGCGGTCTCTCTCAAAGGTATGTGAATACAATGAACCCAACCCAACCTATAGCTGGACCAGCAAGTTGATTATGAATTGATTAGTGTTGCGGTAATTCAAATCATCCATATCCATCGAGTTGATGGCAGCTCCTGACTCTCAATACACAGCCTCGCGCGGCCGTCACTTTCTTATCAGCATCCCCTCCCGACGTCTAACACCATAATCTCCACGAAAGCCTCACTAAGCTATCCGTCCGGTGACTCCGATGATCAATTCATTTTAGCGCCTCTTGTGAGACAATGACCAAGCGCATCGAGGAAACTCTTTACTAATGGCAATAGCTTACTCTACCTCCCTCCTTCGGATCCGTCTACGTCGGAGAAACCTTCGGGTGCACACTTAGCGCGAACAATGAGATTGATGATGATGACAACGCCAGGGTCCTCACCTCAGTGCGCATAGTAGCAGAAATGCAAACACCTTCGTCGGTCGCGGCACTGGAGCTGGAGCCACCCAACGACTCTGCATCAACAGACGGCCTTAAGATCGGCGAGTCATTACAAAAGATAGTACGGTTTGATTTGAAGGAAGAAGGAAATCATATACTAGCTGTGAGTGTCAGCTATACAGAGACAAAGATCGGCTCCGACTCGCAGGCAGCTAGTGGCCGGGTAAGGACCTTCCGCAAGTTATACCAGTTTGTGGCACAGCCCTGTTTGAGCGTTCGGACCAAGGCGTCCGAACTTCCACCACTCGAGGTAGATAATAAATCACTCGGTCCGTACGGGAAAACAAGGTTACTCCGGTTTGCCCTGGAGGCACAACTGGAAAACGTGGGTGAGAGCGCGGTGGTAGTCAAGGTATGAATTTCCCATTAATCCCTAGCGAATGAGTGGATTTTCCACGGCGAAGCGCGGCTGCACCTGAAAATTGGGCTGGGCCGGAAATGCTCAACAATTTGGCTAACGTTGGGGGATGGATAGCAAACAAAACTAAATCCCAAGCCACCGTTCCAATCAAAATCGCTAAATTGGGATACGATGAACCCGGACATGTCACCCCCGGCACTACCTACACTCAATCCACGGGATGTCTTACAGGTAGCATTTTTGGTGGAACAAGAAGAGGGCCAGAACGAAGGGCTTGAAACTCTCCAGAAGGACCTGCGACGGGACGGTCGTGCCACGCTGGGTCAGTTGTCGATCGAATGGCGCGGCACTATGGGGGACAAGGGTTTCCTGACGACGGGAAACCTCATGAGCCGGAAACGCACCTGAAACGCGGTGTGCAACCAGCCCACCGGATCGTTTCCGCTACTGTATCACGATATGGACGCCGATTTGTATTAGTGCATCCAGCCGCCCAGTTGCATGGAGGGCGCCGCAAGGGCGGTTTGTACACATTTCCAGTAGCCCACTTACACAATATTACCATTGGCATTGGCAGCAGCGTCCTAAATTGGGGAGTGTATAGTGTAATATATTGGGCTCTGAATATATCCACACAATCTATGTAGGCCTGGCTGAGGAATGCCTGAGGCTCTGACATAGAGTCCAATGCATTGGCCGAGCTCCCTGGCGCCACTAGCACGGAGCGGAAACCAGCCTTGCCATGCAGCCGACGCTTAATTTTCGTCGCACAGCAGTTTCCTCTCGGCAAGGAAGCTCCGGGGCTGGACATTCGCACACTTTGCATTTTCTACTCCCCATAGGGCTTGCACAAAAGAAAAAGAAAAAAAACCGGCAATTCGTCCTTGGCCCAAGGCCACGTATTCTACGGGATGTCACATAGAAACGATTGGGTATGTATACATGTAAAGTCCTTTAGAGTCCAGATTCATTGTTATGGAGTAGTAGAATGGAAGAGTCTAGACTCTGGCTGATCAATGGGGTTCAGCTGTTCACATTGTTGCCCGATCTCCAAGATCATTATCTGCTATCTATGTCTCGCACAGACTTCTAAGGTTCTATTTTAGTTTTACTCACGGTCTTTTATCTATAATTCTTTTTTTTCTTCCTTTTTTTGGTTTGTGCATATATGGAGTTCAGGCTACTCCATATATACCCTGTTGATCTGCTCCACCGCCTCTTCTCTCCAACATTGAGTCGTACACACTGTTGACTGCATTGAGTATATGCAAGTACCAATGTACATTGACGGGGAGATGGTTGGAATAACCTTGTCCAAAATCCTGGGATGCGACCAGTCGAAAAGGGCTATCGGTGCAAGGGAGCCCCTGTATCACGTAACGCGGGTATTGGCGGTGTTCATGGCCTTAAATAGATATTTAGATACACTATACTCCGTACTCCATACTGAGGAAGTACATTGGAATTATGGACTTCCACATGTATGTATGTTTATTGTCCAGGAGTACCCAGATAGCTAGTTAGAGATATAGTCCACGGTATGTATATGAAGATCCTTGGCGGATCCAGGGAAATACTGACATTGGAACGAACTGGGGGATTTACCATGTAGATAATCAGATTACTTTTTATTTTTATTTTTATGAAATCGATACCGTGGAAACTGATACTACACTTAAGCGATGCTTTCTTTCACCCCCTCGGTGCTCCACATTGCCCAACTGTAGTATTGATCATCTCCCCGGGACAAGCCACTCAACTCCACTTGGTGACTCCTGACTCGAAATACTATGTACCAAAGTACATAGTGTATGTTGTATCATGCACAGAAAAACACTGTAGTACGGAGTATAAGAAAAGGGTGTTGGAGAATGTACATATTTGGAAAAAATAAAAATAAAAAAGTAAAAAAACCGTTAAGCAGACTCCGCAATCTAAAAAGCAAGATTCCCACGAGGGACTAAACGGCAAAGAAAAAGACTACAAACTCCCAAGACCTCGGCAATTCCCGATAGTCTTACCCCCTGAAAGTGCCAGTTCCTAAAAGTCAGATATAAAAAAGAATGACATTGTGGCGTTGTACCAAGCTAAAAGCCCATAAAACCCCCTAAAAACCCCTAAAAAGAAAGAAAGACCTCTTAACGCCATGTCTCATCAAAAATGAACCCCAGTTACCCCCATAGCCCTGTGTGCTAGCAGTTGACGAACCTCGTTCAAGAAAGGGATCAGCCAAGACCCGCTTGGATTATCCGCTGAAGCTCAACCATGGATCACGGGCCTCTAACCCCTGGAGCTGACAATATTTCCAAGGTTCTTGTTTCTTTATCTCTTTGTTACCGGGATCCTCGACATCCCCAGCTTGTAAGTCGTCTATATATGGTAGTAATGGTAGTACGGACAGATCTTGTTATGGAAATAGGGGATTCCCTATGGAATACATACATGGCAGTCGATATAGAGATGTATAATGAGACTGTATTATGGGTATACCCCGGAAGTCTGGATTCCCTTTAGAGTCTAGCCCTGCACATACCTGCAGGTCGCTACAGTCAGTGCATGGATGCTAGGGCTGTGAATGGCCCGGGCCCTTGACTGGCTTGATTTGTTAAAGATTTGGACTTGACACGGGCAACTCTTACCATTTTTATATAGTGGAGTAGAGATGTGCGCACATTTTAAATGTCGGGTTCTAGTAACATTACCACACGCCTACGCAACCACCCGTGATACTAGGGGGAAAAAGAAAAGAAAGGAAAAAAAAAAAAAAGGGCGGAAATATTATAGAAGACACATGGAAATATTTAGGTAGAAATAATACCTAGAATACACAAATACAACATAAGATAATGAGAATCGAACTCCTTTTTTAATACGTTTGACCTTCAAACCACCCCCGAAATTGATCTTCGCTCTGAACTGCCCCTCCCTCCCGTTCTCCCCCATTTTTATCAGCTTCCCCCTCCCGAAAACTACATGCGCTCAATTCCCCTGCGCATTCCCTGGAAACACTGCGATCCATGTGGTGACAATTAAGGTATTAACCCGCTACAGTCCGCCGTGACTCTCTCCACAATGCCATCGTCAAGCACTTCCGAAGGCGCCCCCCTCGCCGACTATTTCTGGATAGCCGGTGTGGATGGTACAGAGATCCTGGACACCTTCCAGAGATTAGGAGAAGATTACCGTGCCAATGGCGCCGCATCCCCAGGCCCTGCGCTCGCAGACACCATTCAAGAGGACGCCGATGCGGAGGAAGAACACAACCCGGATGGGGTCTCCCGGCCAAACTCGATGCTCTTCACCGGCGCCGGTCACAGGGCGTCTTCTCAACGACTATCCACACTCTCGAAGACCTCAGAGGGAACAAATGGTGCTGGCAGTAACAGTAACCGGAGCAGCATGACCGTCAAGGGTGCCTCGTCACCCCTGCGTGCCTCAGCTCTGTTCTCTGATGACTTCGATTTCGACTCCGCGCTGTACAAGTTCGCCAACGAGCGGGAATCTTTTCTGACCGACTTGAGCTTGAGCGCTGGCGCTATTACTCCAAATACGCGCCCGCGGTCCAGGGTTCGCACGCAGAAGATCGTCTCCGACGATTCGCCCTCGCCTAGCGGTAACTTGCTGAGGTCGGGTATTGGAAGCGTGCGACGATCCTTTCGCGATATGAATAGTATGAAGCGGCAGCCATCGATTGCTCGTCAAGGTGAGAGCTCTTCTTTGACGCTATTTTCCATTCACTCTGGAACGGGGTCATGGCTTTCTGTGGATGCACTGGCTAACAATGGATTGTCTTCAGCTTCGGTGCGAACTTCTCGGCGACTGAGCAACTACAACTCGGTAATCCCTGTCCCACAACCCCTCGAGATATCCCCCACGATGCACCCGTTGAAACGACGATTCGAGCCCGTTCTCCTCGACAGATACCCCACACGCGGCATGCCGGACGAGATGAAGCAGCGCGGCAATTTCCCCGATTACGTCCCTATGTTCGCCTTTCCGAACGATGTCAACATCGTCTCCTCCGATCAACGACCGCGATCTACCTGGCACGGATTTGCCATGACAACAGACAATGGCTCTAGGCTGCACGCCATCTGTGTGCTCATCTGGATACCGCTCAACCCAAATGCCGCGGAGGAGCTCGAGAAGCGCTGCGAGGAATGGCGAAAGGACAACATGACAGACGAAGAGCGTGAGCTAGCTGCAAGCTTGGGCGAACGATTGGCATCAGAGCGGGCCAAATTATCCCGGCTCCTAGCCCAGTTGCCGACTGTCCCCTCAGGATCCGAATCCCGCGAACAGCTCGAAGATGATATCAGCGCCGTGGAGGAGAAGATTGGGCTAATGACCGATCTCCTCCGTCCGGTCCGGCACGGCGCAGCCTCCAAGATCGAGGGTCTGACCGATGGTGATACTGGGTTCTGGATTCCCCGTGCGTACGGTATCTTGGGCCGAGAGAGCACAATGACGAGCTTCTGGAAGGAATGGCTCAAGGCTGTCGTGGTGCCCATGACAGAGGGCAGTGTACAGCACGTGCCTCCGCCCTCGCCGCGCATGGGTATATGGCAGCCGCTGGAGCGATATGTCATGAATCTCTGTACAGAAGCGTTCTGTCCAATATCCTCGAAGACTCAGGTTGAGATTGCGATCCGTGAGCTGCGGTTGTTCGCACGTAAAGAGGCACCCAATGAGATCCCTGGTTCTCGTAATGTATGTGCACCGCAATCTTGATAGAGTTCTCTGTTGAAGCTTACCGATTTCTAGACTGATCTCTATGCCTTGTTCCGAACTTTGTCGGTTCCCAATATTATCATTCTCTTTGAGGTAGGCTTGATTTGCCAGCTCAGTTGACAAGAGACAATGCTAACAACACACAGTACGCCCTTACTGAATCCCGTATCATCTTCTTGTCTTCCCACACCTCCATGCTTTACCTTGCGACCAGAGCGTTGGTCGATCTTTTGTTCCCTCTGGAATGGACAGGCGTTCTCATTCCTGTCCTTCCCGCGCGCTTAATTCAGGCTCTCGAGGCCCCTTGCCCATACATCGTGGGTATCGAGCGTCGGTATGAGAAGGTGGAACTGCCCACGGACGACTTTGTCCTGGTTGATTTGGACAACAATATGATCGAAAGCACCATTCAACCGACCGCTCTTCCGCGTCATCAGCGCAGGAAGCTTCTCTCCTTGCTGCAACTAGCTGCCCCTCAGCACAGTCGATGCCACGTCCCGACCGGGCCTCCTGCATATGCAATCGAGACTTACCCATGGGACTCGTTCATGTCAGAGAGCAAGGCCAGTTTCACATCCAAAGCGCCTGCAACTAACCTCGCGAAATATGTCGGTCTCAACTCCAGTGCATTCGGTGCAACAGCCGTTATGCCAGGCTCCTATACACCTCCGATCTTCAACGTCTTCCTGCATGCCCGAAACGAGGCCGGTCCCTCTCGTGGATACTCATCTCGCGGTAATGAGCGACCAGGGACCAGCTCCACTTTGAGAGCTAGTGCCTCTCCGCCATCCCCGAGAGAGATTTCGCCTACCTCTGGCTTCTTCCCCCCTCCACCAGCCCCCTCGTCACGCAATGATTCTGGTATGGCATTGCAAGCTTCATTGCGCGAGAAACGTTCCGGTCATTTCGATGCCGCCTCGCGCCGAAGCTCGTCGTTTGGAATGAGTCGACGTCCAAGTGCTCCGTTCCTGGGTCATGCTTCGAACCTCTCAGTGACAACTCTCAACAATGACTACGGTGCCGGATCCACATATGCGCCATCTGTCTATGCGCAGTCTACCATCGCTGCATCCACAATTGTCCCTCAATCCACATACCAGCCCCCCGGCAATAACGAGGGCACTTGCTGGGCTGAGGGTCACTATTTCCAAGTCCAACCCTGGGATGACAAGTTGACCTGTGCTATCTGTGATGAACTGGCAGAGGAAAACATGTATAAGTGCTCTGCATGCAAACTGATAGTCCACAACCGCTGTGCCTCCATGGTGTGCCTGCCCTGTGATGCAGCCTTCCATCCAGATCAGATTCGCGCGGCGTTTGTCAGATGCTTTGCCAGCTTGTTCTACACTTACAAGAAGTTCCTTGTGCCGGCCAGTGGCGATAAGAAGAAGTCCGGCATGTATTACAATTTCAACATGGAGGCTTTCATGAAGAGCCTTCCAAGCGAGCACGCCGAGTATATCGCAATCCTACAACAGACACAAGGTAAGTCGGCGAACTCTCCTATCGTACCGTAGAGAAAATACTGACCCAATACTAGGTTTCAACGAGTTCATCAGTGACCGTGAGCGAACAAACCCGAAGTCCAAGGACCCTCGCATGACCCTGTTCGATGAGATCGTCCTTTCAAAGCGCAACCGCGGCCGCACATCCATTTTCTCTGGCCGGTCGACAACAGACTTCCTCTCAGACACCTCGAACCATCTGTGGCGTACAGCCAATGCTACTTTCTTCGCCCCAAACAGCCGGAGCCAGCAGAATCTTTCAGCCGACTACGGCAGAGTTCCCACAAGAGGTACGCCCGAAGCCTCCAACATCCAATCCAATCCGTCACTAACAATCTCCCTGTAGCACCGGCAAATTTAGATACTAGCCTGATGACAGAACCCCGCATGATACATGGTGCACCACGGGTTTCCAAGACGGCAAATACTGCTCGTAGAAAGCCGCTGCCCAAACTGATGAACGGGCTCGCCATCTCTCCGCCGAGTTAATTGGTGCGATTCCACACGCGAGTGAACCGTCCGTCATTTCGTCGATATCTGCCCTGCCCTTGTGCGGGTGGGTCCAGTGTGCGCGGGCAATGTGCCATGTCCACCTTTTCGAAACACTTCCTTCTGTTTCCCTGCCCGAGCCTGGAACCTGAAACTCCTTCCGACTCCGTCTCGGGTCTCGATTTCCCCGGTTGATGGCGTTACCCATTCCATGCTTTATCTGACGACGAGCAAGTAGGATTGCATTTTTCCTGCTGCGTGTCTTCATTGGGCATGTGTGTCCATCCAAGCTGAGAATGACAGGCCGCTGGCTCGGCTCAACTTCTCGCTGCCCGCTATTATCCCGCAAATGGAACGCTGCATGTGTGGTTGCACACCTTTGGCCTCTCTCCCGATTGAACCTATTTCCCTTACCTAACCTACCATGCTCTGTCGTGACAGACACGCAACGTCTCGAAAGATGTCAGGCGCGCCGGTCCTCGGTTGCGTTGCTGTCCTCGTACATAGTATTGACTCCGGCTTGATGCATGGAGCCATGAACAAACCCCCTAAAAGCGCCATCCCGGTTTGCAAAGAGATGTGGTGATCATTTGTGTGCCTGATATTGATGCATACATACATGTTTATTCTCTGGACCAATACCTTTCTGCTTTTCTTGCCTTTTTTTCCTCCCTCTTATCTCTCGGCTTGCGTTTCTCTCTTTTCCTTCCTCTCTGCCTGTTACTACCCAATACCCCCTCTTGATTTGGCTGGTATTTTTCTCTCCTTACGTCTTAATTGGTTGTTTGAAATACAATGTGCTGGGCGGGATCTAGTCTCGATTCTGTCTTCCCTTTTTTCATATCTCTCGTCATTTCGGTGTCAAATCATCATCCATTGCGTACATATGCTATGTTGTTCATGACCACCCTTTGGGTGTATTTTCCTTTCAGGTCCGATTTGACGCTGTCACTTTATTCTGGTTGCTTTCCTTGCATCGAGGACAGAGAAAAGATAGAACAATACTTAGATCGTTGTTTTATTGTGCATGTTGTGAATATAGAACTATGTCTTCCTATGCTTTGCCCCTTGTGCAAATATCGATGTACTCTTCCACCAATCCTGGTGCCTGATTCGTTGTTTATCTGTCTACCTCGGATTCAATAGGCTATGTATCACTTATTCCAAAAGCCGATCCTTCGCTCTGGCCGAGTCTGAGACTGGCTTAGATTGGTGGTTTTCCCTCGTATCGGATCATGGCGCTGTAGTGCAGAGCCCCTGTCAGGTCATCATGAGGTTATGCCGGTGCCTCCAGCTATCTTGGTGGTTTGATTTAGGCTCATATGAACACAGGCAGCTGTAGATCCGGCAATTGGCAGGATTTATAAGCATATCAGTACTCCAGGGCTGTAAAACTCTGGAATATCCCCTTTCCACTGAAGACTCCAATTCAATCCATATGTCCATATGTAGTATGATTATGCGTCGTGATAGCTGATTGGTGGAGAAACCCAAGACCGCTCCCACTTTTCCCCGCGTCCCCCGTCCTGCGTGGGATTTCATTGTCGCGCATTGGGTGGAACCTCCGCGACGAGTTCTTCCATCGATCCATGTCGCCTCAAATGCTCTCCAATCTGACCTTTGCGGCTGGGTTAATAAACTCTGCCCGCCTAGGATTGACTTAGCGTCCCCTTAACCAACTTTCCCCCATTTACCCCATATCCTGAAGCTAGCCTCGTTCGGCCCGCTCCCTTTTTCCTAATTGCCTAATCGCTTTGTAAAATATCCCATGTTCTGATACTACCTACCTGTTACGCTACCCGGGTCCTGGCCGTCGAGCGAATTGCAAAAAAATTCTCTACTGGGTCCTTGCGCTCCCCCATTTCCCCCTCCCCGACTCCCATTTCTACCCGTCTTAACCCATACTTCGACCGGCATATACATCCTCAGCACTAAGTATGAAAACACTTGGGACTGCTATGCCATGATTCCGACAGCCTTTCCGCAGCACATGGCCACGCCGCTGCTCGACGATACCCCTGTCTCTACCGCCCGCAAACCCCCGGATCCTCCTAGCGCAAACCCCAATATCGCCGTCCCTTCCAATGCTACAACAACCCTCTCTCTCGCTCCTCCGGCTAGCGGGCCCAAAGACCAGACAGCCGCGGGCATCGCCGCGCCGGCCGCCGCCACTGCCGCGGGGACTGTCGTGATCGTCTATGGCCAGAACCAACAGCATATCGTACAACTGGTAGCGGAGGTTCTGGGCAAGCAATGGACAACGGACGCGTCGCTCGGGACGCTTGCGCGAGCCAGCGATGCAACAGTAGTGGGGACCCTAGCGCACGATCTAGCGCGGAGCTTGCAAGGGTGCGAGCGATCATCTCTGGTTCTGGTAAACACATACTGTGTGGAAGGCGGGTTTGCGCCGGAAGACTCGCTCACCGAGCTCTGTGATTATGAATTCTTATATTCGCGGAGTCCGTTCCTGCGCCGGGATCTGTCGCGGTTTTTGTCTTTGATTCTTGGTCAGACGAGACCGCATGATGATTTGCGGACGAAGACCAGGACGAATTTTATCTCGACTACATTTCCTGATGTGCATGCTGCTTTGCCGAATTTAGACATCCTGTCTGTGGGATCTGACGCTGTTGAGATACGTGTGGATTTACTGGTTGAGCCTGTGCCGGAGGGTTCAACCACTCCGCCTGTTCCGAGTTTGAAGTATGTCGGTCAGCAGTTGATGCTGTTGCGACAGCATACTGAATTGCCGATTATCTTCACTGTTCGTTGTACGAGGGAGAATGGGAAGTTCCCGATGGATGACCCTGCGCTCTTTTACAAGTACCTGCGGCGCGCGATACAGTGGGGAGTCGAGTATATCGATGTCGAACTGTGGCTTCCAGAGGAGATCCGGCGCCAGCTGTTTGAGAAAAAGGGCCATAGTATGATTTTATCTGCGTTCCATGACTTTTCCGGGACCTGGAAGTGGACTTCCGAAGAGGCGCAGCGCATATTCACGGAAAGCGCCAAATACGCCGACATCGTAAAGATGATCGCCATGGTCCACACAATCGAGGAGAACTACGAACTAGAATACTTCCGTTCCACCATCAAAAGCCGCGGCTCAGGCCCACTCCTGTCAGCAGTAAACATGGGCCAAATGGGCCAGCTATCTCGAGCTCTCAACACCGTCTTCTCTCCAATCACCCACCCCCTACTCCCAATGATCGCCGCACCAGGCCAGCTAACTGCAGCGGAAATCAACGAAGCCCTACACATAATGGGCCAACTCCCCAAACGCGAGCTCTACGCCATCGGCTCATTCCGCTCAACCCCTCACTCAATGTTCATGGAAAAATGCATAAACGAGCTCGGCCTCCCGCACAACTTCACCTCAGTCGACCGCGGCCCAAAAGGCTCCATGGAATCCGTCCTCCTGCAACCGCACTTCGGCGGCGCCTACCTCAACCCCCCAGTCCCAGCCACAACTGGTTTCATCCCCGCAGTCGACGACGCAGCCCGCGCAATCGGATTAGTGGACACAATTGCCATGACACCGGGTGAAGCTGCACCCGGAACCTCCCGATTCATTGCCAAAAACGCCGCCTGGAAGGGCATTCGCGCAACACTGACGCGTGAATACGTTCCATCCGCATACAACAACCGCGCAGCGATCATCCTCGCCGGCTCCCAAGCAGACGCTTCAGCGGCGATTTTCGCGCTACGCAGTCTGGCCGTTGGCACAATCTACACGGTCGGCTTTAAAGCGAGTGGCCCGCTGGCTGCGGGTCTTGAGCCGTTCACATCCATCCAGTCTGTCAAACGGGTCGAGCAACCCTTTGTTATTGTCTCTGCGCTACCGCCGGAGAAATCGCTGCTCGTACAGCCTCTGTTAAGACATTATGGTGTTAATGGTCGTTCATCACCACCGCCTTGTACTCGTGGGAGAGTTTATCTTGATCTCACGAGTGGGCCGAGGAAGGGGGATCCTTTGGCTGTTGCCACTAGTGCTGGGTGGACGGCGTACGGGGTTGAGGATGTTAGTGCTTGGACTACTGTTGAGACGTTGAGGTTGCTTGTCGGGCAGAACGTGCCGTTTGACTTTGTGCGCATGGCGTCTGGGAGGCCTCTGTTCTAGTTATTTAGTATAGTATACTGCATACCTACGTAGGTAATTTGTGGTTCAGACTTATTGTCTGTTGTTGGCGCAATGGATGTTCATGTTGGATCGGCATTTTGTTTTAGGGGTTTGGGCTAAAGATTATATGCTATGCTTTTGTAGGGCTTTCCTGCGTCATGTGAGATCCATGGATGCTTTGTGCTGTGACGAACTATAGTTTGAGCCTAAGGAATGGCGCTTTACAGTCCCTATGGATATAATGTAGGATCAACCGCACTGGGTATTTCCGACGTCGCTGAATGTATACGCCTTACCCAGCAGGTTGCTGGTAATTTGTAGACGTTGCTGCGCTCTGCTCTGCTATTTTATTGTGTTGGGTTATATATCCATATAGAATCCAGGTTTAATAGCTGCCAATGAACAAGCGATATATATTCACGGATGTACTCCGTAGATGCCCCTGAAAGATAAGAACTTATCAGAAAATCCGGGGTCAACCCCTCCAGAGGTCAATTTCAAGGTTCGAAGCTTCCTCCTTACCCCCAAGCCTTGTTTCTCTTTACCTCTGTATATCTTTCTAACTTCACAGAAACAAAATAGAAATGCATCTACGTCCCGATCATGCAGTCCGAGACCTCCCAACCCTCCACGCCTTCATCAAACAACACCCACTAGGCGTCCTCACCACTTCCCTCCCTTCGGAGAATCACCCGACACTCCAATGCAGCCATATCCCCTGGGTATTGGACAGTGAAACAACCGTCGAACCCGAGTTAGAAAAGGAAGCAAAAGTAGCCGATGACAACATCTCCGCACCGCCACATCCCTCCATGGGAGTTCTCCGCGGCCACATCGCGCGCCAAAACCCGCAAAGCAAAGCGATGGTAGAATCTGCCTCGGAATACAGCACCAAAACAACTAGTATCCCGGGCGCATTTCCCATAACAAGTTCTGCAGAAGAACCAACGATATCCACAGGCCACAGTCTCCCTGGTGAGGTCTTAATCGTCTTCACCAGTCCAGTAGACCACTACATCACCCCGAACTTCTACACAGAGTCCAAACCCGCCACGGGGAGGGTCGCTCCAACGTGGAATTACGCCGCGGTGCAGGTCTACGGTCGGGCGACTATCTACCACGACACGAGGGACGAGCAAACAGAGCTGTTTCTACGACAGCAGCTGGGTGATTTAGCTCGGTTGGGAGAGCAAGGAGTAATGGGGTTTCAAGATGAGTCTGGCTTGGGTTCGGGGTCTGATGTCAAACACAGGAGAGGTGGAAGTGGAACTGGGAATGGGGATGGGGATCCGCCCCAAACCAGAACCGGTACCAAACCCGGAGCCCAGATCTAGAGCTGAATCAGGGGGTGGAGATGGCGGCGACCGGAGCTAGCACGGCATTGCCGACGCCGAGGCCGACACCTTGGAAAATTGCCGATGCGCCCCTGGAGTACATTGCTGCGCTTTTGAAGAATATTGTCGGGATGAAGATTGAGATCACTCGGATTGAGGGCCGGTTTAAGGTTAGTCAGGAACGGCCGGTTAATGATCGTGGTGGTGTTGTTGAGGGGTTGGAGAGGATGGGTGGAACGGCGAGGGATATGGCGGAGTTTGTGAGGAGAGGGAAGGTTTTGCCTGAGCAGTGAGGATGGTATTCTGCTTTTTGTGCATATATGTACATATAGATCTTAGAGGCATACGGAGTATATACTACGTAGAGTAATGGTGCCAAGTTCACCTACTCCATACTCCGTACGGAGTACTCCGTCCATACCTAGTGTTAGCGGGCTTGGCACGATTAAAGAATAGAGAGAGCATACGGTCTGGATACGGAGTAAATACTTAACACACGCACGACAAACTGTTCGGAAAGTTAAAAGAAGACTAAGATGGAGGTTCCGTCTCGAATACAGTAGCTGCACTGGATGATCAGGCTAGGATCGAACGGCTTTTTAGGTGTAATAAGCGGGGGCCAATAGTAATACTGTAATAGCCACCTTCATACATAGTATACATAGTACTCCGTATTCTGTACCTTTTCACATGAGAATAAATACTTGGAATTCTGCAGGAGACACTTCGGGTAAATTGAGTGGACTTAATAGGGGTCTAAGCGGCAACTAAGAACCCCATGATGAAATGGTGGGCAGAATAGAGCTATTTACTGGCTTAATAGATTAAGCTACTGCAATTCCGTGCAATTACTTGCAATTATGGGGTACCTGGATCGTCTCGGATGTTGGCGTCGGAGCCCTAAGGTGGGTAGACCTCCGTAAGAGGAAGCCATTCCCGCCGTACAGATTAAAGGGGAGTGCAATTGGATTCTGGCTTGAATGTGATGTTAGAAGTAGAGTAAACTCAAAATAAGTATAAGAACATACCTACCTACATATACTACATAGAATATCAAATAATTAATAGGCTAAATCGTGTAATTAAATACCATGTCAGCCCAAACTGGGGAATTCCGGCGGCACATCACTTCTCCGCATTTCTTTCTCTCCGCAACCTGGTATAGGCTTTTCCTTTTTTTTTTTTTTTTTCATACGCCACAGCCATGCGCCTGACTTCTTATCCATCTTGGCCGGGGCCGCTTTCTTTCTTCTTCTCATCTCTCTCTTCCATGTAGATGTGCCATGTCTCGTCCTCAGGTCAGCATCGACCGTCTCACGCCCCGCCGTGCGACGGTCGAACCGCGCGAAACAATGAACTGCAAATCCTGTCGCAAGCGAAAGGTTTGTACAGTCAGTCAGGGTGCGATTGGATGTGTCTAACTCGTCATAGATCAAATGTAATCGCTTGCGACCGAGCTGCGAGGCATGTAAGGTCTTCCAGTGCCCATGTCTTTATGGTAAGTCAATTATATCCCCTCCAAATCATATGATTCCACTACTGATTTTGTTATGTTCAAGATGCCGTCCCCAAAAAAAGGGGCCCAAAGACCGATGTGCTAGAAGCTCTCCTCAAGCGGGTAGATGGGTTGGAGAAACGACTCCACGACGAAAAGAACCCTATTTCGCCCACTTCTCCTGATACCCCGGACGATCCGCCGAGCTTTCCTACCCGTCGCAATACGATCGACACTTCCTTCAGTATTTACTCTCCAAGCGATAGATCGACTCTGTCAACTTCTCTCTCGCAACATGTGGATCGCTTCCCTAGGCCGACCGGCCACCAAGCGAGTCTTCTGCAACAGCCCTCTCCGACAAACAATGGACCGCTATCGGATGCGATCCTTGATATTTACTTTGAGCGATTGCACGGTAAGCCATTTTATATACTAGACGAGCCGACAACGCGACAGCGCCATCAACTGAACCAATTGCCTCCGTGTTTGGCCATGGCTATCTCAGCAATGGCAGTAAGGTAAAATCGCCAAGCTTCCAAGCACTGTCAGATGCTTTACGTGTTTGACTGACGAATCTCAGATACACAACCTCGCCTGGTCAAGTAGAACAGTCACTACGTACCGGGCTGGATGCGGCGCTACAGGCAAGACGCATGATTGAAGTCGACAATCCTACACTAGACGGACTGCAGACTCTATTGTTACTTTCACAAGCTTTCTACGCCTATGGTTTGGGAAAGAAAGCTTATATGACATTCTGTAAGCTTGGCCTGAATCCTAAATGGTTGAATGAACTCCACTAATGATGATCAGCAAATTGCGTGGCCATGATCGTCGCTCTGGATTTGTACCGCGAGGCTCCCTCTAAGCCTAATCTCGCGCCTGCCGAGCGAGAAACGAGGCGTCGGCTATTCTGGTCGGTTTACTTGATGGACAGATTCATTAACTGTGGATCCCGACGTCCCTGTCTGATCACCGATCATTCGGTTTTTCTGCGCCTCCCGTCTTGGTCACCACATGCAGCCGGTCTGAACATGGAGGGAGAGCTCTTCCATGTCGGCCCGAACATTCAATATTCCGCTGATTCCCGGCGCAAATCACCAAGTGCTGCCTCTTTACTGATTGATATCACGCGTATTCTTGGTGTTACTAATAAGTATTTGGCGGCTGGCGGAGTCAAAGGCGACTCCCACTTCCCATGGCATGCGCTTTCTAATCTATCTAAGATCCGACAAGAATTAGATATCTGGGCGGCCGGTACGCAGGACGTCTTTGCGTCTATCGATGCATTATTCGGTCATCCTGAGAGTACAACACTTTTGCTGAGCAAGTTGATTTACCATTTGGTGCATTGTTTGATCTACCGCCCGTTCCTACCTATTGACTTGGTAGAGCTCCGAGGTACGGGGCAGCATCAGTCCTGGCAAATTGAGGCCACGAACTTGTGCTTCTCGCACTCAAATGCCATAGCAGAGCTAGTTGAACTGGGTCGTAACTCCCCGTTGATTGAGTGGCCTGCTTTCGTCGGCTACTGTGTGTGCACAGCGGGGACTGTGCATGTTCACGGTGTGCACTACAAGGGCCGCGAAGGAGAGGTTTTCTCCTCCAGTGCTGAATTCTTGACTCGGGAGATGAACCAGCTTGCTTGGTTGCGCAATATTTGGACTGGCGTGCAGCATCAACGTGAGCTGCTCCAGACTATCTATACGTGCCACTCCGAATTGGTCCGCAATCTTGCCAGTAGCCCAATGCGTTTTTCGCCAGTCTTCCACCTCGAAGACTTTCTCGACCGATATCCTGGTCTGACGTTGGATGGATCACACGTGCGGCTTATAGATGCGGGGGATGATCTGGCTCCAAGGTAGGCCGCCTGCTGATTCCATTTCTTTGCATACGTACTATATGATCATTAACTCTGGATACAGTACTGTAAACTTCATAGATCGTCAAGATCACTACTACCAACGACCAATCGCCGCACCCTCGTATCAAAATCATTCCTCTTACTTCTCAACTACAGGGCCTGGGCCCTCGAGTCCATTAGCATCAACCCAGGGCTCAGACATCGATCGTCGCCACTCCCACTCCCATCCCCATTCCCATTCTTTGTCCCAGAAACACTCTCACCCAGCCTCACTCTCGCCCGCCCTTCAATTCCATGCGATTCAGAGCAATCAACACCAACAATCACCATCCCTGCCCTCCCTCTTCTCTCTCCCAACCGGAACAAACCTATCCGGTGCCGGCACATCAGAAAACACTCATCTCTCCATCCCGGGATTTTCCCCCTCGGCCTTCGGCCTCTCCCCGCCAGCCTTTCTCACCGACGCCGCTCTGAACATAGCACCAACACCGCCCCCAAACCCGCAATACGCAACCTTCCCCTTCGACACCACTCATGCAAATCTAAACGGAATGGCGCAATCAGGCCCCACCGCCCTGACGCCAGGTGCCCAGTCCCAAACTAGCGCCACCCACACCACAGCCGGCAGCGAAGGCGTGTCTGAAAAAGACCCTTTTCTGAGCTTGCTGGAACAGCTCGCGGAAAATGAGAACTCGCAGGGCGGGCCTAGTGAGCTTGAGTTCTTTTTGACGGGTACGGGTGCTGTCGAGGGTGATACCGATATTCCTCTTGAGAAAGATGGTGTTTCGTAGGTGGAAAATTGGTGTTGGGGATGATCATTCCCCCGTATATATTCTCGTTCTGTGTATATCCTTCGCGGTATAGCTTGTTCTTTTCTTTTGTAGGCCGTGGCCGAATTGACTGATACCCATTGTGCTCATTGTATCTACCTACCTAATATGTGAAAGTGTGAAAGTTGAGTGTCTCTAGTTATACCTAGAATATAGTATATATAAGGTGCCCTCTATAAGAGGATATAATATCTCCTTTAAAGGCGCTTTTCTAAGGTTGATCACCGCAAGAAACGGACGCCTTTCCACCCGTAATTTCAGTTCTCGAGCCACCGCTTGACTACCACTCTGTACCACCACTACCTAAAAGTAGTCCGAAGAAAACGTTCAAGAAAAAAGCAAAAAGAAGACGAGTTTTTTTTATATGAAGTTTTGATTGGCTGATGGAGTCAGTTCTAGAGGGTATTAGGGCCGGTGACCACGCTTTTTCCCAGAACTGCATCATATGTAGTCACCAGTTGACACCTCCATTCTTCCATTCTTTTCCCCAGTCCAGTCGATATATACAAAACAAATTATATTGATCTCTCCTCCTGCTTTCTTCTTCTCTCAGATCTTCCCGCGTCCTCCTCAGGATTAGACATTGTTAAGCGTGTTTCCAGCATTGGTTGGGACGCTTGCCTGGGCCTCCGAAGCTGCACTGGCAGTTGCAACAGTGAGACCGGCGAAGTTCGACAAGAACTTAGTATCGGCATTCGTAAACGGAGCCCCAGAGTCTACTTGAATATTCGTCACGCAGTCCCTCTTAAAGTAACCGGAGCATGCTTTGTTTGCAGTAGCACTCGGCGAGCTAAAGAGTTGACCGACGAAATCCCCGACAATTTGGCTGACATTGTTGAAGACACAGCCTTCGAAGAGACCTTGGCCATCGTCGGTGCCCTCAATGCCGTGGCCGTTGTTATTCTCCCACACGCTATTGACGGCATGGAAGAGCGTCTTGCCGCTCAGTGCAGGGCTGCGGCCGGACGTGCCGTACACGTAGTTGTCTAGCGGACAAATATTAGTCTTCTCATTTTTTATATAGTGATATCAAGGAAGGATGACTTGAAACACCTACTTGCAAACGTGATCTGGTCATCGGCCCCGACAAGCTCCAATCCCCAGTATTGTTGTCCGTCACACGAAGTAGAGAAGTTGGTTGCGCCATTCATAAAGCTGTTGGAGATAGTGACATGAGAGTTCGCTTCTTGACCAAAGACATAGTGTACACGGCCAGTGTATTGAGTCTAGTCGCAATCCAGTTAGAAGTCAGTAAAGGGATTGTTATAGAGAGCTTGGACTAACCGTAACATGGTCAATCCAGACCTTTGAAGTGCTAGAGAGTGTGATGGCATCACCACCCCAGACAAGCTTCGGATTGAGGTTGGTGATCATGATGTTCTGTATAATGATGTTGGAGGCGTCGACGATTCTCAGTCCTTTGCCGAGGAGTACGCCCTTGTTTCCGACTCCGATGATCGTCTTGTCCGAGTGCACACGGATTCCCTGGGTTCCAGCAGTATCCCATTCATACTGCTCAGATGGTTTACCATCGCATCCTTTTCCGATATCTATCGTGGACTGGCAACCATCTTCAAAGGCGCCATATGACTTGCAGATGGTTCCCTTCGTTGTCCCTTCCGTTCCGATGAAATCGTATGTCCTGTCGATAACGATAACCTGAGGATCATCAGAACCCAGAAGCTCGATTAGATGCTTGACATCGGTGGGATGAACTGGCGTCGCCTTTCCACCTCCCGTGACTCCGTATGCAAACCCTGGAGCAGTGCCAGTAACTGAGATCGTATCGGCTCTCTTGGCTGGAGTTTGTGCAACTGCCACAGCCGTGAATAATAGAGCAAGGCTGAATTTCATGTTGATTTCAGAAGCCTGAAGGTGCGGCAATGACTGAGAGTATGGCAACAATGGTTCACTTAGGGGAAATAATTCAAGTTTACAAGGGCCAATGGCATTTCTTATGCCTTGGTCTTGCCAAGATCGCTGTTGCCTTTTGTCGGGACATTGTCGAAGTTGTCTCACATGTCGTGATGAAAATATTTATATGAAACCCATCCTTCTATCATTTTTAAGTGGGTTTAACATGTCGTTGACATGTGTACGGAGTAGTCTACCTATGGATCTTCCGGCCACACTCCGATAATCTGGCTCACTATGACATCTAGTAATCCGTAGGATGTAATGCCATTCGTCTTGTCGTAAATTTAGGCTATTCTGAGCGCACGAACACATCCTCATGTGCATATACTTCATCAATGTTGCTCCACATGGACTGGGGAAATTTCGGAAAATTGTCACAATTGTCGTCAGTGATCTACAGGGGAAAGAGACGATCTATACTCGATATCTGCTAAGACGGTCAGGCTAGCGCCCTAATCTGAGACAAAGACAATCGACTTCCAAGGTTAGGTTCTTCCGTACTGTAACGGGTAAAATCTTAGTGGAGCAAAGAAGGAAAGAGAGCGACCGATACACGTTTATTCCTGAGCAGGGGCACACGCACTGCGGGACCCTTAGCCTCCCATGTTGGCCCCTTATTTCTAGAGTGGCTTGGGGGGCCTCACTGTCTTTCTTTTAACACCTTGATCGACCTAGGGCCATCTATTTCTGTACCCCTTTAAGCTGAAGTCCTTCTATCTTTCGAATCATCAAAATGTTTTGGCGTTAACATCAGTGCCAAGCAATCTGGAAGGATGGTGTCCACCGGCTCCTATGAGTTTCTAGGAACCAGGTAGGTGATATCTATCATACTCATTCATCATAAGCTCGTCAGTTTTTTGCGACCCCGGGCATAAATTTGTCTATTCGTCCTTATACAATGATGAGACCAGGGACCTGGCAGCCCTCTTCGACGGTCCTTTTAACCTCCTTCGTCCGGTCGATGCTGTCACAGTAAATTCTCAAGTCATCCGGAATGGATGTCAATGACAAAAAACGGAATTTCATGGGCCGGTCGATTGGCTCGGCAGTCAGCGTTCCTTCAGCCTGGTTGAAGTGGACAACGGATTTCCGTTGCAAGTTGCCTGCCATCGAATTGGGCGTGTAGTCTCCAACATCTTCTGAAACAATGGCTTTAGCACCATTGCCGATTAAAACAAGAAACTCGGACGCGTCCACATCGAAGCAACCGTTTCCGGGAGCCGGGCCAGCATCTATAGGAATGATGATTCCTTCACGGATTAGAATAGGGTAGTCGTCCAGTCTCCGGTAAAATTTGATCTCGTGATCTGCGTTATATAGATTGGGAAACGCGTACGCCTGGTTAGAGTCAGGATACTCTCAGTACATCGGTTACACTAAATGCTCATCTTCGACAGAACCGACGATGTTGTATGTATATAGGAATGGCACTAATCGATATCGCACTCTATGAAGCTAGATATTACCTTCTCGTACTCCAAGTGATATATCTATAGCTCTTTATAATTCCACTTCTAATCATACGAATGTAGAGAGAAAATGGGCGAAAATACGCTGAGCTGGACCTAACGAGTAACGGGTTCTTATGAGAGAAGTTGTGCTTTTATTCTAGTAGCCATTGCATACAGAACTGCATGATAATGAAGACTCTGCACTCTAAATCCAACGTGTTTCAGAATGCCATACATGGATCTTTAAAGATCATTGAATTTCATTGATCGGCATCTATACTTTCCACTCGGAGTTACCCCGGTCTCGGCGGAGCTCCGCCCGAGACACCCCGCGTTGAACAGATTCGTCACTCCTCTCTTTTCACATAAGAACCTTGAATCCCCCTCTTAATGTCACCCAACCAACGCCTCAAGACTCTAACAAATCACCTCCAATCTACCCCCAAAATGAAACTCCTCTACCCAACCTCCCTCCACATCGACACAAAGTCCCTAGAAGGCTTCTCGGTCGAATTGCACCCCTACAATGTCACACTCCCAATCCCCGAATCCCTAATCGACGCCGAGTTCCTTGTAACATGGAGCAACAAAGCCACGAACCTCCGCGATGCAGCCTCCCGCATGAAGAACCTCCGTTGGATCCAGTCTCTAGCAGCCGGTCCAAACGACGTCCTCGCTGCCGGCTTTGATGCCTCCCGTATCGCTATCACAACGGGCTCCGGCCTGCACGACGAAACAGTCGCTGAACATACCCTTGGCCTGCTACTGAACGCTGCCCGTCGATTCTATGAAATGCGTGATTTCCAGTCCCGCGGTGAGTGGCCCGCTCATCTGGGCGGCGCCCAGCCTGATCGCGCCCCTGGCACATTCCGTACTCTCAAGGGTGCCAATGTTACTATCTGGGGATTCGGTAATATTGCCAAGACCCTTGCGCCCGTGCTAACCGCGCTCGGGGCTAATGTTACCGGTGTTGCGCGGAGTTCCGGTGTGCGGCATGGGTTTGAGGTGGTTGCGGAGGATCGCTTGCAAGAGATCCTCCCCAAGACTGATGCACTTGTTATGATTCTGCCTGGGTCGGCGAGTACCAATGGTGCGCTTAGTGCTGAGCGCTTGGCGTTGCTGCCGAGTCACGCTTGGGTTGTTAATGTTGGGCGGGGAACTTCTGTTGATGAGGATGCCCTGCTTGAGGCGCTTGAGAAGGGCAGCATTGGTGGCGCGGCATTGGATGTTTTCTCGGTTGAGCCGCTGCCGAAGGAGTCCAAGCTTTACGCCGCGCCTAATCTTATCCTCTCGCCTCATGCTGCTGGTGGACGCCCGCGTGAGGCTGAGGCGCTTATTGCGTATAACCTCAGACGGCTTCTTGCTGGGCAGGAGCTGAAGAATATTATTTGAGCTTGATATGGAGGTGGCTGTGGATGTTTCTTGTTTGATAGATTTTATGAGTACATATACATATGCATAGATGAAGTGAAGGCTAGATGCCATGTTTTCGCTGTATATATCTTGCGTTGGCATCTTACTACAAGTATTACTACATAGTAGCAGGTTAAGAGTATTTCTAAAACATGTTGACTTGATTTACCGCTGGAGAATTAGCGGCAATATCTTCTTCATCCTTAGATTGACCAAGAATTGTTTTGTATATTGATAATCCTGCATTCAGATCATTCTCCCCTTCACACTCATCTATGTCATCTATATACCTTGAGTGTATTGAAAAGAATACAAAATCCGAGGAAAGAAATAAAACACCAGGGAAGCTTCCTTATATCCCCCATCCTCCACCCGGGCTCCTTACGACAAAGCCTGAACACAAATAAAAGAATTTGTAAGATCTATCTAGAGTTATGAAGTCATGTAGGCCAAATTTAAAATAATCAATCAAAACCTAGTTCGAAGGTATTGGATCTACACAAATTCACCCAGTTGCTGGGACCAGACTGAACCCCGAACACCAGACAACCGAAGACATCGCTGATCATCTGCTTACCTGCAAAGTTGCGATCTGTGATACTTGCAATAGCCAATCTTCATTCCATCTTCATGTGACAACCTAGTAGTAAGTACCCAAGCTCGACAGAAGCTTATCTATTGCAAGTATTACAAATAGCAACTTTGCAGGTAAGAAGATGATCAGCAAGGTTTCGGTTGTCTGGTATTCAGAATTTTAGCTCATCGATGGTAATAATGGGGTCGGAGTATTGATTTCCCACCATAACACGGCGGCACAGTCAGTGAATCTACATATAGCACTCTCCCCGGTGTGCTTCTTGTGCGTCTTCAACTGCAATAGGCGTGGCATACGGCCAAGATACCCGAGTCACTTAGTATTTGTTAGTTGTCAACCGTGGGAGATCGATATGTTGGGACATACCTCTTCGGAAAGATGCCCGCGCACTCATGTTCTGGGTTGGAACCGATTGTGTTCATAAATAGGTAGATTCCATCACAAGGAAGAATATAGAAAGAAATTCTCCCCACTAAACGCGTTACACGTCAATCCGAGATGCACAAGAGCCTCAATGACCATCTCATGAAGTGCACCGGTCTGCCTAGAAAACACACAGTTCAAACCAGGAACTACTTCTTGTAATAGTTGTGGAAATGACTTTCATGGTGGGGACCTTTCCAAAGCTCAGTTGCTTGGTTATAAAGGCATATTGTAATCCTCGCAACTGTCCACAACCGAGATGAGAGGTGGTTCCCGGTTTGAACCGCGTATTTTCTAGGCAGACCGGTGCACTTCATGAGATGGTCATTGAGGCTCTTGTGCATCTCGGATCCACAGTGGTGACATTCGGCACGTTTAGTCGAGACCATTCCTTTTAAAACAATAGATGAGGGTCATTGCATCTCGATGTCCACTCTGAGGATGCCAAGCGCCTGCATGGGCGATTACTGAGAGCCGACGTTGTAGAAGGGCAAGGGAGGTTGAAAGATGGCTGCTATTGCGGTGAATTGGTGAGGGTGCTGTCCTTTCTCATCGATATTCATGGCTCGCATTTGGCCATGACGGCTGACAAAGAGGGACAGGGGGAAAGGGGGTTATATATATATGTATGACTCCCTATGACTGGGTACCTCTTATTGCGACAAGAAGGCACAATTGGATACTAGCACAATATTTTCTGGTGTATAATGGCCAAGAAACAGAGAAGGAGTACAAGGGACGAAGGATGAAGGAGGATAGAGAAGTGTATCTGGAGGAAGAGGGATTCCATGATATAAATAGGCGATTGGAAACCAACATGCCGCTCTTAGACCGCCAACGGGTTCTTACATCAATGAAAGAGAGAACCTGGAAGAAGACTTAGAGGTGGCACAAATCACAGCAGAATTTCAGGGAATCATTTAGAATACACCAAAACTGAGAGCCAAAAGGGAAGTTTGATCAAAATCAATTTGATGTAAACAAAGAGGCAAGACTATTTACTATTTACTATGTACAGCAAAGCACACTGAAAGATCCCCCATTTATAAACACCGTACCATAAATCAATGCCATCGCTCTGTCACCCCTCACATCCGGGATTTACTTGGGGCGCAGCAAGAAGAAGGGAATGCATTCTTCGACTGGGTATCGACACAAATAGCCGAAGGCGGCACCCAGAGACCAGGATTCTTCTCAAAGAAGTTCGACGCACGCAGCATAATGCTAACCGGCTCAGCAGGCATGATAGGGAAATCCTCAGTACGCGGGAAATGCGTCAGACCGAACTGCAGGTAGCAGACGATATCGGTGTTCTCAATGTTCTCATCGCGCTGCGCCCAGTCGGCGATGGTCGAGTTGTAAGGGTGTCCCTCAGAGCCGTCAGACTGGCAGACGTAGTCACCGGCGGGGAACAGCTCGTAGTCCTTGTAAGGAGTGACCCAGAGGGGCTTGCGGGCGAAAGCGGCGCGCTTCCAGACGGTGCTTCCGGGCTTGGCGAGCATAGGGGGGCAGTTGTTGTTGAGGATTTTGTAGGCGACGGGCTTTTTGGCGACGGCGTTCATGCGGTTTGGGTTGATGATGTCCCAGGACCGGTTGGTCTCGTAGCAGTAGTCTGCGGCGCCCTCGAGGGATGTGCGGAGGGGGGTCTTCTTGCTATAGAAGCCGTTGCCGTAGGGGTTCTCTGGGGAGCCGACGGCGGCTTCGGCGGAGACGGCGTCGTTTTGCACGACGGAGTTGTTTTGGCCGTCAATTTCCGGGTCGATGCGGAGGGAGAATATGTGCTGGTGGTTGTGGGCCGTAATGGAGGGGGCAACTTCTGTGCCAAAGGGAGCAGCGGTTTCGGTTGGGTGCATGCAGTAGGTGTTCAGCATACCGGTAAGCTTCACCTCCAGCTTGTAGGTGCCATCTAGGTTGAAGGTGTGGTAGAAGCCGTATTCGTAGTTGGCAGCGGTGATGATTTGGGAGATGATGAGCTTGCGGTCGCGGGCGGAGATCACTGTGCCGTCACGGTAGTCGGTGTGCTTGTAGAGGAGGCCGTTGTCTTCCTCGTGAATGCAGATAGCGTTCTTGATTACGGCAGCCTCACCCTTGGAAGTAGACATGACACCATCCATGTAGTGGATGGCACCCTTGCAATCACAACCAAGCTTCAGAGAGTTGGTCATCAGACCAGTGCCGTACTCGCCGACATCGAAGGCATGCTTCTTGTGGTGGGGCTTCTCGGGGCAGCCATAGGGAACAACCATCTCAACGACGGATATACGGTTGAAGAGAGTCCGCTCGCGGTCCTCGTACATGTCGTGGGTGCGCACGTCGGAAAGGACAATACCTTCACGGTAGTTGAAGCCAATGTGCATCTTGAAGTTGGCCCATGTCAGCTCATTACCGCGGACCTTGAAAGAGACACCCTCAGGCTGGGTGATATCGATGGGTTTGAGGCGATCGTGTTTGTACTTGTCGCCGATGAATTCGGGGAGGTAGTTGTGTTCCTCGAGAGGGGCAGCGGTCCGCTCGCCGTTCACATAACGAATGTCAACGCTGAGAACCTCTTCCGTGTCGGTGTCGGCGACAACACTGAAATCTAGAGGGTGGGCGTATTGGTTATCGAACTCGGAGTTGCGGTAGTAAGCCAGACCCTGCTGAAGGCGGTTGTCGTATCCCCAGCGCTCGTCGATACCGATAGCCCAGGCGTCAAAGAAGACTTTGTTCATGTCGGTGATTCCGATCTCCTTGCAGGCACGGATGACGCGGGCATCCTTGCGGGCAACACGCTCCATCACATCAAGATCCTCTAGGGTGAGGGTAGGCATGACATCGTGAACGTCCTTCCATTCCTCAACCTTGCCGGTGGCGAGATTTGCCACCACCTCTGCGATCTTGTTGGTTTCGCGCACAATGACAATGGCGAAAGCGCGACGGGCAGGAGCTGCGACGGCGCCAGCACGGAATGCCCGGTATTCCGCTTTGCGGGGTTCACGGAGTGTGAGGCAGTTGAACTTGATAGACTTGGGGTTGGCGTAATCCCGGATGATCTTTGCCGCCTCGGGAATTTCCTTGATAGAAAGTTGATCTAGGGTTCAAAGTTAGCAGTGCTCTCGGAGTTTATATAGAGGCATGTCGTACCTAACGGGTGTGGGGTGCCTTGCGGCAGCATGGCAGCGGCGGCAACACTTTCATAATCCCCCTCACGGAAGATCGTGTAGCCAGGAATTGACTCGGTATCAGGGGCAGACGCCATGACGAAGGTGTGGAAGGGGTATCAAGGGGAAAGAGAGGGTTGTAGAGTTGTAGAAAACCAGAATCTTTATCGAAAAGCTGCGATAGACCTTATATAGCCAATGGACCTTTAATATCTGGTCAAATTTTCCCGCATGTACCTTCCTAATCGGGCAATCGAGATCTATATCTACAATATAAGCAACTCGGATAAAGTGAGCGAATGGTCCCGAGAGTGGGTTCTCTCGCCGTTGCTCAATTTGGGATAAAGTCTGGAGAAAATTGTCTTTGCGAAGCATTTGTCCGAGACCTCGATTCTATGCCATAATATCTTTTGCGTAAAGCGTTTGCCATCGAAATCATTCAGCCAATCGCATTGCAGCGGCTCGGAGAGATGTTTTGGCCACAGTCATTTGCTAGTGGTCGGCCTAATAAGGCAAGTCTTGTAGGAAAGACCGTGCATCGGCGCTAGGCAAGACCTACCCCATATCGACAATATCTGATCTGATAGACAAATTAGGGGAAGAATGCGGCTGGGGAGGGTTGGCGATGCCAAGGCGTTAAATCAAGCTTATTTTCACGTGGACGTGACGTAAGCCTCCACAGCCCTGGAGCCCTGGCCTGGGCAGACCGTAGAGGCAGTTTTATCCCATATAGACCTTTCAAATTTACTACGTAGCAAAAAGGATAGATATTCGAATTCCTATGGAAAAAGAGGAATTTACCTCAGATACCATTAACCTAAAGGACGTGACAGTCGGTGGGTGGACTTGCCTATTTTGGGTTAGCGGCTTGGCTTATCAGTGATTTGGGCCTGTCTCAAGATAATTCACGTCAATAATCCACCCGTGGACGTGAATCCACATCAACCACCCCACCCCGTTTAGAACCTCAAAAACCTGGAGGTCGATCCCCCTCGTGTGGAGTCGATACCTGGACCATGATGCATCCGATAAGCTCCCTAGAATGGCATGTCCAGCCGAAGCACTTATCGCAATTTCCATAGCTGAGCTTGGGTTTAAGAACTTGTTACAATGTCATCTCATCTAGCTTCACTATCTTCTCCTACCAGAAGATACTCATATTAAAAAGAACATACATCATGGCCGACTTGTCTGTTCAACTCACAGCCCCTAACGGCCACACTTGGACCCAGCCCACCGGCTTGTTCATCAACAACCAATGGGTCAAGTGTTCAACTGGCGAGAAGATTGCCAGCATCAATCCCACGTAAGTGGAAAATTGAACATAGGCTTCTTCCATGTCTTAATGTCATAACTGACTGGTGGTCAACTAGAACCGCAAAGGAAATCACATCAATCCACGCTGCTTCCACTGAAGATGTCGATAAGGCCGTCAAGGCAGCTCGCGCTGCTCTGAATAACCCCTGTTGGCGCGATCTACCCGGCCTTGACCGCGGCAAGCTGATGAACCGCCTGGCCGAGCTCATCGAGGACAACCGCGCCACGCTCGCCACTATCGAGACAATTGACAACGGAAAGCCGTATTCCGTTTCCTTCAATGACGACCTGACCGAGACTGCTGAGACAATCCGTTACTATGGAGGATACGCCGACAAGATCTTTGGACAGGTCATCGATACAACCCCGGATAAGTTCGCTTACACCATGCGGGAGCCCGTTGGTGTCTGTGGCCAAATTATCCCGTAAGTTCCGGTAACCTGTCATCAAAAATCGTTGAAGCCAATTGCTAACCGTGGAATTAAAGATGGAACTTCCCCCTCGCTATGGCCGCTTGGAAGTTGGGGCCCGCCCTGGCCTGCGGAAACACAATTGTTCTCAAGCCAGCGGAGCAAACCCCTCTCTCCATCCTCTTCCTTGCCAACCTGATCGTGGAAGCAGGCTTCCCTCCCGGAGTGGTGAACATCGTTAACGGGCACGGCGCCGTCGCCGGAGCCGCGCTCGCCTCACACATGGACGTGGACAAGATCGCCTTCACAGGTAGCACGGCGACAGCCAAGCAAATTATGAAGATGGCCAGCGTGAACTTGAAGAACATTACCCTAGAGACGGGTGGTAAGAGCCCGCTGATTGTGTTCAACGACGCAGATCTCGAGCAGGCCGTTGAATGGGCCCATATCGGTATCATGTACAACCAGGGTCAGATCTGCACAGCCACATCCCGCATTCTGGTACAGGACGAGATCTACGACCGTTTCTTAGAGGCATTCAAGGCTCAGGTGAAGAATGTCTCTAAGGTCGGTGATCCATTTGAGGAGTCGACCTTCCAGGGCCCGCAGGTGACGCAGGCTCAGTATGACCGCATTCTGTCTTACATTGATGTCGGTAAATCTGAGAAGGCCACTCTTATTGCTGGTGGCAAGCCTTTCACTGGTGTTGGTGATGGTAAGGGCTTCTTCGTTGAGCCTACTGTTTTCACCGATGTCACGCCAAAGATGCGTATTTACCAAGAGGAAGTCTTTGGTCCATTCGTGGTGATTGCCCGATTCAGCGAGGAGAAGGATGCTATTGAGATGGCCAATGACTCGACTTATGGTCTTGGAAGTGCTCTATTCACGACGAACTTGACTCGCGCCCATCGCGTGGCTAAGAAGATCGAGGCCGGTATGGTCTGGATCAACTCTAGCAACGATAGCGATTGGCGCATTCCATTCGGTGGCGTAAAGCAATCTGGTATTGGTCGTGAGCTTGGAGAGGCTGGTCTTTCTGCTTACTCAAATATCAAGGCCATTCATGTGAACATGAAGTCTAAGCTTTGAGAACAGGACTTGAAGGGCTTTTGAATCTGCAGGAAGGACATATTATATTGTACATAGCAAAATTGAACATTTCACGTATGACAAAAATTACCAAGACAGCAGTCAAGGTGCGAGAGACGTGGTGTGGTGCCTTTTTTTCTGATCTTATATCACTTGATTCGCATGATATATTTCCTACTAAATGGCATGTTTACTGGCATTGACAAAGAATCTTCGGAGTACCATCTGAAGGATCATCTCAAATTCCTCGTCGTGGGAGAGGGATAGTATTAAGCTTTTCCGGACTCGGTGTTGGCATGTCCTTGTAGTGTCAGCTAAACGAAACGAAGGTTTCTCTTGAGGTGACCGACTTACTGCATATCAAATGTGAAAAGGGAGAAGGGCATACTTATTATTCTACCCCAAATGACTTCAACGATTCATCATCCACCAATCTAGCCCCTTTCCCATGTGTATCATCGTCTCGCCTGCAGATTCTGCAATCTCAACTAGAGCGCAACAGGGAGGAGTTAACTCCTGAATATCTGCAAACATTTTTGACTTGTCATCTGGACATCTGGTACATCTAATATCGGGTATTACTAGTAACGACCGCACAGTTTCACTATCAAGATTTCAAAAGTCTCGGGCTTTTTCGAGCTCGTCAGGTTGTCAGGTGAGTAATAAAATGTGGTGGGCTTCTACTAGTAGATTATAGTAATTACTCGTCGCATTTGGGACTAAATCTTCAAAACTCTCGAAGGTTGTCAGGTGGCTGACGATATTACATTCCTAGTAGTTACTAGTAGCTACTGGAGACACCGAAAACATTGAAGAGTCGAGGACGAAGATATTTGAACAAGTTTAGCTCTTGGTTAGGACAGCAGGTACCCCATCAAGGCGACCTCCTAGTAATTACTAGTAAAAATCAAAAAAGTGATTCACGGCAACTTGGCAGTTCAACTGTCAAAATATTTCGTGATTTTTGAGCTTGCGGGGTCGTAGGGCGATTGATACAAACCGTTAATACTAACTAGTAAAGCCTATAGCAACCATGTCTATATACATCCCATTAATACCCCAGAAGTCCCATCCATGGATAGTTTGCTTTTCAATCCGAGTTCACCAGGCAAACCGCAACAATTGCAATGTCGGATGATGATTTTGATCAAGTTCATCCAAAGAAAGCTCTCATCAGTCTTCCTTTTTTGGCTCAGGCAGCGGGTCATTCGCAACCGCATGGGCCTGGATAACATGAGGAATCGACTCCTCGGTGTTGAGATAGGTGCGACTGCCTTGGACGAACCAGAACGACACAGCAATAACAAGCATGACGCCAAACACACCAATTGCGTAATTCATATCACCACCCGAGGGGTTGGGCGCGCCAGGGAAGAAAAAGAAGACAGTTGTCACACAACAATACACAAGGGATACCCAGTTTACCGGTGCACCCAGTCTCCCAAGGTTGAACTGGCCACCAGGTGGGAGCTTGTCGCGGCCCATGAGCAGCAGAGTCATGATGGGCAGCCCGTATGAGATGGTCAGGGCGATGGTGCTGACGCTGAGGATCGCGTTCAGCACTGTCTGTGCGAATAGGAACAAAACTCCAACCAGCGCTATAATAGCTCCCTGGAACCAGAGTGCCCTGACGGGGGCTTTCCAGTAAGGACTCACTTCCGATAGGTAGGTGCTAAAGGGAAGTCCACCGTCGCGGGCAAATCCCCAGGTGAGGCGGGATGCCGTGGTTACGATGCTAATTCCCTGGCCTAGGCCGTTCGTAATGAACAACGCAATCAGCACTGCGCCTCCAGTCTGACCCACCGTTTCTTGGACAAGTTCCATAAACGGTAGGCCGCTAGGCGAGTCTACCACTGTATTCACTTTTTGAATACAGAAGAGGCACACCATCATCAAGATGAAACCGCTCACGGCGCCAGAGATCACGGCAAGGTAAATCACTTTCGGGGCGTTCTTGCGGGGTGCAGGAATCTCTTCCACCAAGTGAATGACGGCGTCAAAGGCAGTCAGCCCATACGCAGCCTGAACTAGACCAATAAACCAGACAACGCCATCGGGCCAGCCAGTTTGGTTAATCCACTTCCCAAATGCGAAAGAGGCAGGCTGGTAGGAGAGACCTTCTTTCGTGCCCACTGAAATAAGCAGGGCAAGGCAAAAAACAAAGAATAGTCCAAAGAACCAGATTCCGACAAAATTGTTCAGCCACGGCAGGAATTTCTCCTTCCGACAACCCATCACATTGATCAGTGTGAGGGCGAAGACGCACGCAATATAAACCACGAACTCAAGCCACCCCTTCGATGCACCACTCCAGGTTGGACTGAACATAACCTTCATACCGAGAAGGAAATTCGTCATAAATGCCACCTGGGAGGCGGCTAGTGTCCACCACCCAAAAACATTAATCCAAGCGCACATGTACGAGAGGAATCGGCCGAAGCGTGAGTCCCAGAGACTGTAGACCCAATACGCCTGTCCCATGGCAGTGGGCATGCTGCTACAGATCTCGCCTAGCGAGAGCGCGACACAGGTGTTGCAGAATGTAACAAGAGCCAGTCCCCACAGGATCGAGACAGGGCCGCCGTTGATCAGACCGTCAGAGAGATCCTGTGCGAAGGTCGACCATGTCCCCAGCACGCAGAATGCTAACGCTAGCATGCTCCAGATGTTGAACTTGCGGGCGAGGATTTGCTCGTGGCCGAATTGGGCGAGGTCGTTGGCATCTTGCGTGCTTTGGTCGGTTGGTTTGAGGGCTTCGTCGGTTTCCACGTCCATCGTGAGGGACGGGAGGGTTGAGAGTGAGAAGCAAGGAGGGTGTTTGGAGTATCTACTCTAGGGTCATTCCCAACAATGTAGTTGGCGCTGTCGTGAAAACGAAGCACTTGTCTCTGGGCGGTATATTGTATACTCCTTCTGAAGACAATATATCGGATCCAAGAATGGGGTCACTGGAGCAGTTGGAGGAACTGGATGTCCCGCATCCCCATTCACAAGACCCGGGGTTTTTGTGATTTTTTTCTGGGGAACCCCATGGGCGTCGGCCTCTGTGGCCATACAGAGGGGCACTTCCACTGAAGATTCACCGAGCATGACCCACACGATAGATGCAAAACCTGGAGGCATTTTACACGATTAGGCGACACATAGTGGAGGTCTGTGTAGATCTCCAGTTTTTTTCCCCTGTACCCCACATCCCACGAAGGCTGAAGATTCCCTCTCTGGAAGGTAGATGCGGGTTTGTTATGTGCAGTGCCGATGATATCAACGGTATTTGCAGATTTGCTGGATATCCGATTCGAGGGATTGCCGGGGAAGTTGCCTTGATGCCCGATTCCTTGACACACAGCTATCAGTTCCCCCCGAGGTCGGGGTTAGTCGGGTTAATGTGGCGGCCGCACCCCAGCAAGTGTTCAAGTACACAACGGTCGGAAAACCTTGATATTGACCCTTGCGATTGATAATTGACTTTTCGATGTGCGCGCCATCTTCACCTTCATGGCAAATCTGGATGCCATGAAATGTCAGAAAACTCGGCGGAGATGCTGAAGAAGACAAGCTTGTTTTCCTGCATGGACCTTCCAAAAACGGCAAGTTCACATTCAAATCCCATCGACTTTTAAACTGGACTTCCTTCGCACAGATCATGAGATATCTTTTGGCATCTTGAAAAAAACGCGAGGCAATTATTGTAATATATCCTTGCCAATAATCCGGAAAGCACTCCCTATAGGAGGTTAGAATGCATTATTTCGCTCACTGAGATCTTTGTTCGGCCAATCACAGTGCGAGGATGTGCATAGCAAGATGCTCGCACGAGTATATATGAGTGAATTGTAGTACTTCCTGGGGCTTTTTATCCTTGTTCTTGTTTGCATTCACAACAGTTTTCTCAGCAACATGCCTCCGACCGAGAAGCAAAAGGACATCTCCCACCGTCATCGCTCTTTCAAGGGATGCTGGACATGCAAGAAAAGGAGGATCCAGTGCGATGAAATGCGCCCAGCCTGCCAGAAATGCAGTGCTCGGGGTCTGACATGCGAGGGATACGAGATCCGATTGCGCTGGGGGGCTGGGATCGCGTCCAGGGGGAAATATTCAGGCGCCGAGAAGCCTGTGAAAGAATCTATACCCCCACGGTCGAAGCGGAGATGGGATATGCGAGACAAGGGAGACAGATCTTCTTTAGGGGACGGGGATGGTCAGCCTGTTTTGGTCTCGCAATCTCCGACGAAAGAAGGTATTTCCAGTGCGTTAAGGCCTTTTGTGGTTCCAAACTCACATATTCTTCTAGATCGAGAACCACAATTAGTTGCCGAGCGAGCAACAGTCAATATACTTAACTCATCTTGGGAACCGGGTTCTCCACGGAGCTCCGCTATCAACAAGCATTTTGAGATACCTGCATCCTTGGCGACTTTGGCTGCAACTGCTGTGTATGGTCGAAATCCAGATATATCGGGTCAATATGCCCAGAATGCGGGCCGACGGAGTATATTGGCTTGACTTGGGCATGTATTCTGGATTTTTGAACTTTAGCACCGTGAACCGCTTTGGTTAATATGAATTATATGATGTTCACCACGAACAAAGAGACCAATCTGTCTGTTCTACATACAAAAATGGTATTACCACATTAAATAACTATATCCTATTCATCCTCCCGAATCGTCTCACTACCTCCTTTCCGCCCCCTCTCTTCTAAATGATCAGTCATTTGGGAAACCTCAGATCGATGACCTGCTCGCTGGGTATCGAAACTATCAAACGATTCATAAAAATGAGACGACCGACCGCTCATCACGTTATCAATCGACAATGGCGACGCCAACGACAGCGAAGACGGGCGCCGGTTATGGCCTGTTGGATAGGAGTACTCCGAACCCGTCTCACTGGGAGTCTGTGGTGAGACAGGAGACTGGGAGCCTCGTCTCGGATGGGGGTTGGGCCCACGTTCAGGTTCGGGTTTGAGGGGCGCGTCGTGGGCGAAGTAGGCGGTATTGAATGACGTGGGAAGTTCAACGGGTGATGAATCTGAGTGGAGGTCAGGCTTAGTACTCCGCAGTATCTATTTCCTATCTGGGCTTGAATAAAGAAAGTCATCGACATACCATGCATCTCGTATACCGCATCTCCTCCCGATTCCACCGTGCCAGGGGTCGCAGGCGAGACGAGGGAATCTGGCACAGTTGAAGCTGGTGCTGTCGACGGCTGCGTTGCCGTGGTCTGCGTTGTCCGCACCGTCTCCGCCGTTTCCATACCCGTCGATGAAGATACTGGCCCAGGCCCAGGGGAGGCTGGGCCGCTCGCATACATCCATTCTGGAGGACGGTTCTTGGGTTCGGCTTCAGCTTCCGCGGACTCCCGTTGACGGTGACGGCGGCGATAGAAGAAGAGACCGGCAAGGAACGCAATAATGAGCAGACCCAAGACCGCGCCAATTACTCCGCCAGCCCAGCTGGGGAATCCGCTGCCCCCGCTGTGATCCGCGGAGGCACTGGTGCTGTCACCGCTGCTGGTGCTATTGTATGGCCAATACGTCTCGACGGTCCTGCCATACTTCTTGCCGAATATTCCCCCTAGAGAGCTGTTGGTCCATGATGATGGGGCGATGGTGGTTGCACCTCCATCGGAGCTAATGAGCTGTCAGCCATAATGATTTGCTTTCTGCACTGCTGGGTCTATACTCACTTGCCGCCTATCCATTTTGTCACGAGATCTGGCACTTTATATTTACTCCAATTTGTGGGATTATATCCATCCTCAAACCTCAGGGTGTTGAGATTGAAGTTGACAATGACACCATTCTCCAGGCAATGAGTTGAGTCGACATGCTGTCCGCCGACTGCCAGCATTTGATCGGGATATACTTTGATGCATTGGTGACCGCTACGACTGTGTGTGTTCGTACCGTTGTGTGCCTTGACCCACCTGAAGGAAGGAAGAGACAATATGTACACATCGTCTGATGGATTGGCGTTATATTTGAGACCATCGTACCCTCCATAGATGTAGATATTATGAGATGACCCATCGGCCGCACTCGCAAGCACGGAGCAGAACTCCGTCAGCTGTGGCGGTATATCACCCGTCGTGTTCTGGAGATACCAAGTTTTACTCTCGACATCGAAGACGGAGACAGTCTCCATGAAAGTCGGGCTAATCCTTTTGCTCTCGGCGGTTCGTGATGAGTTTGCTTTGCCATTTCGGAAAAACTGGATGGGTTCAATCACTCCGCCAATGGCCACCAAAACCCCAGACTCGGATACAGGTATCCAGACCAGTTCCGCGTTTGAACGAGCAGGAACATAGCTAGGAAGTGTGCTATTTGTCCACTTCCCGGCGCTTATAACTGACATGTCCAGGGTGATTAGCGTGTCGGCCGTTTGGTTGGATTGAAGCTGGTTTAAAGTGAAGTCGCCCCAGTCCGGCGCACGCATTCCACTGAAGTAAAAGCCTAGGTTCTCGCTTGGAGCCGACGCGGCAGCGCCATTCGTGATATATCGTGTGACATTGGTGGGGAGATATTCCTGTTTCCAGTTTGGCTCCCACGAGCTTCTATAGGCGCCATACTGGTGCGCGGCATACGACAAGACTTGATTAGCAGGCGGAGGATCAGAGCTCTCGGTATTGCGAAGCATGCCTCTGCAATAAGCAATCTCAGAGTCAGTGATTTATTAGAGGGAGAGACGAGGGACGCCAACCCATAGAGATATAGCTCGTTGTCATTGGCAAACATCGTGCCGTCAACGTAATTTGGAGCTATGCTAGCAGCACCGCCGGCGACGGACGTGTTGGTGAGGATATTCATAAAATCTGACTTGGTGTTGAAAGAAGTGGTGAGGTTCAGGTAGTAGATGGTGGCTTCCAAGTCTGCTGCTAGTTAGCTATGTACATATATCAACATCTATTTGGTCGCGCCTACTATTGTCCGCCTGGGGATCGACGCAACCGTCGTCATATCCTCTGCAATTGTTAGAGAAAATGGGTATTGACCATGGGGAACCTCATACTTCTGATACCATAGCTCCCCGCCATCGAGGTAGATTTTATCGCGCAGGATATTGGCTACCCATGTCAGTAAAAAAAGAACCTATCTAAAGAAGAATAAGGAGTACTTACCACGCAGGCCTTGCCAGCTGCACATGGAAACATTAACTTGAGTCGGAAATGTGCTACATACGGCCACTGCGCAGTCTATCACGGTCAGCAGCGTCAGCGCCGTCTCCAAAAGAAACTGCATTTTTCAATTGATGAAACGGCTGTTGAGCTCATCACTGAGTTATCACAATTTGCAGATAACAGGTCCCATGAGAGAAATTCTGATTTACTGCTGACATCTCGAATCCAAATGCAAAAAGCGAGGTGGCGGGGTCTCAGAACTTCGATGCGGCTTTGTTGATCTTCTTTGTTGTCACTGCCCCCCACCCTGAATACGAAGCAGCCAAGGAGAAACATGAATGAATAAATGACCTGTATTGCGGGCGCTCAGCTCGTGGCCCGACCGTACTGATCATTACCATGATCGTATTGCTGCATGGCTAGGATCATGCAGCTACAGGAAATACAACCGAATCAACTGAAGGGGCCCCATTGTGTGCTTTTGTTGGCCCCCAATTGCGTTCGATGCATAATTGAAAAGGCTCGGTATATTATATATTTCCTCGTAGTCTGCGTTTGCGATCGGGCTATGCCGCGTTGTCTGAACTGATGCCCATCGGGGGAGAATTTTGAGCCTCGAACTATTGGGCTTTCTTTCATTCACGAAGGGGACCGTGCGTATGTATTGGATATCTTCCCATTTCTTGGAGACATTTTCTTTGTTTAGCTTGTTTACCTTGCTGGCCTCCCCGGAATATTTTATACTACAGACAGGCAAAGATGAAGGACGCGGTCGCTTGGTTGTCGTTGTTGGCGATTGTTTTCAATTTGGTGACATCAAGTCACAGCAGTTTAGTCAACAGAGCGCCTGCGCTGTCGGCGGAACAAGAGGACGGATTGACTGCCACAGTAGGAGTTGGGGTTACACTTTGGCTCGGTGATGGCGAGTCTTGCACCGCTGAAACTATCACCGGAACTTCCACGCAGACTGGGAATATCTCTCCAGGCGCGACTACAATTACTATCACCGAGGCTACTACCAAGACTATTAGTGGTTGTCGAAATGGCCCTACCCTGAGTGCCAACGCCGATGTTGGCATTGGACCGGTGGCTGTTTATGCAAATCTCGCCATAGCGTTGCCCGGAAATGGATCTATAAAGACGGTCACGGATTATACAACCATTACCCGGACATCGTGCTCATGCACAGATGACTCGACTGTCACGCCGACAACCTCCAGCATGCCTGGGACGACCACCTCGAGCGAACCGGTGACAACCACCTCGAGCGTACCGGTAACAACAACCTCCAGCGTGCCTGGGACAACCACGTCCAGCGTATCGGTGACAACCACCTCGAGCGAACCGGTGACAACCACCTCGAGCGTACCGGTAACAACCACCTCCAGCGTGCCTAGGACAACCACGTCCAGCGTATCGGTGACAACCACCTCGAGCGTCCCGGTGACAACCACGTCCAGCGTACCGGTGACAACCACTTCGAGCGTACCGGTAACAACAACCTCCAGCGTGCCTGGGACAACAACCCCAACAACATCGACGACCATTAGTGATTCAACTACCACTCCCCCGGGAACTACGACTACAGCAACCACTACAGTGACAACCAGAACCACTTCCAGCTCTGTAGGTGTTACTACTATTCCAGAGTCGACAACATCAGCGATTACCACCGGTGGTTCAACTGTCACAATCCCAAACACCACTGTCACTGTACCGGGAACAACACTTCCAGGGACCACTGTCACGACAATTATTACTGAGCCTGCCACCACCTTTACTGTATCGGATGGTAGTAGCACTTTATCCGGGTCGACCCGTACCACAACTGTCACCGGTCCTCCAAATACAGTGACTGTCAGCGATTCAACAACCATTATCGACACTGTCACTATCCCAGGTACGTTGTCAGGCATGAAACATTGAGTATTATTGCAACAGCTAACACTATCAGATTCGCAAACAACCAAAACAGTCCCTCCATCTAGTACTGACGCCGTTACCGGGCCAGGTACCACATCGACCCAGATTTCTGGCAGCCCTACGACGGTATCTGTCTCTGTATGCTCCAGTCTTATTAGCAATCCATCGTACACACCCTCCGCCGTGTTGCCAGATGACTATACCTGGGGCTGCGCACCCGGGTATCTCTGTAAACCACGCCATACAGGTGACCGCTCGGAATGCAACGTTGAAGCAGGTCTTCCTGACCCCGGATACGTCTGCAGCCCCTCAGACTGCATTGTGGCTCCGCCTTTAGACGTTCATCCGTCTTGGCAGTACAATGTCTCGAATAATTATTACAACCTCAACCCGGAGGACTTTGGTCTCAATTACTCTATCTTCCAGTTCTCGGAAGACCCAGTTGCAGCCAACAGTAAGCGCGACATGTACTTATGGGACTTCGCTGTCGCCCAAAAGATCAAAAGGGTCGACATAACGAATATTCCTACTGTTTGTTACAATGATTGCAACGATGCTGCACATGAGCCGCAGATGCTTGGAAAGACACCTGAGCTTTGCAAGAGTGACTCGGCGTTCATGGAAAACCTGGATATTTGCGAGGAATGCATTACTAATAACGTTGAATCTGACTCTAATCAATATTCGTCCAGAATGTTGCCAACGTTTGCACAGTGGCTGAATTTCTGCTCCGATATGGTCACTTCCACAACAGGGGAAAGTGCCACTAGCACTAAAATGGAAACTACGGCGACGAGCACCCGAATCACCACTACTACCAGTACGGAAGCAACGACAGCAGTCACAATCACGAGTACTGAAGCGACGAGCACTGAGAATACGAGCACCGAGGCCACAAATACCGAGACAACGAGCACTCAGTCCTCCGAAGAAAGCACTGCTACCATTGGGACCGATGAATCATCCAGCCCAGTGGAGACAACTCATCCAGTCACTCTCATCACAACCTCAGTGACTGGTTCACTTGTGACAACTTCTTTCTCTGGATATGTTGTGACAATCTCAACGTCAGGATCCCTCATCACAAGCTCAGTACCTGGATCGATTGCGACAACATCAGTCTCTGGTTCGCTTATCACCACATCATTGCCCGGTTCAATCAAGACCTTGTCCAGCACTCTGGGCACAGGGGCTGGCGATTCTTCCGGTAGTGAATCGGGTCCGGGTCGCGGAAGTCAGACTGGTTCGGCAACTCCCTCTACCTCTTCTCCGGCCTTCAATGCGGCAAGATCTTTAAATATCCCGCATATTGGCTTAATAGGTCTATTATGGGCTGCCTTCGCGCCACTTCTTTAGAATGCTTTTTGTTTGCTGTATTTGGCTTTTTTTGTCAGATGTGTGTGACGTATTTAATTCATTTTGGTGATCGTGGATTTATTAGTCCATCTTAATAGGGATCATCTCAATGAAAAAAGAAGCGGCTTCTGTGCTTTCTCTGAGACATTGCACAGTGGTATAAATTCCAAACTGGCCTTCAGAAGAGTTTAGATCATTAGGTGGCCACGGTGTGGTTCCAGTGCAAGGCAAGGCAATTAGATTGTCCTGTGACTGGAATTTCTAATGCTCTTCTAGATGGACTTTTGGTGTATCTCCTCAAGTGTCCTCCAAATCCCCCATCCATCTTCTAGCAGAGCGAAAATAAGAGACATAAATCAAGAGCCCGTAATCCACTAGATGTTGGATGCCAGTTCCCTAGGGCATCAACCCTGTTGGTTGTGCCTTCCGATTCCAAACAGGCACCTGCCATTGCGTAGTGTTGGCACTTGCCAATTTTTCTTTCTATTCTTCTGCTCTCTGTCCATATGTACCTATGTAGGTAGGGACACTCGTCTTACCCATCAACCTTCAATAATACCATGATCCTCACAAGGGCAACGTGCAGCAACCATCTTGGTTAATCCCGCGAGAAGCCATTATCGAGAGGGAATTTTTTGCACCCTGTCGAAGATCGAAGATATCACCAAAAGGGTTACAAGACTTTGTCCACAAGCTCCAGCTTTTCACTCTTCCTGCTGGCTGGCAGAGGTTACCGCCAACTGCCTGCTTCATATCTTGAAAGCTACCAGCTACGGGAACATCCTGGAGCTAGTGTCATTGAAATTCGCTCCCTGATCATCCCAAATCTTGGGCCATATTTAACTGCTACACACAGCACCCGTCGACCTCTAGATTGCACCCTTGCTTATGGAATAGTTGCTGTCGGGAAGTGCATACGCGTCTACAAATACAAACGACGACATCGACCAGTATGTTCTCAACTGGGGCCCACACGGCTTGCTTGCAACGGAGTCAAATGTGGCATCTGAACCGCCTTCAATACGACTAAGCTGGCGAACAACCCACAATAATCAAGGGGCCATTCTTAAAGCCAACCTCGGCGCTACACGTGGATAATGCTAGTGTTGTTCAAGGTATCTTTGATCATATCCTTAGCAACCACTAAACATTTGTTTATATACCTACAGCATTAAGCTCCTTACTGTACCATATTCAAGTGCAGATAGTGTTGTCACTTGCCAATTTCTCTTTCCATTCTCATGCTCTCCGTCTTCCTGTGCAGGACAGGACACTTGTCCTACCAATCAATATTCAATGACAACGTGCTCCCCATAAGATCGACGTAGAGAAATCTTCTAAGTTAGTAACCGGCACAAAAATTCTCACGGACTCATTGTAGTATGTGAATAAAAGTGAGTCATATTGAGTCCCCCTGCGGGTGGGGGCCACATCCCCTAGGGCTTCGAAGCCTAACGATTGGCTGACCAATCTCCTCTCCCGCCCCGCCCCGGGGCATCAGGTCGCCAACTCCCCCTCATAAGTTCCCCTCATCAGATAGCCAGGTCCTAACACATCATCACCTATCCACGAAATGGCTCAGCACCGCCTGTCGGACATATTAGCTAGCGCCGCTGTGGATTTGGCCCCTTATGAAACTCTCTACAAGCATTTCCATACGCATCCCGAGCTCTCACTACAAGAGAAGGCCACCTCTGAAACTATCGCCTCCCATTTGTCCCAGCTCGGAGCCTATGAAATCCACACAAATATTGGAGGTTACGGGCTCGTAGGCATTCTCAAAAATGGCACTGGAAAGACAATTCTTCTTCGGGCCGACATGGACGCCCTTCCAGTCAAGGAACTCACCGGCCTCCCCTACGCGAGTTCGGTGACTATGGCTGATGCGGACGGCAATGAAAAACCAGTGATGCATGCTTGTGGCCATGATATGCACATTACATGTCTCCTCGCAGCAGCTGAAGCTCTGGCCCGTATACAAAATGCGTGGAGCGGGACTTTAATCGTCCTCTTCCAGCCGAATGAGGAGCGGGGCGGAGGCGCTCAGGCCATGGTTGACGATGGACTTTATTCGAAGATTCCCATGCCTGACTACGTCTTTGGTCAGCACGTCATGCGAATGCGAGCGGGAAGTGTTGGTTCCCGTCCTGGTACGATCATGGCTGCTGCCGATAGCTTGAAGATCACTCTCTACGGCCGCGGTGGTCATGGGTCACAGCCGCATCAGACGGTAGACCCCGTGCTCCTTGCTGCGCATGTTGTTGTTAGGCTTCAGGGCATTGTGAGTAGAGAAGTGGACGCGAATGACCTTGCTGTCTTGACGGTCGGGAGCCTGCAGGCAGGGCAGACAGAAAATATCATTGCGGACCGGGCGGAAATTGGAGTTGACTTTAGAACTGTCAAGTTAGAGACTCGGGAGAAAATAATTTCTGCTATCCGGCGCATCGTTGAGGCCGAGTGTGTTGCTAGTGGATCGCCGAAACCACCGTTGTTCACACCAACGAGGCGGTTCCCGCCCACCGACAACGATAAACATGTGGCCTCCCAACTGGCTGCATCTTTTGCAGACCATTTCGAAGACTTTGATGATGCTACTCCAAGGACCAATGTTAGTGAAGATTTCTCCACGTTAGGTACATCTCAGGGGCTTCCTTGCTCCTTTTGGTTCATTGGAGGAATTGACCCAGAGCTCTGGGATAAAGGCCAGAGAAACGAAATTTCCATGGAAGAGATCCCTGGGAATCACTCGGCTCTGTTTGCCCCAGTGATCCAGCCAACGCTGAAAACTGGGATGGATGCGTTGTGCATCGCAGCTTTGACATTCTTGAAAAAGTAGCCATCCGAAGTCCACTGTGACTCTCCTCGCCTCCCTCGGTGGGTTGAGAAGCTTTTAGCGCTGTATATAAATGAATTGCTTGCATATTTGAGGGGAACTCTCGATTCCATATTGCACAGTGAAAATTGTTGCACAGGCATGGCCTTTTTGGATAATGTGTATTTTATTTCTCCGCAATTCCGTTCTATGTATCTTCACGCTGCAAGTGGTGGAAGCTGAAAACTCCTTTATTTTTAATTTCTCATCCTTCACATGTCATTGTTCAAAGCCAGCCAAGAAAGACACCACAGCAGAGGCAAAAGCCTTAGAGTCATCTTGACTTCCCTTACTATCATCCCCAACCTGCTCCAAGAACAACGCCAACTTCGACTCCTTCCATCCCATGACCGGTGCAGATTCCAAGCACATCTTGGTCAAGCCAAAGACATCCATTTCATAATGACCCTGGACAGACAGCACTCTGCCGGGGTGGTAAAGTCCCTGAATAGGGCAGATTGGAGTACTTCCAATATTAATCCACGGCGCGGGCAGCGAAACCGGCGGCGAGTCAGTAAGTGTAACAGCAGTTCCCTTCTCAACCGCCATCACCCGATCACCATGGAACATCTGAATGCGCAAACGTCCCTCGGGAAGATCACCGAGTGCACCCGGGAACGACTTCACAAACGCCTTTTCCAATTGAACAGTATGAATTCCGACCTCACGACCGAGAGGGCATTGCTCAACCCAGACATCGCGGACCGGGTCCTCCACGTTGCGGACGAGAGCGTGCGAAATGAGTTGGTGGCCGAAACAGGTGCCGAGGATGCGGACTTCTGGGTATTGGTTGTAGACTGTTTTGACGAATTTTTCAAGCTCTTGCATCCATGGTGAGCGGTCCATTTCGTATACGCCAGGCGAACCGCCTGTGATCAAGACTGCGTCCACGGGGGCTTTCACGGGTATATGGTCCTCGCCTGCATGGCCGCGGAGCTTGTATAGGTCGGGAAAATGGCCACCTCGGATATCATATGGGGTGATCTTGACTTCGAGCTGCTCTTTCTCAGAGAACAAGGTCTGGTTCAGGCGTGATGCAGTCTCGCGGAGGATGGTTCGGAAGTGGGCACTGCAGAGCCCTCGAGCCTCATATAGTTTGCGGGCTGGGATATCGACGTCTAGGACGGCGATGTGGATGTGGTGAACCATTTTTTAATAAGAAAGGTGTGTTTAATTGATAGGATATTGGGATTATGGAGGATGAAAATGGCGAAGTGAAGATTTCAACCTTGGGTGTTCTGCTAAATAAGATAATTTCCCCATACTTACTCCGACGAAGGATTCGAAAACATTTAGGTAAGACATAGCTTTGTGGAATGCAGGAATTCATCTAATAAAAAGGATCTGAGGAAGAAAAGGCGGTCATTTACTCCAACAGACTCCAACCACCACGGAAGTATTAGGTAAAAGCCGACGTTGTTACTCGATGAGCTTATTTTTTCTTGATCCACACTGTCATACACCGAACACTATTTACATATTGTCTCCGATTACATATTTCTCCCGAAAATAAACCGGGTTTGATCTGTTCAACATTGTACACTCTCTGCATCGACATAGCATATGTTGTATGTACCGGATAATGTTTGGCAAATCTTGGCTTTCCCTAAGTCTCAGTTGAAACTCACAGATTTTCTAGGATCTGAGGTGTTTTGTTTCATTTTTAATGTCTTCCAAATGTATATTATATGGATGAAAAAAATGCCTAACCGAACCAGCTAGCTCCTCGCAAAACGGCCGCCTAAGAGGTTATTAAGGCTTAGCTTTCCGTTTTGGTGCTCACCTCCTTGCCGCTTTGTACTCCGTAAAACTGAGCACGCCTGTTAAATCTTACATAATTTGAAATCGCTCCCGAGGTCCCGAGGGGAATTGCTAAGGACACAACACCTTTTTACTAGGGACACAACAGATTGCTTACCTAACGAAGTATTATATAATCTGGCGAATTCCATCGATTGCTGCAGCAACAGTATGCATCTAGTTAACTATTTTATTAACTAGTTAGTTATGATATTTCCCTCTTATATCTATCAATCTTTTTGACTCCCTATTGGACTCACTATTTGATCAATTCATCACTTAATTTCCACTATGGCAACCCCATTTGATCAAGTATACGACTCCCGCGAAGGAATGCTTACAACTCTATGCAACTACGCAGTTTCTCAAGGCTACGCTATCACCACGATTAGTTCGAATACAGGAAGGAATATTACTCTTGGATGCGATCGTATTGGTCAGTATACCGATCGTATTAATGCACCGGAGGGGGCAAAGCGCCGGAAGACTAGTACTAAGCTAATCGGCTGCACTTTTCGCTTATACGCTAGTAAATCAAGTGCTAAAAATTCAGATGGAAAATGGCATATAAAAGTAAGGAATCCTGATCATAATCACGAGCTTGAAGATAATATGATTGCCCATCCAGCAGCGCGTACGATTAATCAAGAGCAGCGGAATACTATTTGGCACCTTCTTGAGCAAGGCACTCCTCCACGGCAGATTATAGGATTGATTAAAAATAGCGATCCTAGTGTTTTAATAACACCAAAAGATGTGTATAATCTATATATCCAATTCCGCAGAGAAAAGCTTCAAGATAAATCGCCGCTTCAATATCTCCAAGAGGAATTAGTATCTCACCAGTGGAAGTATGAATTTAAACAGGATAAGGAGGGTTATATTGAGTTTTTTATATTTGCTCACCTAGAATCAATTCAATACGCTAATCGATATAATAGGGTATTCGTTTTAGACTGCACATATAAGACGAATCGTTATGGAATGCCGTTACTTCATATTATTGGGGTTTCACCTTCAAATACGACGTTTAGTATTGCCTTTTGCTTTATGCAAAACGAGCAAGAAGAATCATATAAATGGGCATTAAAGACTTTCTTTTCTTGGCTTAATTCCCCTATACAACCTCCGGTTCTTTGTACTAATCGAGATCTTGCTCTATTAGGTGCACTTTCTAATGATTTTATAGATTACCCGCACTTACTTTGCTTATGGCATATTAATAAGAATATTGCCGCTAAATTGAAAGAATGCTTTACTACTAATAAAGCATGGGATGAATTTAACACCTATTGGCAGAGCCTTATTAATTCACTAACGGAGGTTGAATATGAAGCAAGACTATTAGATTTTACTAAGAAATATCAATTAGTATCCCCCTATGCCGTCCGATATATCAAAGAAACATGGCTAATCTATAAAGAAAAGGTAGTTCGCTATTGGACAAATCAGTACCTTCACTTAGGTAACTCGTCAACCTCACGAGTAGAAGGTTCACATGCGTTTTTAAAGAAGTATATCCAAGCTTCAATAGGTGATATACTAACTATTTGGGGTCGAATTAGGCATGCTATACGTATGTAGCTTGATACGTTAGTATATGAGGTTAAACATGACCAGTTACAAACCTTACTTTTCGCCCAATCCTTTTTATATTCAAATATCAATAAGCGAACCTCACATCATTCAATAAGACTAATTCAAGATCAAGTCAACATCGCTAAGAGGGCTACACACCTTGCCCCTTTATCGAATTGTACTAATGGATTTACTAGGATAATGGGCCTTCCTTGCGCACACCGAATCGCACAATTATTAGAGAAGAAACAACCAATTCCACTATCCGCTATTCATCCGTTTTGGAAACAGAACCTAGCACCGGATGAATCAGAGTATCTACCACTACTAGAACCTCGATTACCTATACCGAAGGTAAAAAGGTCAGATAAAAAAGGTGGAACTTCAGATGAATTAGGTGTTAAAATAGGGACTCCAACTTCAACTACAACCGTCAAGAAAAAAGCGCCTTCCAAGTGCTCAAAATGCGGAGAAATTGGGCATACAATCAGGTCATGTAAAGTATAATAGGTTAAATCAATCTATGTGCCAACTTGAGGCGTTTTTATCATATAAAAATTGATCAAGTTGGTAATTCAACTGCGAGGTGCAAAGTTGTCGTGAGATTACATAACCAAGTTAAATATTATTATATAAGCAATCTGTTGTGTCCCTAGTAAAAAGGTGTTGTGTCCTTAGCAATTCCCGGTCCCGAGTTCCCTATGTTGTAAGCATCACCTGGGCACCTGAGCAACCCGATCCCACTCACTGATCGAAAGAGCAGCCAAGTGAGCAACTCACCTTAATAAAATGCACACAATATACTGGCTTAAGTATGGAACAAAATTCACCTGGGCAAGTTCGAGACATTCGTGGATGTTTGTGGACCAGATCCACACCGGCAAGTCCGGACTCTACGGACTAAGCTACGGAGTTCCCCGGCCCCGTGGGCACGGAGCGGTGAGGAGAGTAGGCAGAACCACGTGTTGAGGCAGGAGCGGGACCCAATTAGGAAGGTCCAGGGGGGTTGCGTAACTATATCAATCTGATATCAAATTGTTCAAGCATTTCCAAGCTATTCAGCCCCGGAATCTGAAGCATCACTTCGATCTCTTCATATGATCCTCAATATTCTCATAATGCTTAGAATCATTAGTTATAATATTGTTTGCCGGGTAATTGATATATCGAGCAATCGGAGAGTCGAAACTGTTTCCTGAATCTCTAAAGTACAGATAGAATTTCACAATCAGGAAGCTTGGAAGCATCAATCATCTTGTCAGCCATTTCGAGCAAAGTATCAGCCATGACATCCATCTTAGTATCAAATATGTCAATACACGACTCCTTCTCATAGATCGAGCAGTAAGCGCCACGGAAGCTGATTATTTCGAGATAGGTTAGCCAGGATATCTTCCTCTTTCCTTTTGAGCAACAGTAAGACTTACCCAGCTTTAACAGCTGCGCTCACATCCCACATATGCGCCGCCACGAACCACTTTTGATCCTCAGCAGCGAACTTATCCAGCATGGGCTGGTAGGATCCCATCGAAGGTTTGACCATAGCAAGCGGAGACTCCAATGCGGATTCATGCTTCATGAACTGATGGCAACTGACGAGGTTTTCGGCGGGCATTTCAAAGCCGGCACGCTTAAAGTAGCCGCCGACTCTTTCTGTGTCGCCGGTGGTCAAGCACCAGACGGTGAAACCATTATTCCGTAACTTTTCCATCATGGCGCGGCAGTCCGGGCGAAGTTCCAGCTTTGAATATGCATCGTGACATGTGTCTCTTTCCTCGTCGCTCGCGAAAGATCTGGGGTCTTGGATCCCGGACATATATAACACGCGGTAAAAGAGCGCCTTGAAAACTTCCTTGTATGGCACGCACCGCTGGGACATGTGTAGCATTAGAGATTCGAGCTCGGCAGCTTGCATCCATGCAAAACCGAATATCTTGGCCGATACGTCATGTGCTCGCAGTCGAGGGCCGAGAACTTGTTCGATGGTGTCGAGAAAGAAGTCGAATGACACACAGGTGCCGACCACATCGAAAACAGCGTGTTTCTTGGGGAAATTCATGTTGTGCATACAAGATTTGGACCGATGATTGAATGAAATCGAACTGGCAGACTGAAAAGATTCTTGGGATGCATATTTCTCCTGGTCCACTCAAGATCTTTTATTTCATTGCCCTTCGCCAAGTCCACTGGCATCGTCGTCTGATTCCGGCACACCCCTATCCAATAATCGTCATTCCGCGAATCGAGATAGGAATGAGGTTTACTCCGTACATGTGAGCTTCAGGGAGAAATGATATGCGGACAGCCCTAGAGTGGCGGTGTGGGTACTCCGGGACTAACCATATTTGGCAATCAGCTATCTTCAGACCAAGCCCACTCCGTTTCGGAGCTCCGTAACCTGGCGATTACATTGTTTTTGATCTCATACATCCCAGTACGGAGTCCGAGCCGAGAACCGAGTTTAAAAACAACCGAGAGAATATGGGTTATCAAAGTGGACCAAGTCGATGCAACAAGCTAAAGGTGGTCGAACCTGTAGAAAATAATGTGACTTTGTTTGGGATATCCAGGCCATAATTCAAAGGAGCCTCGGTTTTCTGATATGAAAGGGCTTGTATATATATTATGCACTTTGAACAGAAAGGTTGGTGGTTTAAATGAATACATAATGTTTACAATACGACCATTCTCATACTTCGAGCAGACTCATTACATGCACTTTATAGATCACTATTTCAGGCACATCATATATAATCCCTCAGAATATATTGAATTCATTGTCATAATGCACCCCTGGAAGTCAGGTAAACTAGAAGGTCCGAAGACTAATCTGGCAAGTCCACTAGCGAGTTAAAAGATCTTATAGATACTATAATCCACGCTCAGTTCCATAGAATGTTCAGTCTGCGAAGACCTTTCCTTGGTTTTGGCTGCGGCTCTGGATTGCGGTTGGCAATATCAATAAAGGGTTGAATGGGGATATCTTCCAAGGGGACGATCTTTGTCTTGCGAACAAACTTGTATGCAAAATACATGATTAGGAAAAGAGGAATATTGATATAAGAGGAGACGAATCCTTCGTTGTCCCAATGTCCTTTGATAAAGGTTGAGTACCCGCCCGTGATGAGCAGAATGGTGAGCATGAACAGCGAGGCCCAGCTGATATATGGCTGGAGTGGCGTTGCCCACGGTAGAGACTTTCGAGAGATACCTTGCTTCTTACAGCCGTAGTAAAAACGAAGGTACGTGACCAGAATAGTGAGCCAGTTGGTCAGAGTTGTGATGGAGACAAGGTCTTGTAACCAATCAAACACAGTGTTGGCAGTTGAGGACAGCGACATATATCCCAAGCACATGAAGAGACCATAGAGGGAAATTGCGATCCAGGGGACCGAAAATCTGTTAAGTCGAGTGAAGAACTTCGGGGCTTGACCGTTCATCGCCAGCCCAAACAATACCCTGGACCCACCAAGCATGTTCGAGTTGCCTGAAGACCACGCCGACGTGATGATCACAGCATTGATAATTGATGGCACGACTTTGATTCCAGCCAGACTAGCTGCAATCACAAATGGAGACTGAGAAGCTGTCCCACTAGAATTGCTGAGTCTAGGCTCATTGGAGGGGACCACAAGGCCGACCATAAATATCGAGATGACTAAAAGGAAGAAGTCAGATTTGAAAAAAAAGAGGCTTTGTTTCTCCTTTGGATTCCACACACCATAGAAAATCAATATGCGAAAGAAAATCCGCTTGGCCGCCTGTGGAATAGCCTGCCTCGGCGATTTTGTCTCTCCGGCAGCAACAGTAATTGTTTCAATGCCCGAATAGGCGTAAAGGGCACTGTTCAGGGATGTCCAAACACCAAGAAAGCGACCAAGAGCGCCGCTGATCCCAAGGTACTGAACGAAAGGCCCAGGATTGCGCCAGTATTCAAACCCGATGGTTTTATGGTCAGGACCGCCACCACAGGTGATCACAAGAGCCTGATATATATTTGTTAGTGCATCTAAGCCCGCCAAGTTTAGGAATTAAGCTAAGCTTACCATTATATTGACTCCAATGATCAACAAGATCTTCATCATGGAGAAACCGAACTCGAGCTCTCCATATACTCTCACAAAGACCAGAGAGGAACACAACATGACCAATCCAAAGATAGTGATCCAAATCGCACTACTGAGGTCAGACCAAAACTGCACTAGGACAGCAGCGGCCACAATCTCTGCTGGGATGGACACAAGGTAAGAATATACTACGTTGTATCCGTTGGCAAACGCCAATGCCGGGTCAACAAAGTATTCGGCGTAGCGGACTATTCCACCATTCAACGGAATGAGTGCGCCCATCTCGCCCATCGCAAGGGTTACGGTGCCTGCAACACAGCCCATGACCAAGTATCCTAGAAAGGCACCCAGGGGACCAGACCGCGAGATCGCTCTACCAGAACTGAGGAAGAGGCCTGTTCCGATTGTACCGGCCAAAGCGATCATTTGAATGTGTCTCTGATGAAGGCCTTGCCTCAAAGTCGAAATCTCTTCGAAGTCTCCAACATATTCATCTTCTGGTTTAACAGGCGACTCTGGGTCTTGTATTGTGGCCTTGAAGTCTTTGTTGAACTCATGGACGGCGTCGGGGGGTCCTCGTTGCCAAGGAAGGTCTTGATCGTGGACATCTTTATTGACTTCTCGTTGCAGGAAAAAAAGGGTTGTTGAGAATATGGGGCGATTCTTTTTAGATAGCACAGACTGCGACGTACATCCGGGGATTATTTAGCTTCAACTTATAGTCACATTTGTCGGTGGCCATAGCGCTCTGAAGTCACCGTTCGAAAATGGCTAGAGGGAGGATATGGAGACATTGATTGGCGGGTGGATGAAGATACAAGATGGCAAGGACCCAATTGGCAGACTGAAGTATCTTTGACAAAAGGTTTGACTGGGGAATGTGAGATAGCAGCACACGGGTGATAAATGGGGTGAGGAGCAACTCCGCAAAATCAAATGCCGCCAAATCCACTCCGTGAGATAGCAGCCCCGATAGATAAGGTGTAATGACTTGATTTGGAACTGGCTGCTCGGAGTACTAACAAATACTCAGAAAATCTACTGGGACAGACATTAGAAGTGCTTTAGGGTGTTCCTATCAAATATTTCATTTTTCTCCTCATCTGCTATTATAAGCTTTACAACCTCGGGGGATTGGTGCAACAGAGTAAAATTAGTCGAGGATATTAATGGGTCTTTTTCCCAGTGTTCTCTACACAATGTTGTATTCGAACAAGGGAGCCTTTGTTTGTGATACAAGACTATTAGATAATCCCAAGAACAATCCAGCTGCATAACTCTGCCTCTCATTCTTCAATGTGCAATAAATATATCTCATCGCTTGATGCCGAGTATATCACCCCCCAAAGGACCGTTTCTCGCCTTATCAAGCCTCTCCTTTGTCGTTTGAAACAATTTCGGGACACCAGCATCTTCAAACTCGATCCCCTTCTGAACCATCTTGGCAACTCCAAGCGCAGATAAGAACACCTGAGGCATTCCATGACCGTTGAAGCCCGCAAGTACAAACTGGCCATCCTCCCCAGGCACGGCACCGATGTGGGGCTGGGAATCCCAACTGTACCCCATGACCCCGGACCAGATTTTATCCACTTGGGCCCCGCTGTCTTCCCAGCCATTGAAATGCCGCTGCATATAACCATCGTAATGATCTTTGACTTCCTCAATGAGCCTTGAATCGTCCACGTTGTCGTACCATGAATTCAGAACAGAGTGGTATCGCAAGTTGGCTCCACCGACAACAATACTACCGTCGGCACGAGGGATGAGGTATGAAACAACGTTATCCTCTTCACGGACTATGTAGGAGTTGTTCAGCAGAGGCGCCCTTGCGCCCTCAGGAATTGAAATATGAGTACACAGCCCTTTGCAGGGAACGATGGCTTCGCGGTACTGTGGAAGAAGACCCGAGATATAGGCATTATTCGCGTACACGACTTTCCGAGCGACTGTCGTGCCTCGTGGAGTTGTGATAATAAAGCTACCCGAAGGTTGCCGACTGACAGACGTCACTGGGGTATTTGTCTGGAGGTTGACCAAACCAGTCTCAAGAATTGAGGCCGTCAGATGGAGAATAAGTTTGTACGGCCACAGAGTTGCTGCCGTGAAAGAAGCGCATGCTTTGGCGCCTTTGACACCCGAAATACCCTCCGCATCCTTGCCAAGCACAAAGAAGACATCCTTCATGTACTCCAGATTACGGGATACCAGCGTGTCATACATATCCTTAGCCTTTCGGGCACCTTCCTCGTTGGACCATACATCGATAGACCTTGTGACGGTAAAGTCACAGTCGATTTTCTCCTTCTCAATCAAGGACTTCATGGCGTATACATGTGCGATTTCAAATTCTGTCACCTCCAACGCCCGTTCAACTCCTGCTCGGTCGATGAGCCTGGTCATGGGGGTGTACATGTCAGGCCTTAGGTGGCCACCATTGCGTCCTGTCGCGCCCGAACAAACACCCCGTGCTTCCAGTATTGTGATAGAGAGATTTTTGTCACTGGTCTCTCCTTTGACCAAATGGTACGCTGTGCTAACTCCTGCATAGCCGGCGCCTATGATGACGACATCACTCGATACAGGAAGCTCTTCTGTGGTCCGATGGTCGTGCAGTTCGTGAATGTCCCGATGCCAAAACGGCACAGTCGCATTTTCGACAGGCTGCCGGGGTGTGTTGAGTGAGTCGTTTGGAGACATGGTCATCGAAGTGGGATTTGATTGTTGCTGTCTGGCCTGTGAAAACTTGCGCAAGTTGATGAGCTAGGTTATTTGATGACCTGCAGTGTCGACGTTAAGTAATTGCTGGGGTTTCAGTTCTTGATTGTGATTTGATGAGGATGCTGTTGTAAATGGAGCGAATGAAGATAATGAACTCCGATTCGTCGGTTTCAAAAACGACTGATCAACGCCGTGAAACGCCGTGAGCTGCCCTTATCAACCCCGCAAAGCCTTGCCGTGCCCGGCGTAGCCCACTCCGACAGACCAAAAAGCACTCCGAAACCTGACCCAGGGGTTATCTTATCAATTTAGCCGATTAGCAATGGTAAAAGGCCTTTGATACATTCAAGACTGAGGGGTTGGGAATGTCGATCCGTTAGGATTGCTTAATATGAAAAGGGCGGATTACTTTGTTCAAGCCAACCACCCTGAGTCCAATCAACGGTGTTGAGCCAATCCATATAATTGAAGGCGTTCATATCAGAGTCAATATCATGCTCTCTGCCTGTCGCAGTAGGTGGATTTTGCCCTGGAGACTGCTGATCTTGCGGACCATAGTGTCTCTGGGATTGCTGTTCGCTCGGCATCTCTTGTGTTTGCATGCCACACGACGAGTCCAAAGAATCAAATACAGCGTCAATGATTCTCTGTATAACTGTCTTGAACTTCTTGCTAAGCTGCGCATTGTTATCCGTGGGCCGTATCCAGTCAAGTAATGCTCTGAACATAACTAGATTTTGGACAACATCCGACCGCGAGAATCTAACACAGTCACGAGCTGCCGTCGATAGAAGCTCGCTTTGTGTTGCAGGAGGTACTAGATTACTCGCTCGGAGAAGCTCGACGCATAAAATTCCCGCACAGGGCATTCCGTATGATACTGCCTGGATGAATATCAGTTAGTATTCTATTCTCAATCCAAATACCCAGCTAGGCTCGCCAAATACTTACAATCCAGTCAAAGGCATGGTGAAATTCCCGCAGGCGATCGCGGTTAAGCCAGAGAGACAGGATAACAGACATTGTCTCTTGGGCGATATCGAACAAGTCTTGGCCACCACTGAACTGCTGTGAAACAAGTAGTCGCTGGAGGAGGAACTGACATTGCAATACATCAAGTTGTATGCGGGTGATGATATATACTTCATCAGCGCTCCGTTCATGGAATCGTGAGCTTGACTGCGGGGGCCATTCAGAGTTCCCCTGATACTGAATGTGTGGAGGATATGAAGCAACTATATTTCCCAAATGGACTTGTAGGTCTCTGCAAACGGGCTGAAGTTAGCGTAATGAGCCTAGTATGTAATATTGCTTCCAAATAACGCACTCTACCTGCGATTTGGTAAACTTCGAATTGACACTAAGAGTTAGTTCCAGAATTCCCTCTCGTATAGGACTAAGCATCGCTAGTGCTCGAAGCCATGTTGTTGCGAATATCTGACCATTTGTGTTCCAGCCGTTCGAGTCAAGCTTCGCAATGGCCACGGTCAGTCTTTCTCGGCCCCCATATACATCTTCCTCGCCTAAATCGAGTGGGAGAGGGCATTGACAGTAACGGTTACTGAGCATAGGTGGTCGCGCATTGAACAAACTGTGACATTTGTCGTAGTAATACATCGACGAAGCAAGTGTTGCTCGGTGTTGAGAAAACGGCGTAATTTCCTTCGCAGGAGTGAGGCGGTGCAATCCGGCGGTTATAAAAGCACTGCGGACAGTCCCGTAGTCGACTCGTACACGGTCACCTATGCTGGAATGAGCTTAATTCTATAATGCTAGGGTTTGTCTGTGTTTGCGACTCACTCTCATCACTGATGATAATGCTTTGCAATCTGGTGCTATTCTTCATGCAAATAACCATGGTATCACTGATTTCAAAGTTCCCTTCGCAGAGCCTTACACAGGCAGCAGCACACTCTCTCATCTTGTCTGCAGCACTGTTGCGATTCCGTCCATACTGCTCGGGTAGATCAAATATTGGGTCCCACTCTTGTTTGCATCTGAATGCAATCCCAGCCCAGCTAAAGAGAATCCCGATCATTTCCCATCGCAGATGAGGTCCACCAAACCAGTTCATCCAGGGAAAATGGTCGGGATTGCTTGGGACATCGCAGTCAGGTATTGAGTGGCGCCTTTTGTGGTTGACAAATATATCATTTGCCACTCTCAATACTGAATCCCGTGTCCGCAGCTCACCTAGCTCATTGGCGTATTCTGTCCATACTTGTTTCAAGCATTGCTGGATCATGGTGGGTGACAGCCATACATCATAGATGTGATGGATACCTGCCATCAGCATGTCACATGTACGAGCAGTGGGGAAGTTGAGCAGTGTTCTGACAGCCAACTCTACGCGAGACCTGGCCGTTACATCAGGCTCTCGGCCTATCTCGTGGTGGTTGGGGTTCGTGGCATCAAGCATCACTGCGCCAAAACTATCTTGATTTTCAACAAAGACAGCAGAGAAGCGAGTCGTCTCGTGTTGACCCAACTCCTCGTTAAATAGCATGTTCCGTTTTGATGCGCTAGAACGGGCTGTTAACCCCGAACTCGCAGCGGGGCTCGGATCCCCAGGGGAATGAGAGATTCCTGCTCCGACCAAACATTCGGTAGGAATTTGGAAAGCGCTAGAGACATTTTGGGTGGTCGGTAGGTCGGGCAGTGTTGTGTCGAAGTGTATGGGTGTGTGGGAGCTCGGGGGGCGGCGCTTGGTCATAGGGGCAGGGTGGTAAACACAGTTCAGGCTGCGCAGGACACAACGCGAACACTTCGGATTTGCATGGTCACAGCGAATCTTGGCCTTGCGACATGGCTCGCAGGCTTGCGGTTGGCCATTATGGCGTTTTCTTGGTTCTGCGAGCATTGCGTCTCTTCTCAAGCGTGGTTCCCTTTATTATTTACTAGCTTGGTGATCCACGTAAGATATCAGGCATTTCTCAAGAGATAATGTTAAAGAAAACGAACTATCCATGGGTGGTTGTAGAGCAGATTATCAGCAACCCAAGGCCAACAGGTGAATTAAGTACCGCGATATCGCTCTATCGCCGATAGGGGGAGATAAACCTTATCCGTCCATGGATGCGGGATGGACCACCCATGGACCCGTTTGTTCAGGGCAATCATCTTGCCAAGTACATAACAACATTGAATACAACTGCTTTCCACCCCAGAGCTGCGTATGTATCAATTATGGCAAATACATCGGCTGCTACATATGATATGGTCTTGTTTTATCTTAATCACTACTATGGAGCTCGGGGATTTCTGACAATGGATTGTCGGCGCAGTAACACCGGCATACCGGAGGATTTATTAATCCTATGTGTTTTCGTAATTTATGTTATGTAATCGAGGCTCCATATAAATTGTGTAGAGAGCCGATACAGAAATACAGAGAGTTGAATACCATTGATTGGACCCTACATTTTACAATACGGAATCCACCGACAGTTATGAGCCCGGTTCGCACTGAATAAGACTACTATATCGGTATATAGTATCTAGCACGCAGCTAGAAGTTGTCTTGCAACCCTGAAGCTATACCAAGCTATCATCCCTTGATTCATTGTTCAAAACATTGAAGCATCCAGCAATGGAGGCAGCATCAATCCTCTCCGCCATGAAGGGCGAAAAACTGAAGGATGCACCGCAATGGCTCACCTGGTTTGCAAAGGTGCAGTTATATGCAATGCAAAAGAACGTCTGGGATCACTGTAACCCGGATACCCTATCAACCGAACGACCCGATACCCTAAAGGAACCAGTGGAACCGGAATACCCTGAGGAGGGTGACGAAAGGAATCGAAGGGTCTGGCGAGATCGAATGGACGTGTATAAAGTGAAGAACGCACGGTGGGAGAAACAAGCAAAGGGACTGAGTGATGTAAATGAATACATCCTCACGTATCTTGACCCAATGCACCACCTCGCTCTGATAGAATATCGTACTCCGTATGATAGACTTGTGTATCTGAAGTCTCGTTTCGCAAGATCGACCGCGTATGAGGAGGAGATTCGAATGAACTGGAAGGTGTTTGCGATGCAGAAGCCGACGGGAGATATCGAGCAATGGCTTCAAAAGTGGAATTCGCTAAGGGAGCAGGCGATCAGCCTTGGTATCAACGATAGAGATGCCAATAGGGACTTCCTACACGCTGTGAAAGAAGTACTACCGATCTGGTGGCAAGGCAAATACCAGGAGATTATCATGGACAAAAAGGCGTATGATACTCGAGATCTTCTCGAATCGTTTCGCGCAATGAACCGTGAGATAGGTGTCAAGACTATCACCTCGACCACTCCTCCGAAAGGCGCCTTTTCAACCTAGCAAGGGCACTAGGAAGCAAAGCAAGAAAGGCAAGAGAAGCTTCCTTTTGAAAAGAGAGATTGTCCATGTGGGAGATCTGGTTCAAAGCATAAGGTTGCCACTTGCTGGATTATGAACGAAGCCACCCGACCAGAAGGCTTTATCCCATATAAAGAGAAGCTGGAGAGAGCAAAGAAGGCGCTAGAGAAGGACCTAGGCTGGAAGAAATGGGTTGATAAGGTGGTAGCTGATGCTAAGCCTAAGCAGACTGAGTATGCAAACCAAGTCAGTTTCGCAACCACCTACCAAAGCTAGCACCACGGCCAGCACCACGGCCAGCACCACTGCCAGTATGAAGGCAAGTCGCTAGGTGAAGCTATACAGATTAGCAAGCATGTGCTATCTGTAGCAAAAGCCGGTGATCTCTCTCTCATAATCGATGGATTCTTGATACCGGATCAAGCACGCACGTTTGTAATAATCGAGATCTATTTGTCGACTTCACAGCAGATATTATGGATTTGACAACTGGAGATAGTACCACGTAGGTGCTAGGCAGAGGCAAGGTTCGCCTAATTGGGAGACACCCAGTCAAAGGAAGGATGGAGATTACATTGAGTGATGCTCTATACTCACCTAGTTTCCACACGAATCTCGTGTCGTATGCGATGCTGAAGAAGAAAGGCGGGCTTTGGTGCTAACGCACGAATTGTATACGGGATCCAAACGATAGACCTGTCGTCTGTGTGAACCTATGGGATCAATTCAATCTCTGGATCTTTGACGAGCCAGGTGAAGCTCTACCACAACAAGCATATGCTGTGCAGCCAACACAAAGGAGATCAGTGAAGCCGAAGGAATCAAAGGCTTCCGCCGAGGTATGGCACCGGCGCCTAGCCCACATTGAATCACGGACTATAGCAAAGCTTGCTACTATGGTGGATGGCGTCGTCCTCGAGGATAAAGGAGCGAAATCGACGGAGGAGCAGGAATCACTATGTCAAACCTGTCATCTTAGGCGAGCACTAAAGCAGATATCACGACGGCCAATTGGACGCACCTTTGGACGATTTGGAAGAGTCCATTTTGACTTGATATAACTGCCACCGGCGTACAATAAGTATCGATGGATCTCTCACTTCTATATAGAAGGACCGAGATTCCATTGGATTATGACGCACGAACTGAAGCCTGAATGTCAAGTGGCTATCAACCAGTTTGTATAGCTAGCAAGGAATCAGTGGAAGCTACCAATCAAGGCCTTTCACTATGATAATGAAGCAGTAGCTGGCAAAGCATCGGAGTACAGCTTAACAAGCGATGGTATCTTGATATATCATACTCCACCCGGCCACTCCGAGATGAATGGCTATGCCGAGAGATCTGGCGGCATGATCATTACTCGTATGCGGATGCTCGCCCTCGAAGGGAAGCTTCCTAAAGATCTATGGCCAGAATTTGTAAGCGCCGCCGTATGGTTATTGAACCGTACACCATCATATATTGCTTCCGAGAATAGGTGGTTGATACCATGGGAGGAAGTGAGAAAGGAATTTACGCCGGCAATGCCGAGGATCAACCTAGCAAATGTTAGGTTGTATGGAAGCCTAGCATACTGTAGGATTGAAAAGCAAGTGCAGTCAGATAAGATGAATCCCCGCGCTGAGGTTGGTTTCTTGGTTGGATATCTTGCTTCCAACATTTATAAGATCTGGTTTCCACACACTGGAAAAGTGAAGCATATTAGAGATGCAGTTATTGATGAAGGCCGCAAGTACTCACCCGAGTATGAGAGATCTCAACCAGTTCCACTACCACTAGTGAGAGAACTAGAAGAGCTCACCGTTGAAGAGATCACCCAGGTGATCAACCATGAGATTACTAGTCAAGAAGGGGCTAGTATGCCGGAATAGGACAACCAGCAAGATCACGGGGCAGAGGATGATCCCCAAGGTGGAATACGGGAAGCAAGTGACGCCGTTAACATACAACGGGATACCACCCCATTTTAGGGGGTGAATGAGGAAGCATATCTGCCAACACCGAGCGCTCTATATACAGCGCAAGCGGGTGAAATGCTTCATAAAAAGGATCAGGAAGATCCACCACCGCGTATAGCACTACTAGGTGCTTTTCCGGATGATCAGGACCCACCACTACTAAACACGCCGCCGCAAGAACACGAAGAACAAGCGAGTACTGGTCCTGGTCAGGGGGTGGATATGTATGATCAAGATGATCAATTGCTAGCTAGGGACTAGGCCCAGTAGCATGAAAATGAAGCTATTCCCATTGAAGAAGATGAGCTAGAAAGACAGCTCTAGGCAGAATTGCTAGCACCACCAAGCCTAGCACTAAGTAGGGAGATCACCAGCAATGTGGATGCCGGCAACATACTAAGTGGTCGTCGAACACGTAAAGCAAGACAAGATGATGATTTTGTATATGCAACCACTATAGTACAGGATGAAGAGCCACCGGCTCTACTACATGCTTTCGCAGCTGGCTTATACGCCGAGAAACCAGGCATTCGACGCCATCGGGATGATCTCCCACCACCGCCAAAGTACTGGAAAGATGTCATGAACCATCCCTTCTAGCAAGGATACCTCACAGCAATGAGAAAGGAGATTAATTCTCTACTCGAAAAGGAGACTTATGAAGTTAGTGAGAAACCAAGGGACCGAGGAAAGCAGATCCTCCCCCTACTATGGGTTTTCTCATACAAATTTGACCAGGACGGTTACCTTCTAAAGCTAAAGGCCCGTATCTGTGTACGTGGAGATCTTGAAACGATTTCGCATGAAGAAAAGAGAGCTGCTACACTAGCAGCTAGGACCGCTAGGATGATCTTTGCACTAGTAGCTGCCTTTGATCTAGATCTCCGCCAGCGAGATGCTGTCACGGCATTTCTAAACAGCAAGCTAGATCAAGAAACGTATACGCATATGCTAGAAGGGTTTCAAGCACTAGGCAAATGCTGGAAGCTCCGTCGAGCATTATACGGCTTACGGATCTCGCCACGACTTTGGCAGCAAGAAGCAGCTAGCGTACTACGCAAGCTAGGGTTGCAGCAAGCACCAGAAGACCCCTGCGTCTTCGTTGGAGAAGGACTACTAGTCTTCTTCTATGTGGATGATATCCTAATTGCAAGCCATCCCTCTGTAAAGACACAAGCAAAGCAATTAGAGCGAGATCTGGAAGCGCATTGGGAGCTTACAGATCATGGAGAAGCGGCATGGTTTCTTAATATCCGAATCCTTCGGGATAGGAAGCAAAAGAAGCTTTGGCTATGTCAAGATAGCTATGTGACAAGCATTGCTACCCGGTACAACTTGACAGACCGTCCACCTGTGTACACACCACTACTAGTTGACGAATTGAAGCCATACCAAGGTGTAGCCACACCGAGAGAGATCCATCTCTACCAGCAAAAGGTTGGATCTGCCGGCTATGCCACCACCATTACGAGACCGGATGCGGCGAAAGCAACTGCTAGGCTAGCGCAATTTCTTACCAACCCCGGTCCTCAACATCATGAAGCGGTAGATAGAGTCATTTCTTACCTCTATACTACCCGGAACCTGGCAATTGAGTACAGTGCTGGAGCAGCAAGTGCCGGAATGGACTCGGTACAATTTGCAAGCGATGCCTCGTACGGGGATCACCCTGACAGAAAGAGCTCAGCAGGCTATATTTGCCAGGCATACGGGGGTCCAGTTGACTGGAAAGCTAGCAAGCAACCCACCGTAACAACTTCAACTACCGAAGCAGAGCTTCTTGGCTTATCAGAGGCAGGAAAGCAGCTTCAATGGTGGCGTCGACTCCTTGATCACCTTGGCTTTATCCTCTCCCACGATATGACAATCGATTGTGACAACGAGAGAACGATTAGCTTGTTAACAAGCGAGGACACGGCGTTTGAAACGAAGCTTCGACATGTAGATATTCATCGCCATTGGTTGAGACAGGAGGTTAGAGAGGGACGCATTCAGGTGAAATGGGTTCCAACGGCAAGCATGGTTGCCGATGGACTCACCAAATTACTCTCTCGCCAGAAGCATGAAAGCTTCATACGGATGCTCAGGATGGTGGACATAGGCTATCTAATAGCCTAGAAGGAAGCAGATCTACAGGGTCCAGCAATCCCATACTGGGATCGCTGAGGGGGTGTGTCGGCGCAGTAACACCGGCATACCGGAGGATTTATTAATCCTATGTGTTTTCGTAATTTATGTTATGTAATCGAGGCTCCATATAAATTGTGTAGAGAGCCGATACAGAAATACAGAGAGTTGAATACCATTGATTGGACCCTACATTTTACAATACGGAATCCACCGACATGGATCTGTGGCCTGAGGCATCAACCATACAGGGCTTGGACCTCGGCAGTGAACGTTGCTTGCATTGAACCTTGGATAAGATGTTGCTGACAGGAGAGCAGATAGACTTCGTCTTCAACCACAGTACATAGCTGCGGAGCTGATTATCTCGAGCGGTATGTTTTAGTTGTTCACAAAAGCGTGAGTGTGCATGACCCTATATGCCATCTTATTCTGCTATCAAATAGACTGAATCGAACTTGCCAAAGCCACAACATCCACCCCCACAGCCCCGCGGTTAGCGGTGACCATCAGAAATTATCTTACCTATCAAGCTTACCCCGCAAGTCACCGTCGTCTAGGAGACTGCCAAACATTGCTGCTTCAAAGAGTCGATTCACCTGCCAGGCATGATGTCCAGCATGGGCGAGCAGCCATGCCATCTCATCTGCGAACCCAAGTGAGTACGCCCGGGCCATGGTCAGCAGGAGCCTCTCAGACAAGCCATCCTCTATCTCCGCGTCCACAACGCCCTTGGAAACATATTGCATTGGTTTCGTACTCAGACACAGCCAGAGCTCAGCAAGTAAGCCGTCACTTTCATCGTGTGCACGTAGGTACCCCTCCACTTGATCACAGGGGTCGCCGCCATTACAAGCCCCTTGCAGCGGTCTGCTGAAGCCAGTAGTGCGCAGCTCAGGGTCAAAGGCTTCGTCAAAATCTGCCTCGCGCGGTTCCGCTGCCGTCTTACGCGCCTTGGGGTAGCCAAGCAGAGCACGTCGGAAGAATCGGTGTCTGTCGTTCTGGATATGCCATGTGAATAGTACGGAGCACATGCGCGCCATCGGTTCCATCCAGCGTTCGCATAGCATTCTGGAGCCCGTATGAGCGTAAGCGTCATACACCCTCCGTAGGGCTTCCTCGGTGACTATGCCTGTCGAAGTCATGTCGGCCGTGTTTAGGAAGGAGTTCACCAACTCCGAGTTGATTAGATCAGAGCCCACGTCGACGACGTCTGTCCCGGGACTGCTGAAGATCATGTCGCTCATCACTGCACCGCAATCAAAACCACGCACCATGGTCTCTTTAGCCATACCCAACAAGCTGCATTCGAAGCAAAATATGACTTGAGCCTCTCGTCTGTTCAACTTAGCCACCCTATTGGCCAATTCCGATTTGTGCGCCTCTTCTAGAGCGACCTTCGCCTTTATGTACTTCATTCCGATCTCGACAGCTGCCCTCCTTTCGGCACCGCCTGGAGTATGCACTGCATGGTGATCGCTAACCGCCAACTTGATCGTCTCTTCAAACTCCGGGAAAGCTTCATGGTAACCGTGCTCATAGTAGAAAGCCATGTCGGTACAATAATTGGAGTAGAGAGTTTCAGCATCATATGCCCCGATCAACATGTTCATCATTCCGCTGCCAAATAGCGCATTGGTGGTGGTCAGTGGTTTCGGCCATTTCTCCGCACCAAAAAGCTGAACCACCTTGTCCGAGGCGGAAGCGAGGCCGTAACCTTTGCTGGGCAAAGTGCGTCCAGAATAGTGCTGCTCCCTTCGCCATTTTTGCAGATCCTCGGAGAGATGCAGCTCCACGAAGCCTTTATCGGTTCCTTCCTTGGAAGACTCGAGGCACTCAAATTCTCGTGTGATATACTGTATAGCAGTGTTCGCAAGATCCTCAAGTAACTCTAATCTGCCGTCTTCGATGATGCTGCGTATCTCTGCATATCCCCTATGGATTGGGAAGCCGGTCTCCTGCCCCCCTTCGTGTCTGGCTTCGCCCCAGAAATAGGGAGGGCTTCTATTTGTCGATCGTCGGACAGCTGGCTCGATACGACCAAGTAACAACTGGTACTGGTTCTGTTCATCTTGGTTTTCATCCATGACTGACTGGTTTGAACCGATGCCCTTTGCAATTGGTAGTAAATAGAAACCAAAAGGCTGATATAAAGGGGATACACTGGTCAACCAAAGGTGATGGTAGGTTCACTTATATAGCCTGAGCATTTCTCGGCATGTTTTGGAGGAGTAGGACCCAGGCATCTACTATGCAGTAGCCATGTTTGAGATGACATGACCAAGACGCATATTGTCGATCGTGTAACCACTTGTGGCACAGACCTCGCTTTAAGCCAAGTAATATGTTTTTGCGAGTATCTCGCTACTGTCTGTCCATTGGATAAACCCATAAGTTACTCTATGACAGCACTACAGCACTACATATATTGGAATGCCGCGTAAGTGTAGAAAATCTAGGTAATCTTAAATAGATCGAACCACAATTCGGGGCTCCCTCAAAGCTCCGTGACTGACTGACTTTAAGTAGTATGTCCCTGCTTAAATCAGGCAATAGGTGATGAATATTCGGGCAGTTGAGGAAGGGTTCCAAACCCATAGGATATCCGACTCCTGCAATTATTGCCTATAGTTCCTCTTCCCAATACAAATATAGCAGCTTACAAGAATACCTACTGTACATTCCATCCACTAAATAAGAGTATGTGTCCCTCCCACACCCCGATCCTCCAGATGATAATGCTCTCAGGATAGTGCTGTCAATGTAGGTGTCCAGAGATCTTGGGCCAATGGCCTGCTGAGCTGCAGCCATACGCCTCGGACCAACTGTTATAATCATGCGACTGTAGATCTTTTGGTTTCAATCAAAGGCTAAACGAAGGGAATGGTAGGAACCAAGCTAGTGCTGTGATACCCACATGCGAGTCAAACTATACTAGTAGGGATACCCATAATGTTTATCAGCGACATTTTTACGTAGCTGCGACGCTAATTACTCGTCATCAAGTCAAATCCATGTGTTGCACCGCATATAACAAGGTTTTGAACCGGTTACATATGACACATTGTATGTCAGTGGCTATATTGCTGCACCGTAGTCAACCCAGCATTGGATATAATGAACTTAATCCATTTTAAATGAAATGACGATCTGAAAAAAGAGCAATCTTGGGAAAGTCTGGGATGTGCGACAGTCCCACAGATGAAGTGGACAGTGGACAGTCGGATTATCCCGGGTATGGTGTCTAGTTGGGAAGTCTGTACAATCAAACAGAGACCTGCTAAATGCTTCTGCTTCGCTAGTTCTACTCATTTCCTCTAGGGTTATATGAAGGAGAAAACACTCTTTGACAACGGGGTCGGGTCCGATCTATCCGAATACGATCGACTAGCCGAATAGGGAAAATTCAACGTTTTATTGCAAAGAGCTTCAGCTTAAATTAGTCTGGCTAGCTTGACTAGCCTCTTTTTTAAATGCTATATCATGCTTGTCGTTGACATATATCTTAGGTCTATCTATTTTTCATCACAACTTCACCTTCAATTTCCAAAACATGACCGTCCGTTCATTACCCCTGAACGGGGCCAACCAAGCGCCAATGAAAGAAGACACTCTTAGGCGCAGGAATATCAATGGCTCGCAACCCAAGACAATTGGAAACGGCCATACAAGTCCACCAAATTCAACCCCGAAGCCCAAAAAACGGTGCTCTCTTCTCCGTCGCTGCAGGGATTTCGCGAGTAAGCACACGTGGACGCTTCCACTAGCTCTCGTGCTGGCCTTCCTCTCACTATACGCGCTCAATCCGACCGAGTCAAACCCAATCTCTCATTTCATATTCCTGTCTTACAAAGAGGAATCCCTGAATGGCGACCCAAATGCCCCAACGCAGTATGGCAAGGGTCTGTGGGACATAGCGTTCGTGTCATTCTATGTGATCGTGCTATCCTTCACGCGCGAATTCATCATGCAAGAAATTATCCGCCCCCTAGCAGCCTCGCGCATCAAGTCGCGGGGAAAGCAGGCCCGCTTCATGGAGCAGATGTACACCGCGATGTACCATGGAGTCCTCGGTCCCGCGGGGTTGTATGTCATGCGCAAGACGCCGGTTTGGTACTTCAACACGCGTGGCATGTACGAACTCTTCCCGCATAGGACCCATGCGGCTGAGTTCAAGTTCTACTACTTGTTCGAGGCGGCTTATTGGGCGCAGCAGGCTATTGTCATGCTTCTGGGGATGGAGAAGCGGCGGAAGGACTATCTGGAGCTTGTTGCGCATCATATTGTGACATTGGTGCTTATTGCGCTCAGCTATCGCTTTCACTTTACGTATATTGGCATTGCTGTTTATATCACGCATGATATTAGTGATTTCTTCCTCGCTGTAAGTCGCATATCTCCCGCTTAAGCCGATTCTTCTGGTTTCGACACACCCCGAAATATTCAGGGCACCTATTGACAATTTCCCTAGGTTTCAAAATCTCTCCACTACATAGCCCCGGACATAATGATGCCCTTCTATGCAACCTCGATCGGCGCCTGGATATATCTCCGCCATGTACTAAATCTTCGGATCCTTTATTCCCTTCTAACCGAGTTCCGAACCGTCGGGCCCTACGAGCTGAACTGGGAGACTCAACAGTACAAGTGCTGGATCTCAAACGTCATCGCCTTCGGACTGCTAGCTGCCCTCCAGACTCTCAATTTGTTCTGGTTGTACTGTCTGCTGCGCAGCGCTTTCAAGTTCCTCGTGACGGGAGAGAAGAAGGACGATCGCTCTGAGCCAGATGAGTCTGAAATTGAGCAAGATGAATCCAAGGTTGTTGGGGGGATTAATGGCCATACTTCGTTGAATGGCAGTGCATTACCTAGTGGCAAGTCTCAGCATGCCACCAATGGTGTTGGTCTCTCTGTTCAGCCGAATGGTTCTCACTAACGATGCTCGTATGGCTTCCTGGTCCTTCCTGTCGGTGCACCCACTGTGAGGAGCATCAGGTGTGCCTTTCACCTTACCACGCACGCATTGACTCCGCTGTTCAACGATTTTGAACAGAAATTTTCGCTTGGTCCATTTAATCCGTCATGTTGTGCCATGTATCATGGCCATTTAATCTTATGTGTTGTTGTTCTCTGTTTGACTGATGCTGTTGCGGACTTGCAATGTCGCGCGACTAGATCTACCATGCTACGATATATTATTTGGATATAATAGTTAATGATAATGTATACTTGAACCGGGATTTGATCAGCGGCAATCACATAGGTAATCCATTCCAATGGGTTGTCTGCAATTTGCAGAAATTATATATGCAGTCAAGGCTATGCTCGCACCTCATTGCTCGCGCCGTAAATCATGAGCAAGACAAGTTACACATCTAGCAAAACTCCAAAGCTATGTGCGAAAGTGTGGGATCTACAAAAAGGAGATTTAAACAGTATTGTATCACAACATAATCAAGAGAAGCGCAGCCCCTTGCTGGGATCCCAGGTTCCCGGTTGAGGGGCACGAGTGGGCTGGTTCGGGGCTGGCCCAGGTCCAGTGCTGGGAGTAGCATTCGGAGGGGCACCGGCAGATCCGAATCGAATCCCCATTTCAGGAGCCCACATACCCGGCATACCCCCTGGCATGCTCGGCGTAGAAACTGGGGGCGGGGCTACGGGCGCGCGCACCGGTTGGGGTGCCGTGAGAGGGGGTGCTGTCTCAGCTGGTCGTACGGTGTGAACAGGTGGGAGTGGCTGTGATGGCATATGGGCGGGCTGCCCAGCTGAGTAGCCGGAGGGAGAGTGATGGGTTCGAGGTGATTCCTGAGGTTGTTGACGCAGATGTGGCTGAGAAATATGCAGTGAGGCCATCGCTGTGGCATTGGAGATATCACTAGTTCGGGGAAATCCAATGTCAGTGATAGTCCATTAGTTTAACGATGGGTGATAACACATACGCTTCCAGCTGGCTTGCCTCCATCCGACGTTGGTGGACAAATGCCTTTGCGTCGTCGCGGAATCGGGCTACAATCTTTGCAAGGTCATTGTAAAACTTTCGCCCGACATCGAGGTTGGAAATGATCTCCTTATACTTCAGGTATCCGTTTTCCAGATCCTGCAGTGCCGCTTCTCGTTCCTTTGTCGACGCGTCGCCCTTATGAGACCCAGTAAACGCCCGATTAGCTTCTCGGACCTGGTCCGAAATATGATCTTGCTCTCTCCGCTCCTGGCCCAGCATCTCACGGTCCGAATCATATAGCTTCAGCTGCTCCTCAAACAAATCCTCGAACTGGCTTGCCTGGATAGTCTGCATGGGGAATTCCCGCTCCAGTCGAGCTGTCTGTGTCAAAAGCGCCGGGTCTAAATACAATCCATTAGTATATTTCAAGACTAATGGAAAGGAAAACACGTACGAATATCATCCGCGCGAGCTTTGTCCTTCAATGCTTGAATTCGCCGCCTCCGCCGATTCTCCATTCGAGTGACCTCGCTTAAACAACCACGCAAGCGGTTAGATTCGCGCTCAACCTCTGGTGGAATCACAACCCTCCGGCTACTAGGCACAAAGGATTCCAAGTCCCGATTCGTGCCAGTAAGAACGATGAAGACAGACCGTGAATCTCGCAGCTTGCGCTGGACAAGGTCATCACTGCCCTGGGCGGAGGTGAAATAGCCATCAATTTCTGTCAAACTTTTGTAGAGCTTAGGCGTGGCGGATTCTGAGGTCCCGCGGGCCCAGCGATCGGTGCCGTATTTATGGCGAGCTGCAAGGTCCTCGGCCTTCTCAGCTGCTAGAAGCTCAACGCCTTCATTATACACAGCCAGATCATTGCCTTTAACCCTAGCGGTGTCTTCGATAGACCGGTGCAAGCGATTCAGGCCATCTTGTTGGCGCATTTCCTCTGCATGCGACACAAGCATTGGCGGGAGACCTAGTGGTTTTTCGAGCGCTTGTAAGGACCCTGGCAAATTGAGCGATGAAAGCAAGCTTAAAACTGATGTTAACAAAATTTCCCTTAACAATTTTGGTATTTCCCTTGAATACATACTCTCGCAACTTGTCGGTCATGGACTCCAGCTCTCCAATAAGAGTATCATTGACCAGTCGGTCTCGACGATCAGTGTAAATACTGGCGGCAATGTGAACTGCGTATGGGACCAACTTTGAGAACAGCGGCTGCCCCAACGGTCCATTATCACCCAGCATAGAGATCGCATCCGTAACCTGCGAAGGTGCTTTGGCAAGAACCATGCTGGCACGCTCGATGGTCTTGAGCTCAGACTTGGGCGGCACAGGGTTGATATAGATCATATCATTATCCTTCTCCGCACGCTTGAGGTCTTCAGCGACACGGCTCTTCAATCCAGTCAAGTCACCTAGTACAGTCCGGTTAATCCACCGCTGCTCTTTCAAACCTTCGCCGACGCAGGTCAAACAATCGCGCAGCCGAGCAACCTCTTCTCCATACTTGCGCTTCTCCAGGCAGTCAAGCGCCTGTCGGAACTGAGCTGCTGCTGCAAAGTGGTGATGTTTTGCAGTCATGTGGTGGATCCAGTCTGTGCTGATTGCATTAGACTTGACAGCCAAGTCACCTGCGTCACCGTAGAAGTCAGACACCTTTGCTGCTAGTTTCGCAATAGATACATCTTTCAGTCCATCCTTGACAGCTTTCTGCCAGAAGCACTCCTGCCCCTGTCCAAGCAGAAGAAGTTCCAAACTCTGTAGTGTCATTTCGTCCATATCCTCTGGCGGCGACGTTCGAAGGTCTGGGATGATATCGGTTCGAAGGTGGCTCAACACTCCAGCGGCGGAGCAGAGGTAGTTACACGCCTGCTTGAGTCCATCTGCGGTAGTCCGATTGGTCGCATATGCAAGCTGGGAGTATAATGCGGCAAGATTGAATATGACATTCGCTAGTTCGAAGCGCAGGTTATTTTGTGAAACTAAAAGCCATGGTTTGTTCTTATTAGTCTCATGTCCACCAAATCGGACCCATGCGGAGGTTGTGACCTCAAGAAACCAACTCACCTGGCCGCGAAGCATTAAACCCAAAAGCCGGATACCACGAAAATTCCACCCCGACCTATATAGCACGCCGGCCGTCAGCTTCGAATGCCAAATCAAGGAGCCAGGACCTAGAAAAACTAGCGCACATCAATTGGGAACTTTCCACCCAGCCATTTCAGCTGAGCCGCATATGTGACCAGGCGACTGATACCACTAAAATGCGGTTCCTGGACATTGACAGCCTCAGATCGCAGACGATCAATGATCATCAGATCCTCAGCGAACATGTCCGGGCGCTGGTCATATTTGGACGAGATGTACTGGGTGATTGCTTCGGAAAGCGAGACGGTATGGGAGCGCCGGAACGGGAGTTGGAGGATATTACTGTAGGAATGAAACAGAAAGACAAGTTAGTGGCATTATTCTCTTTTCGCGGCTGCTCGCATGCTGCTGGGGGTACTCACGACGCCATTGTCGCTCGAGGCGGGGGTTTGGAAGAACTCCGTTTGTTTTGACGGCGGGAGGTTCAGCCCCACCCGGCAACGGGAGATGACGTTTGATGGCCTGAGGCATCAATTCAGTAGTTCCTATGCTAAAAGCAGTCTTCATTCGACACTCACCTCTCCCATTTAGCGCTTGCTAAAAGTTAGGAATTGACTCGTCTTGTGCTCAAGCGACTCTATTGCACATGACTGTTTCTGTTGGGTAATAGATGAAAGAGCCCTACGTCTATGACTCCTCGCTGAGAACAGTCCACAAAGGGTTGAACAATATATCCTTGACCCCTTTCCTCAGGCAATGTTCTGTTGTCTTGTCTCCAAGGCCTGTCATTCACCATCCATACACACTCACAATGGCGACACAAATGCCTCGATTCTTGACTATGTTGCAAATCCGAAGCCTTCATCACAGATTCGCAGTCCCATATGTCCCCCTCACCCAGCCATCTATGCTGGAATCTGCAATTAATGCGCCGGTGAATAAAAACCACTATGAGAAGGAGCACGATGTGTTTCGGTTGGCAGCGATCCTGGCCGAGCGGATCATGAAGAACCACGCGTTTCAGGATGGGAACAAACGCGCTGCCCTTCTGGCGGCCGATATGTTTTTGAGGGTCAATGGCTACTACCTTCAAAGGGTTCCATTTGCAGAGGATGCACACACCGATGGCCTCGCAAAGGCGCATGTTGCAGTGGTCACTAAGAAATGGACCGTTGAACAGCTGTGCGACTACTACCAGTCTGTCGCGCTGCCTGTAACGTAGTTAACACCTGAGACCAGGCAGTACTATGTCGTCTGTACTCAGGTCTAATACCATGCCGAAGACAGTATCCTGCCGGTGCTTCTATGACAGTTGGGAGTACGTGGCTGACTCGTGTTGGTCTTGCGATTTGTCTTTTTTTCGTTTGCTGGCTTAAATATATTAAAGTGACCTTTAGACCTAAAAAGCTCTACTGTGATATGTATGTAGTTCAAGAAGAGTTGTCGTCCACGTAAGACTTTAATAATGAGGTCTGATTTATCTGACCCAAGATGATATATACGATAACACTTCGATGTCCTTTTTGGGTGTTCTTTTACGATGTCTTTTTATATGTCTTTTAGCTTATCACTTTACGATATACAATATATCAAGGCAGTATAATGCCTAAACCGTCCAGAGGACCTTTCTATGTGTAACCAGTGATGATCAATAAGGATCCCGCCCGGCTTCTAGATGTACCAGACTTCTTATATATATATTAGATTCAATACAGCTCAAAGCAATCAAATTCCACGTGTCTTAAGAGCCCGGTCACATATGCTCCAGTTGATCAAGGACGGGCTTCAGGTACTGTCCAGAAGCACTGGAGTGTTCGGCAAATTCGGCTATCTATGTTAGCGCTGGACTGCCCGTGCAGGAGTCGAATCTGTACCATCCTCAGTTCCATCTATGACAATCTCATATATCTTTCCGCTCAGGAAAATGGTCGCAGGGCTTGTGTTAGATTCCGACTGGCGAGGAAATTGGGTTGGGACATGGAGACGAGGATAACTCGGTGATTCTAGAATTGAACACATTATTGGTAAAGGTATGACCCGCCTACGCATGGAAGAGTCTCACCGAGGCCAAAGTGCTGTGTGTCATGGAAGAATGACAGTTTACATCGGTCTTGCGTCGCCGCTGTAGAGCTGGCATTACGAAAATCTTCTCCAACGGATGGGGAAATCAACACATAGGCTTGCCCGGGGTTCCCGATAATTACGGAGACCTTCTTAGAGGCCAAGTTGCCTGTTGTGTCTTGGGTAATGAAATCCGTGGTGATCTCATGGAAATGACGAGTCCAAGAACCTGGTGCGACAAAGTACCGGGAAAGGGGACGAGCAGCATTGCGAAACATGAGAAATCTGTCCATCATATCTGTAAGATCAGGCAGATAGGATGGTAAAAGCAAACGGGGTAACTATGATGATAAAATCCTACTTGGAATGGAGGTGGGGAATGGTCAACCTATCTAGGGGCTGATCTCTGGGACAACAACTTCTCTCTACCATCCCCACGCAGGCCGAGGGCGGCTAATGTGACTACAACCTTCTCCATCTGCCGGGCGATTTCCCCATAGACCTCTGAGGTAGTAAAATAGAGACACCAGCGTTCTGAGCCGGCCAGATCATAATGCCAAAATGTTACATGTAGACAAACGGGGGTCAGACATGGCCAAACGGATATAAAACACGGGACTATTCAGGTGCTCCACAACAAGACCTATTAAATGATACGCTATATAATACAGATTTCGAGTGTAGGACTAGATATGAGCGTCAGCTGTCCTACGTTTTACCTGCGATTGCATGGTGTGGCTGCCTGGCACTCCCAACAAATTAGCGACATGCGACGGCGATTGATTCGAGGGCTCCATTACCTTGTGTGTGGCGTCGACTTGGATGGGCAGAGACAGAGTTCGAATTCTATTATTGCCCTCTACACTAAGGCTTGCCGCAGAAACTTTCAGCATATCTCTTTCATATAGATTGGTTTATGCCCTCCTGTCAATTTTCTTTCTCGAAGAAGAGGGATTGCTAGATGATTTTATGGACGCAAGGCTAAGACCGAGGTTAACCAAGAGGGTGCAATTGTTCAAGTCAAAAAGCAACCAAAGCATTGTTTGGGCTAGCTACGAAACAGAAAACCTGGGTACAGAAATTGCAAGTGGCATTCAGACTATATGGTCGAGAAGATGCTGCCGATTATGAAGCTACCCTAGCGCTACGACGATTACATCCACTTGGGTAATACTTTTCCTTTCTTACATACCAACTTCGAATTTTCATAATACATTCTGCTATTTGCTGAAAATGAGCCCCAGGCTCATTCATGTATGTATGTGGGCAATAAATACGAGAAAGGATCTCGATGTTCAACGCATAATGGCAAAGAAAATGTTCAACAAGTGGACCAGTATTCCATCCTAACATGATTTCCGTAGCCCTATCAACGGATGGATTAATTCGGCAGCTCATCGATGCGCATTCTAATGTATTCGAAAATGCTGAGTAGGATCATGTTGTTGACGCCGGTGCGGATGAGAATGATGGACAGACCCTTGTACATGCTGGATTTGGCGACAGCTTTCGAGGCCTCGCCAATCTCGCTGGATTTCCCTAGCAGAACACTCTGTGCGCGAGTCTTGCGGGTATCGAGGGGATAGGTCTATGATTCACGTTAGTGCATGATCGTCACAAAACAGGGTATCGGTCTGATCACATACGCAGAACCAGGGTACAGTGCTGCAAATGGCACCGGCAATCATAGGTGCCCCGAATGGGTTCTTGTCCTGACCCAACTCCTTGGCTGCTACTTGCTTAACAGTCTCGTAAACACCGAAGTACAGTCCAGATCCCACAGTGTCGCGCAACGCATGCAGGCGGAAACCAGTGTAAAGGCCCCAGAATCCATGTCTTATATATATCTGCTTGATGGCTTGGATGGTCCCCAAGCGGGGCTTGTGACGCAAGGATCGGTCTCGGACTGCGTCCGGGGCAGCCATCGCGCGGTTCGACACTAGAACAGAGGTTTGGACGACATTCTTCGCCAGCTCAAAGGGGCCTGTTTCAATGTCAGCCCGTCTCCTCCAGCTCTTTCACGTGATAAATATGAACATACAAGCAATAGGCGATGACAGCAAGCCAGCGACAAGGCCTGCCGTGGTGAAAGTAAGCACACCCGTCACGGTGGGGGTGCTTCCAGGCTTTTTATAGTTATCCAAAGGGTTGGAACCAGTTACGCGCTCGACGTTATCAGCGATTATGTGCTTGAAGTTGTTGTACACGGTAAAGTTGACGACACGGACTACCGTGACACTTGCCAAGGGTGGAAGTGCGCCTATGTGACGGTCAGTTGATCCTTCAGCTACCGACTCATGGACACCGACTTACCAGCTACATATCCACGAGGCCCTTCAGTGCGCCAGAGATAGCGAACACACTGCCATATGTTCTTGAAATTGTGTCTTTCAAATCAATTAGAATACTAGTCCCATCTCCAAGGTCACGTAGAATACTTACGTCTGCATCCGAGTCTTGACGTTCTCTAAAGGAGTCTGCCCATCGAACCACCAGGGATTAGCATTGTTTACATGCCGTATTAGTAACAAACCCCGCATAATAAAGCACTCACCACCGCCAGCGTCGCGCAAATGGTCGACGCCCCCGAAGCCACCTGGGTTTTGTACTTTTTGAGGAGTCTGCTGCGTGTGGCCTCATCCATATTCCAAGCTTTGCGGTCTGGCATAATGGTGGTTCTTGTGTGGGGAGTTGACGAGGGTAAGGGTGCATGTTCGGAACTGTTGTCGCGAGTCATCCCTGAACGTTCTCCATTGGAGGCAGCGAGGAATAGCTATAGCAATATCTCTCCGGTCGTGACAGAACGTTGGATTCTGCACAGACTCTTTCTTATATTTGCAGGCTGGGGAACCCGATGGAACGCAAAGCGGTCTCTCAGAACTCGAGTAGACCGTTCAGCGTCCCACAATTGACCATAAAACGGCTCGACCAACCCAGTTCTATCTTCAGTCAGTTGGAAAGTACCCCGGAAGGTTCTCGCAGTATAGATTGGCTCGTTTAGATCCGTCTTTGCAGATTATGAGATAGGTTCGATATTGGTGGCCGAAACAATGACGGCCACGGCAACGGATGCAACCCCGCGTTCACGAATGGTATCTAAGAGGTGTGGTGCGGGATTTAGCGGTTCAAGTGATGTTCTGGGAGAGTCCCCTGTTCCAGACAGTCGGGATATTCTTGCCCAAGATATGTCGTCTATAGCAATGGGTTTCTAACAGTGATCGGGAGCTGTGGGGAGACTACCATTAGTATCAATTTGCTTTCCCCGCGTTTCTTGAGTAGCAGGACAAAACGGTTTGCAAGTTTCTCAGTTTGACGAAGACTACTTACTGACAATGATCCCACAGTATTCCACCAGACAGAAGTTGACCTAATGCTATGTGAAGAAGAGAAGAGGAAAGTGCAGTAAAATGGGATGTGGACCGAGCTTAACTTGGGTGCTCAAAGCGGTTTAGGGCCAAACAGAGTGACGTCGTCGTGAACAGCGGAGAATAGTGGACATCTTCTTAGTGCTTACCCCCGGATTAGTTCTAAACGCACATTGGAAATGGCGTTGTTTGATCTACTCAGTGATATATGCAGAGACCCCGATCTTAATATATTGGGAAATTGATCTCTTCAGTCTTGGCACCGCCGTGGCACATCTGCCGGTCGCAGTCTGATCATCTTCCATACATTTCGTGCAGAGACAAGAGGGATACTTTTGGTGTACGAAGTATGCAAAGCAGAGTTTGGGAAGCTGATCACAGAAGGTTAGACAACGGATCATGGTGATCTCCACAGTGTATATGTGGAGGACAGTACTCCGTGACCGGGTTGGGCCCCACGCGGGGATTGGGTTCATTACCACCCACCAATTAATCACATCCATCGAAACCCTGGAATGATTGTAAACCAGAATTCCAGACTCGAATCCAACCACATTGCTGTGACTGGGAGATCTTGCAGATCATCAAGCAACAATCCGGTTCCCGACCCTGTACGGAGTAGGGAGCAGCTGTTTGAATATGGGGTATCTGCCTCATGTCTCTGAAGTTGACTATCAGCTCGACTCCTTTGTGTGGAGATGGTATATCGCAGGATGCAATATGGCGCAGAGATCGGTTGAGAGCACTCCATTGCCTCCCTTGAGGAGGCTGGAAGTTGGGTTGGCTAGAATGTCCATTGAAAGCCAAGCCACATGAACATATGCGATTGCATGAAGGATTGAATATGCCAGATTCCAACTGTGCTACCAAATTAACTGGATCAGAATTGTTGAACATGTGAATTGTAGTAGTGGCCGAGTGATTTTGTCTCGTACGTCCCGGCATTTATTCACGTGAGAGCCAAGTTCAATCAAATAACACATGTTTTTCTTTTCTTTTTTAAACCCTAGATTTAGATTATCCCCCAATCGACAGTCTCAACATGATGATGTTAAGATGATTATGTGAATAAAATTATGCAGTGCCGCGGACGGGGTTCCTCGGGACCTCGGTCTCTCCCCGCAATTATGCTGAGCTCCCCACATATCCCGCTGATTTGTGTTTATAAGCCCACACTTCTTGAGTCGAACCTTCACTAAACCCATTTACCATTACCTCTAACGATAGTTCAAGTCATATATATACCATGGGAAAGAAACAAGGAACCCCCGCCTATGTCCTGGGCGTTGGCATGACCAAGTTCATCAAGCCACGCGGCAAGGTCGACTACCATGAGCTAGGCTATGAGGCCGGCATCAAAGCCATGCTCGATGCAAAGATCAACTACGACGATGTTGACCAGGGCGTTGCATGCTACGTTTACGGTGACAGCACCTGCGGCCAGCGCGTCTTCTACCAATTCGGCCAGACCAGCATCCCTATCTACAACGTCAACAACAACTGTTCGACGGGTTCGACTGGCCTCGCTATGGCCCGCACTATGGTTTCCCATGGTGCTGCGGACTGTGTCCTAGTTGTCGGCTTTGAGAAAATGAACCCCGGTAGCTTACAATCCATGTACAACGATCGGGAGAACCCAACGGGACTGTTTGGAACGATGATGGCCGAGACGCGAGGTGTCACGAACGCGCCCGGTGCCGCGCAGATGTTTGGAAACGCGGGTATAGAATACAAGGAGAAGTACGGACCCTCTCAAGACGATATCAGCCCATGGCAAAAAGGGATATCATGCTAATATGCAAAAACAGGTACGGCGCTAAGAACGAGGACTTCGCCGAGATCGCCCGCGTCAACCACGAGCACTCCAAGCGCAACCCCTACTCGCAATTCCAAACCGAATATACCCTCGAGCAGATTATGAAGGCACC